AACCAGGGCCATGGCTTGTATGCGTATTCAAGCCCTACACTCACGGGGTAAAACTTGGAAAACGCAAAGCCGACCGTCTTTTCAACCCTACAGGCCGACTCGACGCTCGGCCCATGGCTGCAAGAGCACGCAATCATGTAGTTCAGGGGGACTCTGCTTTGGAAGGACACCGTATAGGCTAGAAAGACTAAAGGAGCTGCTTCACGCAATCATACTATTACAGGGATTAATTTCAGCAATGGTGTGTTTTGTTTGAAAACGTGGTAGAGACGCCTACGTGATTCATCTCTGACTCAGTTGCATGAGCGGATAGCAAGTCTATCGCTGGGCTTCGTGCCATTTACTTACCCTTCTACGCGTCCCATTTGCTCTCTAAAAAGACCTCCTTTTCAGTTCGACTCTGATGAAAGATGTCGAGAACCGTTCACGAGAGCAAAGCCCGGATGTTTCTCGCGGGCTCGGTTTTGAAACTTGCCAGAGCACGGCCTATTTACTTCCATCACGAGCATGGTACGAATCTTCAACAGGGAGGCCGACTCTCTCCCTGGAGATTTCTCCCAGTTTTGGAACACGCCGGGACTATCTTGAGTTGTTGCCTGAGCGGAGGATTCCTCGGCATGTGAGCAACTTATCTCGACGAGTTTCATGCACCCCCATATATTCGTCACTTACATGTCAAGGCCACTCGCGCGCTTTTCTCTCTCAAAAAGCTCTTGGTTACTACACACTATTCACCTCCTTTCCCACCTCCGAGGCCAGGACTTTCGTTCTGTCTCCAAGCAAACCAGGAGCGAAAGCGTTCGTCTTGAGGTCTGATGACGTTTCTTACAAAAAACTCGTCATCAAAGGATATCAATTACCATTCATCTTGTGCCAGCAGCCGTGGGTTGTAGTTCAGACAGGGCCAAGTGGTTTAAGCCGTTGTGCAAGTAGTGGACCAACCCTGGAGCCCTCGATGTTATACTCCTCCAAGACGGTGAAAACAGTGAATCAGGGTGCTTCAGGATCATGCTGGAGCCTTTCATGTCACAGGTGAGACGGCAAAAATGTCACTGCGGCTTGGATTGCGGATGAGTGTAGGAGAAAGCACGATCAGGGGCCAGCAGCGACCAGCCACGATCCGCCCATTGTGAAGATGTCTTTAGGGGTTTTCAGAAAGTCCGTAGATTAGATTAAAACTGCAAAGCTCGGGCGGGCTGCGTCCGGAATGTCGCTGTTGTTCCATTTTGTGCACCACTTCTGATTGAGAAACCCGAGCAGCGTTGCTCTCAACATTATCCCATGTGAGCACTCGGCTTGACTCGGGTGCAGTTTAGCAACTGGACTCGACGTAACCTTATCGTCCAGTGACTTGTCATCAAACCACCCGACCAATCTCGTGCTCTCCCTCGTCTCTGTCTCTTGATCTCGGCCAGGAGTTGGTCATCTGTCACCGGCCCAGGCCGCCATCATCACGAGGTGTTGTTCACCGCAGCCACGAACCACTCTCTGCGAGTTCACATGGGATCTAGAAGAGCATCGAGCGTAGATGTTTCTTGTCTGCTGCCTCAACTGATCTGCCGGCTGAGCAAGGATCGCAGCAGAACTTCAAGTGAAGCCAAACGTAATCGCCCGGGAACTTGGCAAGAGACTGGAGCAAGCGGGTGGACTTGAAGCAGGACAGGCATTTGGAGTGCCATGGCTAAATGGAGGCCCAGCTTCCCTGGTCGAAGCCTCGGAGCGTGTCAGTGCTAAGAGCACTTGAGGCATCAGGCACGCATCAACCAAGGCCACAGTCCTCTTACCGTGCTCTGCCCGCTTGTGAGACCAGGCAAAAAGGCTGGCCGTCGCTTCCATGGTAAGCATCGACTGCCCTCGCGAGCAGTGTCCGTCTCCGGGTGATTCTTGCGTGAATAGCTGAGCACACTCGGGACAACCGGGAGGGTACGACGTGTTTCCTCGTCGGGTTCTCTACAAAGGTCCATGGCCGTTGGGACGACCCTTCTACGCTCCGTCACGCATGAAGTCGGTTGGTCCAACCTGCGACCGTGTCTCTCCCTCACCTGATACCAACAGATTTATTGAGCCCATAGAGCGGCGTGCGCGGCTACAGTCACGGAAAGTGGAAAAGAGGCGTTGAGTGTCTTACAAGACCGATGGCTGCCGGACGGAGCGCCGACGGAATGGAGTTGTTGAGCCTTTTTCCCCCTCATCTCGAGATCCTGGTCCATGTCTCGCATCTTTGGTTGGGCCGCGGCCGGACTGCGTGGCCGCTGGGGTTAGTGAAGGCATTTGTGGGGGTAGCTATGTTGACTGCTACTGCGTGGCGTTCTTGAAGCAGAGGCGCTTGGTGCAAGGCCGAGGTCAGCAGCCGTTGCCGCGGAGCGTGAGGGACGGAGCCGCAGGCATGTGGGAGACAGGCGAAGACGGGGGCGGCGGCGCATGGGAGGTGCAAAGTGGGTGTGGGCGGCGTCTATGTCTGTCAGTCAAGTAAGCTATCGAGGGAAGAAGGAGCCGGCTGTCTTTCTGAGGCATGATGGCTGGTGGTGCCCGTGTGTCGTGCGTATCCGTGAAACAGGCATCCGTCCGGCTTTTGTGTGTGCCGCGGGTTCAGTTCAGCTGCTTGCAAGCTGCTTGCAAGCTGCCCGATGCAGAGCCGTGCAGCGAAGATGGCGTGGGCAATCGATGGGGGCCAAAGAGGACGGAAGAAGCAAGCAAACGCTCTGGCCGGGTCCCGGACAGTGCCGTGCGTTGGGGTGGTTTCTTCACCTGCTGGCTGCTCTGTCGCTGCAGCGGTGAGTCGTCGGTTGACGGAAGCGGTGATGTGATGGCTCCAGGGACAAAGAGGGACAGTACAGTGCCAGTCTGTCCCTACCCACCTACCTCGGCAGGGATTGATACAGTGTCTCGTACAGTGTCCTGTGCAGTGCTCCAGATGTCTTCGCATCCCATTGGCATACGGACGGGGTACGGAGTCATGAGTGGAAGGCAAAGAAACGCCACTGGCCGCACTGGCCAGCAGTCCGTGTATGCACTGTGCACGCACGGGCACCCGTCGAGGGCGCAAAAAGTAATGATGGCCCTTGCCGTCGATGCCGCCCATCCATCCAGGCCAAGAGGTGGTCTAGGCTAATTATTCCCGGTTTCTTCCTTCTCGCCCCTAATTAACTACTGTTTGTACTGATACTCATCGGGCCAACGCTCTGCAAAGACGTGCGTGGTCTCTCGACCGACACGACGCTTAGTCATCGGGGCTGGCTCCTCTAGCAATACTACAGACCATACAGATAAGAGTGTCTGCTCGGCCAACAAGAGTTGCATCGCTGGTGCGTGTCATCAGTCACAGTTGAATGTGAATACGGACTTGACGACTGTCGTTCCGCTCGCTACATGTCATAACTGAAATCAAAAGTCGGGGCATGTGATCTCGTTGTTGGTGAGTGCGATGGCAGGACAGCCACTCGTCGTCGACCAGGCATGGTTGCTCAGGGCGTTGGCAGCCTTCGATTGGCGCTCTGCATCACCGTCCTGCGCGTGGGCTTTCTTTTCCCGGGCCCCTGCGGGTGCTCCAACGCAGCCGCCAGGTACACGGGCAAGTCGTTGGACCCTGTTTGATGGGCAACGGGGAACAAGGCCGGTACAGGGCCGCTACATGGCCAGCCGACAGCACTATCAGTAAGCACGGCTCGCGGTGCACATGACAGTGCGTCGTCTGGCGCTGGATGATATCAGCCCAAGTACTACACCCCACTGTACTTGCCTGGCCCTGGCGCCGATCTGCGTGTGACAGTGGCCTGTCTTTTTTGCCTGTTAGCCTGCATCACGAGTCGCCGCCCACTCTCTCTTCCTCCCGCCCTCTGTGCCTCCCTCCCTCTGTGCCTCCCTCGCCCAACGTCCACGTCACCAGCTTCCCGACGGTACCATATGTATCATCTCACCTGCATCGCCGGCCCTTGACCCCAAGTGCATGGCATTTTGTGAGGCAACGCATCGTGCATCACACATGCTGCTCCGTCCGTGGCTTTGCCCTCACCTCACGGCCGCCCATGCAGCCACCCGTTGCTCTAGAGCCGGTACGAACCGTCCCTCCTCGTCGCCCAAAATAGAAGCCCAACCGACGACGACTTCCATCGACACCGACATCGTCGACACCGCCGCTTCCACCGCCCCCGGCCTCGACTCCTCCAACGCCCGACTCCTCCAACCCTCTCTCCCGCCCACGTCCCCGCGAGCCCCCCCCCCCACTCCCACTCCCCGGAACCAACAAACCAGACAGAAAACGGCCCGCCCTTGGTCGGCCTCGCGCATGCCAAAACAGCTCCCGACAGCCAAACACGTATCCGCCATCCACCTCTTTTCTGCATCACCCGTGCCTCGCCGGTACGTGGCAACCCGCGGTTCAGGCCCAAGCCAAGGGCCAATCCCGAGCATACGTCTCCTCAGCCGTCGCCGTCGCCTTTGCTTTTGCTGCCGCTGTTGCATCTCTTCCCTTGCTCTCGCTATCCTCCCTCCCGCTCTCGCGTTACACCACTCTCCTTGGCTGCCCGCACCCTCATCAGCAGCCAACGGGCCCCTGTCGCCACAATCTGGAACCTGCCCCACGGCCTGAACCTCTAGTTCCCACCGCCAAACCCTCCTCTCGCCCTCCCTTGGACGCCGGTATCCGACAAGCCAGCCCGTTTTCCACCGGCACCTGCTCGGACGGCTGCGGAACATGGGAGCCTGGGCGAACGACAACAAGAAGCCTGCCTCGCAAACGAATTGACGCCCTCGACAACGTGCCACCTTCTCCCCTACCAAGTAAAACAAGTCAACCGACTGGGACTGTGCCGGCCCTCCTGGTCCTGTCCTGCTCTCGCCATTGGCAGACAGCTAGCTCTATCTGGCTTCCGCGTCTGCGCCTTGTCCATCAATCATCCTCGGTTGACGGTTTCCGTTTCCCTACGTTACATACATACGCACGCAGCCGCCTCGCACCAGTCTGTTGACCTGCCTGGGTCAGCATGCCGTCACCCGCTGCCATGCCATCGGCCGTGGTCGACACAATCCTTGCGCCTGCATGTCCCAATCGCTTGCAGACCGACGTCAACATCGCCGCCACCTACTATCCGTCCGTCTCCCGCAATCCTCGTCGAGCTCCATCCCTCGACTCCTCCCCTGCCGGCGGGAAATACCGTGCGGCCAGTCCCGATCTAGGCCGCTCTGCTTCGGCCCCTGCGACAGTTGCCGCTGGCCTGCAGCACCAGTTGCCGCCCGCTGTCAGTCATTCATACCTCAGCAGCCCCTCTCCATCTCGAGAGCTTCGCGGCTCTCCATCGCACCCACAACTCTCCAGCAGCTTGCCCTCGACAATCCACGGTCTTGTCTCGCCCTGCATCGCTCGAGACAATAATTCCTCTTTCGACTGGTCGCCTCCTCCGAGCTTAGCCAAGGCTCCTGCGTCAAGGCCCATCCCGTTGGAACCCTCGCACGGCGCTTGGTCTCCCCCAGGGCTCGGCACTGGCGCCGCCTCCGCCCCCCTACGCGGCTCGATTCCCTTCTCGACCTCGTTACCTCTGACCGCCACCCAAGGCCCAGATCCCGCCCTGCCCGACAGCTTCCTCTCAGCATTGCCCTTGAGCTATCCTGCCGGCACCGCAATATCCCAGGCCTCACCCTCATACGTCGGACTCAGCCCCAGCCCCGGACCCGGACCCGTTCTCGTTTCCCGAACTGCTCCGCCTACGACCACGGCCATCGGCTTCAACCCCCCATACACGTGGCCCCTTGCTGCGTCCATCAAGAGCGATTCCGTCTTCTCAGTACCGCAGTCCGCGTGCCCGCTAGCTTCGGCCGCACCCAATTTCGAGTCCGGCACTTTCTCGGGCGCCTTTCCAACTGCCATCTCCGCACTGCCGCCTGGCTCCGTGTCCCCTCTTTACCTGGGCGCCGGTGCCACGCCTGTGGCGGCTCTGTCAGGACCCGTGTCTGACGGCACTGTTGCTTCTCCGCAAACCGGATCCGACACCGTTGAATCGCTTCGCCACCAGCTCTCCTTTCTGATCCAAGCTTGGATGGCCGATCGTGAAAGTAGCCGGCCGGCGAAGGAGCAGACCGAGGAAGTGCTTCACCGAATGCACATCGCCATGGAGAGCGGCCGCGAGCAATGGACCAGCGATAGGACGGCAATGCAGCGTGAGCTCGAGAGTCTGAATGCTCAAGTCTATCAATTGAAGCAGGAAAATGCGACCCTGAAAGCCGCTGCGGCTCGGATAAACAAGCGTCACAGCTTTGTATCTCGGGCTGGCCGGCGTGGCACATACGCTCCAACTAGCAGTTCATCTCCGTCCGACCCTGACGATCCTGCGGCTGCCAGCCTGTCGTCGCAAAGTGGCAGCTCCAGAGCGTATATTTTTTCCCCACCCCCGCGCTTTGGTGCCGCGCCGCGCCGCACTCACATTGCGACCCCTGGGAGCTCTCGGACCTCCCCTTGTGGACTGCCAGCGCCGTCACATGTCTCGCCACTCGGCCCTCGCTCGCAGCCCCGGCATTCCGCTGCCGTCGACTTCATGGATCCCCTGGCCCGGAATGGCAAAGGGCCGCCCGCTCCCATCATCGACGTGCGGGAGATTGATCCCAGGCTCGAGGGAATTCCCCTCAGAGCAAACGCAGTCCAGAGGTCCACATTTGCCCCGGCACCGGCCCATTCTTCCTTGGCCATTTTTCTACGAAGGGGCGGCCAGGCCCGCGACTCCGCTGCAACACGTCGAACTCGTCGCTTGTCCATGGACCGGACCAGATTCTGGCGGCTGAGGCGTACGTCATCCAAAGACCAGACCCTGCAGGTGTTGGCCGCTGAGGAATCTCGACGCTTGACCATGCACGCCGGTCACACGCCCAACCACTCCCTATCCCTCCTCCCAACCATGACTACCACGGGAGGTGATTCGACTGGCTACGAGAGCATGCGAGCCACACCGTCAGCCGAAGCACGGTCGGTTTGCTTGGGCCGACATGGTCTCGCTGATCCTGGAGAGTTCGAGGACGACGAAACGTCAGAAGATGCAGAATCGGACCAGGACGCGCTCGCCGACATTGAGGATTGTCGGGCGGGCCTCGGCCTGGAGCTACTCGAAGACAAACCACTCAAAGGCCCCTTGATGGTCAAGAACATACCCGCTCATGATGATGTGTTTTTCGCGAAACTGGATCGGAAGCTCGAATGCCTCAAAACCTGGCAGGACGCCCTTCCGAGCGTCTTGCGCGAATCCTCCCCAGTGAGGGAATTCGGATGCCGCTCGCCTGGCGTCGGCGAGCAGCCTCGGCAGCCTGTGCCAGCTCCGCCTCTGGGGGGCGACGCCTCGCATGACACAGGCTCTGCACGTGAGAGTGTGGACGAAGGAGAGTCTGGCGAAAACGACATTGAGCCCGACGTCCCTCTCAAGATGAAGAACACGAGCAATTTTGGTGCGCCGTTTGGTTCCGCTTAGGGCGGAGTGTACTTAAACCACCCGTCATGGTCGGCCCTCACTTATTCTTTAATCGCTTTGGTTTCGACATCGTCTTGGAAAAGACGTCGAGTGGACCCCGGGTTTCTCAGCATACCATATTTTCTTTTCTTATACCCTCCGTGGCCGATCCGCGCCGCCTGGCACATGGGACTTTGGACGCGGAAAGGAGTGGCGCCTTCCGCAGCAGCCCGGCGATGGCCGATGCAAACTCCATTACTTGTTCCATGATTCCCTTTGTCCCCCTTCCTTTCTTTTCCCCCTTGGGCCTCCAATGCCTGGAGAGGTTTTGCCGTGGGGTCTCTGATGTATGACAGATGATGAAGCAGTTGGTTGCTGATGCGTTGATACCACTATGATCCTGATTAAAAGACGCATCGCGGGAGTATTACCTTGGATATCACGCCTTGAAGACTGAGATGGAGGGTACCTAGATGGTACACTTCGGCGAGGGGAGAAGGCCACGAGGTGCATGTCGAAAACTTTGGTCTATTGTGTATTTTGGGTAATGGTGAAACGAGGACGACGAGTATGTGTCCTCCCTTGCAGCAAGCCTGGTCAATACAGACATTTCCCATCCAAGTCCTTTTCCACCCGTCCGCGCGCTCGGCAGTCGTAGTCCCGGCGTTCAATTCAGCGTGACAGAATCCAAAAAAAAATGTTTTCAACATGTCGATCCAGTTGGTCCATGTCGGTAAAGGAAAGCTAGACAAACAACTCACGCGTGTTGATGCCGACGCCAGAAGGGCCCCCTCAGGACCAAATCATGGCCAAGTCCCGTGTGCGCCAAAACCACCGCGCCAACCAGCCGCTGCAGAGAAGCACCACGTGTACGCCTTGTCCCAGTCTCGAGTGCTGCGCCGGTTCAAACGCCCATTGTGAAGTCGTGCTCGATGCCAGGCGTGACGCTGGCCATGAACTGGGGAAAAATGCAAGTCAGTGCCCGAGACGGAAGTCATTGCAGAGATAGCGAGAGAGAGAGAGAGAGAGAGAAAACCAACCTTGAGGAAGACGACGAGATACTGGTCCACGCGAATGGCCACTTCGTGCTCATCCGCATCAACGCCATCGACTTCCTCCCACTCTTCCTTGTCGGCCGCCTCCTGCGCGCTGTGCACGTCGAGCTTGCTGAGCTCGTCGACGAGCCCCTCCATGCCCTGCTCGCTGCCGACGGCCTTGCCCGCGCGGAGCTTGTCGCGGCGGATGCGCAGGGAGGCGTCGGCGCGGTCGAGAAGCGTCTTCATGACCGACGCGTGCTTACAGGGGTGCACGCTGGCCATCTTGATGTTGTTTGCGAACAGGGGAAAGTCCTCGAGCGTCACCGTCTTGTCCTTGTAGTCGCCCACAATGTCGTCCATCATGCTCTGCGGCGGCAGGGGCTGGCCGTTGGGCAGGTAGCCCGAGAGGTAGAGCCGGGGAGTCCGGTAGTAAGGCGTGTACATGATGTAGAGGGTGTAGGTGCGGCGGCCGCTGCGAGGCGCTGTTAGCGAGATGCGAGGCGGCGGAGGAGAGTATCAGGAGAAGGGGAGAACGGGGGCGCACCTGTTTCTAGAATCACTGCCGACGTCCCGGATGATAGCCTCGTCGTCGTCGTCGTCTTCCATGTCCGGGATGTCGTCGTCTTCAGTGTCGGTCGGCTCGCCCACGTTGCCAGAGTCGTCGACGGTCCGCACTTCGCGCGCCTTGAGCGGCTGCGAGCTCGCCAAGCCCCCCGTCCTCAGCCAGCCGTCGTCGTCGGCGCCAGAGCCGGCGGCTGCCTTGAAGTCATCGCCGTCGTTGACGAGGGCCTCTTCATGGCCGGCATCGCCGGCGAAGTCGTCGTTGAGGCGGCGGTGGCAGGGCACGTTGCGGGTGACAAGGTACTGCTTGCCGGGGGGCAGGTAGCTGACGCGGCGGCTCTCGTCGTCTGCGTCGCCCCAGGACCACGTGGGGAACTTGTAGACGAGGTAGTCGCCGGCAGCAAGGAACTCTTCTGGGGTGATCTGGCCCGTCTGGCGAAAGGTCGACGTGTGCGATACCGGCGTGTACCGATCGCGGAGGGTGTTGACGGTGGATTTGATGTAGTTCATGGCTTATGGTGCCAGTGTGCCAAGCAGGGGCACGTACGTGTCTGCAGCTGCCGACTCTGCTTTACGGGATGACTCGTGTCGTATGCAACCAGCGGTCGGGGCGATGGAGAGAGGTTGCTCGCGGATAGCGGGGGAGGGGCGCCGAGGGGATACCGGCGGGGGAGAGCAATGCAAGAGACGAGAGGCTAGAGGCAGAAGGGGGGAGAGAAGAAGGACAAGTAAATAATCAGGTGTGCAGTTCAATGTTGGCTGATGACTTGATGCTCGGCTGGTTGGCTGGATGATGCAAAATGGCGAAGCTGCCGGTGACCCCCGGTGACGGAGGGGGCAAGATGAGACGATCAGGTGGTAATGGGGGCGGCCTCTGTGTCCCAGTGACCTTGTCCCGTCGGCGGCCATATGCCATGCGGCTGCCGTACCAGGTACTTGCTGCATGCCTTTATTGCCTGCAAGGGACCACGGCCTGGCATGCGTGATCGAGGTAGTACAAGTACCTCCTGTACCTGCGGAGTGACCCTTGGATGTTTGGCAGCGTCTGGGCGCTGTGCGATTCTCTTGACAGGTGCTCCGCACCCGGCAGGTACCTGGTACGGCGGCGGCTCACGAGATTGAGTTGTTGTCACCCAGCGTCCTGCGGCTCAATCATCTGGGTTGGGTTTTTTACGCTTTGTTCCACACGTCTGGAAGGAAGGCAGAATCTCCAACCGTGTACAGTCCAGGCATCAATCAACCGGATTCCTTAACCCCGGAATGTATGCTGAGGCGCTTAATCAAAGTTGGTCGTTGGCCACATCCCCCGTCTTGCCGGCGACTTTGTCCCCGCCCGTCACGTCGAGTCATCCTCAACTCCGCCTTCTTCATCCTCGCTGACCTCCTCGCCAGCCTCGAGCGCCTCCTGTCTCCTCTTTGCCGCCCGCTCCCGTTTCCGTTCCAAGAGCTTCTTGAGCCGCTTGGCCGTGTTGAACACTCCGTTCGTCCCTGACCCACACGCCGCACATGTTGGGTCGCGCCTGAATCTCTTGAGGGCGCACGATTCGCAAAAGTAGTGCCCGCATCTCGTCACTATCGGTTCCTTGTATGACTCCCTGCAGATGATGCACACGAAAGGTATGCTCTCGAGCATCGCCTCGTCGTCGTCTTCGACTGCTGCTTGTTTGTCTCGGTTCGCGCTGGCCATGACGGTGCCCCCCAGGTTCTTCTTGCCCTTTGTCACGTTCTCCCATTCTTTGTCGAGCTGCCAGCCTTGCTTGTAGTCCTCTCGGCTATGTAGGAACTTGCTATGGGCGACAACCTCAAGTCAGCATCCGTCACGAGTAGTGTTGGTTAATGGGGACGTACCAATTGTCGCCGAAACCACAGAAGCCCGTCTGCTTGTAGTCCTTGCAGACATCGGGAGCGAAATCCGTGACGGTGATGGTCCGGATGTTGGTCGGAGCCTTGATGGGCCCTACGGTCCGTTGCGGTGCGTCTGAGTTCTTTTGTATAAAGGAAGTCTGATTCGCCAGTCCCTTGTATGTTCCATCGGGCTGTACATCCTTTGAGAGCGATCGTGTGGAGCCAAGCAAGTTCTTCGTCGAGAGCGCGCCTTTGGCATCTTCGTCGTACCAGTTGGTCTGCTTGGTGGCGTCGTTGGCGCTGGTGATGGGGGCGTTCCGATTCGCGGTGAAGACGGTCGATGCCAGGTTACTCTCGCCGCTCACGACGTGCCTCGACGTGGCTGTGACTATAGTGGCGGCCTTCTTGCGCCGCTTCACGCGCCGGCCAGACTCGTCGTCGGACGACGAGTAGTCGCTGTCGCTGTCGCTGTTTGCCGGTGGCGGCGTTGCTGGTCTCTTTCTCAAGTTGGCCTTGCCCTTAGCGCCCCTTCGCTTGAATATGGCGACAGGTTTGCTTTCAACCTGCGGCGCACCGGCGTCAGTTGCCTCCATGTTAGGTGCTGATTGCTCTGAGGTGAGAAGCGGTGGTCGTGATGGAAAATGACGGAACCAAGGAGCTTGCAACATGCCGGTGATGTCAAGAGGGTTAAAGCGTCTGCAAGCTGATTAATCTATGCCGCGAAAGGATCCAGATTTGCTTTGCTGGCTACAGCGGGGTGATGACTAACAAGCCGAAGCACGCGACCCTGATCAAGCTCAATCTACGGAGACCCTGACTTGACTGAAGTGGGCAGAAACAAACGACCGGACGCATAAGCAAAACATGACATTGCCTATTGCCGGACCCTTCACCACCCTTTTCCTTTCTACTTGCCTCCATCCTGCTCGGCTCGCTCCATCACTGACGGATCGACTAGACACGCGGTTTCGCGTCGAGGCTTTCCTTTTGCGGAGCGCGGCCTTGATCCTTGATGCTCCATTGGCACTCGATACCTCTAGCTCGCCACAATAACGAACCGAGACATCCAACTGAGACACACCCTGCCGAGGCGATGATGAAGCGCGTCGCGCAGACCGAGATCCGTGAACCCCGCCCGCCCAGCACCTGTTGGTTGGCGGCACCTTGCTTACCCGAGTGCTTGACTCGCAAACTCGGTGCCAGACCCGGCTGGGCACAGGAAAAAGGAAAGGTATTGAGAAACTGTTTATGCAGCGCACCGGCACGTGTTTCGCCTGGTTGTCTGAGTATAAAGCAGCGACTGCGTCTTGTTGATTGGGACTATAGCCTTCACAAGCAAGCAAGGCGTCCAAGGTCGCCGAGAGGCGGAACATGCAGCTAGGTGAAGCATCTGCTGCGCCTACATGCACTTGGTGTTGTCCTTGACTGGCGCTCCTTGCAGATATGCTGTAAGCTCGGCGACATAGTATCTGTGCGTCTGAGTCGGTCTGCAAGTGATATCCGACAAGATGCACACTCGTGGGAGTCCGTGGACTGGCAAAACAAGACGAGGTACGATATCGAGGACGCACACGCTGGCGAGCACATTAGCGGCGACTGGCAGTGAGTGACGCGGATACACACATGACACAATATGCATCATGCTCGTGCTGTATCACCTCAATGTAGATGCGCTTGATGGTTGTTAGCTGATGGCGATGTGCGCGCTCAACGAGAGCAAGCAGTTGGTCGGGGGGCCAGCGGCTGCCAGCCAGGCGGGCAGGTAGTTAATCGGGCAATAAATCGAGCAGCCGGTCGAGTAGTCAATCGGGAGTAGTCAATCGGGAGTAGTCAATCATGCGGTGGATCAGGCTATAAAGACGAGTTAAGAGGAAGATGAGCACATGATCCGCGACGCGCCCCGAGGGTCGAGATGTCTCGTCAATTCAAAGTAGCAAAAGAAGACGGACGAGACACGATAGTTGGCGGGCATTCCGATGGTCCAAGATGTGGGCGGTACGGACGGAAAGACTATTGCTGGATGAAGTGAGCATCTAAGTTATAGCTATTCCGTTTGCCGGCGCTGCTGCTCTTTGTTTATCGTTGATGCAGCTTCAAGCATGGGCTGTTATGGACTGTTTACACACCCACTGCAGACTAGGTAGTAATTAGCAAGGCCTAGCTCGGCAGACAGGGAAGCTGGACGAGGGGCGCTAGGATCAGACGCTGCCTTTTGCTCCCTGGCCGCGGCGGCGATCCACCGAGATAGCCAGCTTAACCATGGATGGCCCCCCACCTCGCCGCCCAATTTTGCCGACCGACTGGTGGCAGTGCGTGTCTTCTCTTCATCACCAACCCTCTCTTCCCACTCACCACCATCCACATCCACACCCACTCACACTCGCTCTGCTGCAGAGCCTTGTTGCTAGCAGCGCATTTGTTTTCTTTCGTTTCTTCTTCCCCGCAGCGGCCCGTTTGTTGCCCAGTGACACCTACCAGCTACCTAAACATCCCATTCTCGCTCCTTATCCGCGGCGCCCTGTTCCATCTCATCCTGTAGGTTTGCGTGCGCGACTCGTTCGTTCCCTCGCATCTTTGGCTACCGAAGCCCTCTCCAGAAGACGACTCCTAAAAAAAAGCGTTTGAAGAATCCACCCCTCGAGACGCTTTTCCCCTGCAGCGCCAGCGAGAGAATACACACACCAGAAAACACTCACAACATTATAAGTTGATAGCGCGCACGGCTAGGCCGATCAGCGGCACGGCCCAGCAGCGCATCTTGCTCCTCTCAACGGGCGCCAACTCAATTGGGCGTCGGGGAATGGTCAACAATCGCGCGACATCATTCCAGCCCAGCGCCTCTCTCTCGCTGCCGACAATCGACGGCTGAAACCGAGGGCGGCCTGCTTCTTCCCTATTCCCATTCTGCCTCTCGAGGAGTTTTTCTTTCCTTTTTCTTGCCCGCGGCCTGCCCCCTCCGCCTCCCTACCACGCGCCTGTCCCTCCTTCACTGTGCGCTCCGGCTCCTCCCACCCCTGCAGGAAATACTTCGGATAGATTGCTTGATTACCTGTCCATCTCACCACCTCGCGCCTCGGTTCCACGCCGTGCCCCCGACGTCGTCCTGCGTGCGACTCAAGACTCCCTACGGCCGCCCGAGTGCTACGGATTCGACCTCTGAATGCCGTCGCCGTGCTTCTAGTCAGTCTTCCTGACCGTCTTGGCTCGCTGCCATGGCCTCGTCCCTCACCGCGGACGGGCGCCCAAGCCTCCCCGCTCCTGGGGATGCCGCAAACGACCCCTTCGTCGCCGCCGCCGCACCCAAGACGCACCATCGCTTCTCCGACTTTGACCAGGACCTCTTCGCCGCTGGGCCTGGCTCGTCCCCTACGCAGGCCAAGCTCGCCCTCGAGGCCCATCTCGCAGAGACGGACCGCCGCCTCGATGAAGCTGGGAAACTCGGCACCGCCCTCGTCTCCCAGCGCAAGGCGCTGACCGAGCAGCTGCACGAGGTGGAGCAGCTGCAGGCCGAGGGCCAGATAGGTCCAGATCTGCGCAAGAAGCTCGTCGAGATCGAGAGGGAGTACAATGACGTGGCCCGCGAGTCGGCCCGCGTATTCCTGCCCAAGCAGCGCGTGCCCAGCAATGAGGTCAATCCGGGCTCCCCCTACGTGCCAGAGGCTCGCAGTGGCAGGGTGAGCATTTGCCTGGTAGCCCTCTACACCGAGCGCGCCTTGCTAACCGTCATGCTAGCGATCCGTCAGCCCCTCCAAGTTTGAAAGCCAGGCCACCGGCTCTCCGACCAAGCTTAACGTGCCGAATCGCAGAAGCCGCAACCAGCCGACCAACCGCGTCCATGACATTGAGTTTGCCGCCGAAATCAGCACCTCGCTCATCGCTCAAGTTCGGAATCTGCAGTCTCTCCTCTCTGAGCGGGATGAGGAAAACAAGACTCTCCACTCGGAGAGGACCAAGCTCGAGATCGAGGCCGAGAACCTGCAGCAGCGCCTCAGGACGCTCGACGAGAGCGAGCACCGCTACAAGGAAGAGAATTGGAACCTCGAAACTCGTCTGCAGGAGCTCTCGTCGCAGCAAAGAGAGGCCGCTGATCGTGAAAAGCGGCTTACCCAGGCGCTCGGCATCACCAACGCTGACAAAACTGCCGCTCAGAAGGACCTAGACGAGGTCAAGCTCTCACTCTCAAAACTCGCCGAGGAGCACGCCGCCGTCATCAAGCATCATGATATCGAGCTGGGCACGGCCAAGCGTACCATGGTCATGGCCGAGGGCGAACGGACGGCCCTGCAGCGCAAGATTGACGACTTGACCAGCCAAAACCAGGAGCTTGCCAAGGCCTTCTCCCAGCAGCGCGGGAGGGCAACCGACCGGGAGCCGGGCGCGGGCGCGAGTGACGATGACTTTGAAACGGCGACGGATAACATGACTCCAGAGCACTCTCCGCCACCATCCCCCATCAAGGGCACGCCCAGGCACTCCATGCTGGAAACGGAGACGGTCAAGACCTCGCTGCAGCATGCTCAGAGGACCATCCAGAGCCAACGCAACCAGCTGCACCGCGAGAAGACGGAGAAGCTTGAGCTGCGGCGCCTCATCCAGGACCTCCGCGACGATCTCGAAAAGGCTAAAAACGACGCGACAGGCGCTGCATCCAACCGGCGAAGCCGCAAAGTAGAATCCAAGGACTTGAAGAAGTCGCAGCGCTTGCTCGGCAACTTCCGTTCTAGCCGGCATGAGATATTGGTGGATGATCCTGAATGGGAGGACAACCCAGATGTGTCTCCAGGAGGAGCATCCGCAAGCACCGGTCCCGCTCGGGGCCCGGGTGCCACGAGCCGAGGAGACGCCAGCGATCAGTTCGAGACGGCGAATGAAGCTAGCGAGTCTGCTTTCGAGACGGCCAACGAGCGGGCCACGGAGACGGAGGACTTCCAGACCGGCAACGAGGAGCTTTCGGGTAGCGACGATACCGAGACCGAGACCGGGAGCCCATCCCGAGGCTTTGGTCGGATGAGGCGTCCCCCGAGTCTGCCCGCTGGCCTCGCCCGACAAAGGAGCCGGGGATCCTTCGACAGCACCGCATCCACCTCGGCCGACGAAGAAGACTCTGCGCTCATGAGAACACCCACGGCGTCTTTGTCCTCTCAGAGAAGCCGCCTCCGCCTCGGCCGCGGCGGCTCCATGTCTCGGACTTCCAGACAAACCAGTGAAGAGCCCAGTTTCCGAAGCAGCCCGGCGAGCTTCGCCAGCGGAGGGACTCCTCAAGCTGGCCAAAGTCTGTTCGCCGAGCTGCAGGATCTTGGCGGAAGCGACGAAGAGTCTGGCGCCGGCACGCCCAGCCGTCGGAGCACACGATCTTTCACCCCCGGCTCGATGCGTCGAAACGTGTCGCCCCCGCCCGCTGTCCCACAGTTGCCCAACGTCATCATGGTTGACAGCGGCGTCATGACCGAGCCCGTTAAGATTACGACGGATACCTTCCAAGAATTGCCTCCTCGACCCATCTCGATGGAATCCATCGTTAACACACCCGTCATGCGTCCCTCGACCGTATGGAGGGACAGTCACGATGCCGACGCGACCGCCTCGCGACCATTGTCCACCGTCTCTCACGGCGAGACGGGTACGCACGACGAGCCGGACTTTGGGGAGAAGCTCGCGCAGTTCCCCGTGCCTCCGACGTCTTCTCCTCTCGCGAAGCCGCCGACCCCACCCTCTCTGGATTTCTCGTCTATCCAATCCCTGGCTTTCGAGCCTCGCGCAGAAGTCCAGACACCGCCGACTCCTCCCACACTTCGCCTCACGCCCCTCTCCGTGCAGCACGTCGAGCCGCTTCCCGAGCCGGAGATCCCTCTGCCCGGACTCTCTCTGTCGACAATTATGGCTGAATGGTTGGAGCCTGTGGCGGAACCAGAGGTTCCTCGCCCAGAGTTGACCCTGGCACCTGTTCTTGCACAAGTCATTGATCCCGTGGCCACGCCTCTCCCATCTCTAACCTTGTCTGCCATCTCCATCGAGACAGTGGCGCCGATCGCAGAGCCAGATGTGCCCAAGCAGATGCCCGCCGCGATCACCCCGGCCTTGCCAGAGCTCATCATGTCGATCATAAGGTCCGAGCATGTGGAGCCCGTCAGCGAGCCCAATATCCTGGTCACTTCGCCGTCCCTCACGTTGTCGACCATTCGAGCCGAGCAACTGGAGCCAAAAGAAGAACGAGAGTCAGTCTGGCCACAGCCGCCCCTGGCCTTCTCAGACATCTTGGCAGAGCACGTCCAGCCTGTGTCTGAGCCACCGCCTGTCGGTCCTACGCTGGCTTTGTCCCCAATTGCGACCGAACACACACATCCGATTACGGAGCCACCTCCCTCTCCACCGGCCCTGGCCATGTCCTCGATTTCGTCCGAGCACGTGGAACCCGTAGCTACTTCTCTATTGGGAACACCTACGCCACCCAATTTTGGCTTTACTAACATTGAGTCGATCGAAACGCGGCCGCTCTCGCCGCGCAGTCTGAGAAGAGACGGCTTCATTCTCCCCCGAGACGATGACTTCCACAGCCGTGAGCCTGGGCAGCCTGAGCCACCGTTCAACAACAAAGCGCTTGGCTTGGCTTTGGGTCGCGGCAAGAAGGGCGACTTTGTTCCTATCATTGCCGAGGATGAGACAAGCCAAACCCCTCGAGACGCCCCTGACGTCGAGACGCCCGAATCGCAGCGCCCGTTCAAGGAAATTTCGAGCAACTCCAACGGCCGTTTACCACGAAAGCAGCGCGAGCCGACGAGCGACCAAGGTGCTCAGACTTCTTTGACTTCAAGCGCCATCGACAAGCTCCTCAACAGCGAGCCGCAGCAAGAGCACGGCCACGACCGTCATGCCTCTATGAGCTCGATGGGCAGCCCTGACACCACAGGGACGGTCAAGGTCCACCGCTGGCAGGAGACCCTGGACAGCCCAGTTCGCGGCAAGGGGGTGGTGGATGGGTCGGCCCTGGAGACAGCAGCACCGCCATTCAGACCCGGAAGCGCCACCAGCGGCAAGGGCTCTACCCACGACGTGCCGCCGCTTCCTTCCAACCACCGGCAGCTCATCGACGCGGCGCGATCCAACTCCGTTCGTAGCACCCTGGGCACCATGGGGCCTCCGCTGTGGCCCGCTTCGGCAATGAAGCAGCAGCGGCCTCGTACCCCCCTCGAGCAACGGCCAACGTCGGCTGCGTCGGCCCGTGCAACTGCTACACCACGATTCAATGGCGGCGGCTCGGCCCACGGGACTGCGGAGATTTACTCGCCGTCGAAGCTGACGGCACGATCTAGGAAGTCGTCGGTATCGTCCTTTGCCTCGGAACTTGACACTCGTTTCAACATCCGACCCGGCGAGATGGGCATGGGTCCCGCGGGCTTCAGTCCCGACACAGATCCTCGCATGATCCAAGCCATTACGCAGACCATGATCGGGGAGTTCCTCTGGAAGTACACGAGAAAGCCGGGGCGCGGCGAGATTTCGGAGAATCGACACAGGCGCTACTTCTGGGTCCATCCCTACACTCGAACGCTGTACTGGAGCGATCGAGATCCCTCGACTGCTGGTCGCACCGAGCTCAAGGCCAAGAGCGTTCCGATCGAGGCCGTGCGTGTCGTGAGCGACGACAACCCCATGCCCCCAGGCCTGCACCGCAAGAGCTTGATCATCATCTCTCCCGGGCGCACCATCAAGTTCACCTGCACGACGGGCCAACGACACGAGACGTGGTTCAATGCGCTCTCGTACCTTTTGCTCAGGACAGACCGGGACGGCCAGTCGGACGCGGAAGAAATGGCGGAGACCATGACGCGCGAAGATGTGGAAGAGTTTAACCCCCAGTTCGGCCGCCGACCCGCCAACGGTAACCAGCCCGAGCGCGCGCCGCCATCGCTATCCTCGTACCACTCGCGGACGACGCGAAATGAGACTTTGGCGGACGGGGCATCGATGGAGATTCCGACCTTGACGCCGGCCAACTACAACAGGCAGTCGGCAGCCACCAGGACATCGGCGGGCACGCTGAGCAAGCTGAGTGGATACTGGAAGGCCGGCGCCCCTAAGCTGTCTGGGACCTTTTCGAGCCTGCGCGGCCGGGGCTCGGGGGGTCAACCTGCGGAAGTGTACGAGGCGAGCGCGGTTCACGACAGCGCCGAGGACCTCCGGGAGATGATTGAGCGGCAGGATAGGGACTCGGACCGGCTTGAGAATGTGAGAGCATGCTGCGACGGTAAGTGTGGAATGCCAGTGGACATGCCCGTGGCGAGGCGGTGAATTGACCGGTGCGTCTGCAGGCAAACATGACGTCGGAACCTTGACGCACTCTTCGAGAGCAGGCCGTGGTCCGCACACGCACTCACATGCTTCGCTGAACATGCCCATGGCGTCGACGCGTTCCCGCGCCTGAGAAGCCACGACCCCCTCGCAACCATGGGGCGCTGCGAGGATGATGGGCGTCGATGGGGAAATACCTTGATGTTTGCGGGGCCCGTGGAGCCGCTTGTCGTGTACCTTGGCCACGCACACCGGGAGAAATACCCTTTGCGCCTCTTTTTTTGTGTATCTGACGACACTTACGATTTGCCTTTTCCCTAATTGTTTTGCATTCTTGCGGGTTGGAAACCTACCTCGTCTACCTTGTTGCCCAGTAGCCTCTTTGGCGAGACTACGAACCAACCCTGAACAATCGCTTTCTTGGACGCCGTCCTTGTTTTCTTTTTGAGTTTCTTTCGTCTACCTTTTCGCGGTGAAAGGGGCGTTGTATTTAAGCACATTGAGAAAGGCTGCCAAGGCCGAGTCTCCCACGTCTTGATCAAGAGTCGGTTGTGGCGAGCAACTGACAGAACGGGGCCTGCGCGCGTTGACGGCAATGCAGATAGCCTACCGCCCGTGACCTGGCAGGGAGGATTCATGCCGAGCTTGTTGGCCAGACTGCATGGAGGTGGGATGAGGTTGGCCGGGTGGAAGCGGCCCGTGAGGCGATGTCTGAGAGGTGTCCGAGAGGATTGTCTCTCAAAGCAGCGCCTGTGTCGATGCTAGGTCGGCAAAGTGGGGGTTCGCGGATGCCATGGACGGGCCGTACGAGACTGTCATATATCTTTACATATCCACTACATGATTTGCCAAGTTGTTGGAATGTTTGATGGTGCCTGGCTGGTGTAAGTCGGACTGAGGCGTCCGTGTCCATCCCATCGGCCCTTTTCTCTCTGCGCCCCACATATACAGGGCCAAGCGAGTTCGCGGTACGTCTAGCATATAACTAGGATAACTAGGAGACGCAGGATGGGAGAGGCAGACGGAAAGAGAGAGTCAGTCTGGCTCCCTTCATATCAAAGGACGCCACAGAGAGAGGCGAGGGCGCTGTGGCCAGCCTGGCCCGTCACATGACGTACGTACTGCTAAGTTACTTTGCACACCTGCAACAAGAAACAGCCCAAGCGTGGCGGTACGTGGGAGTACATCATGTACAGTCTACATGAGAGGCTGCAGGGGTGCCGAAATGCAGGCGTCGGGCTGCTCGGTACCCTGTACTCGGCACACACGTGGGTGCTGACTCGCCGCTAAGCTCAGGTCAGAGGAGAAAGCCACTTGGCCCCGCCACACCCACACTAATGTCACGGGCCGCGAGAGCTTCCCTTTGGTACGGAGTACTTTGTACTCCACAGCACTCTTCACCAGCTGTAGGTACCGTGCCATCCCTCCCTCCTTCTCCCCCTTCCCCTACCATCAACCTATCCTACCCAACCTCACGCACGATTCCGCCGCCCCTCGAAATCGTTTCGCCACTTGAGGTGCGTTCCCAAGGCATGGGATGCACGGCGCCGTTCCTTCTCTGCGAGGCTCCCCTTTGTTCGTCGTCGGCCCCGCCACTCGCCTCGTCTCTGTGTCCTTTATGCCGCCCGTTCCTCTCGCGCTTCCTGTCGCCGTCGAGCAGACAGCTAGCTGCTGGCCGAGCACCCGCTCCCGCCCCGGGCTACCCCCGACGGTAGCACGACTCCTTGCCCGCCAGTCTCGACGGTCATGGGTGGCTTGACGGCGATTCTAGTGGCCTACGTTGTGGGAGGCGTCACCTTCATCCCTCTCGTGCTCGCCGTCGTCTTCGCCCACGGCTTCTATACGCTCCCCCATCGCCACGATGTCGTCGCCGGCCCCAACAACGAGTATGTCGAGGGCGGCATCCTCCAGCCTGGAGATGACAAGGCACCCCTCGAGGCGGCGCGGAAGGCTGTCGCCTCGGAGCCCAAGGCGCGTGCGAATCGAGACCTGGAGGTGGCCGCTGGCTACTTTGCCGTGTGCCGCGAATACACGCCCATGGGCATCAACGCCAAGCCCATAGAGCGCTCGACTCCCCTGGGCTCGACCACGGTGGCCCCCACGAGCCCCAGCGTCTACCAGACAATGTACAGGAGCATCTTTGATCGGAAGCCGGCCTCTGGCGCCCAGGACCTTAATGGCTTGAGCCAGAGGCCCAAAAAGGCCGGCAACGTCTTCTACGTTGTGCTTCGGTGAGTAAAGCTGCCTTGGCTCCCGGAGCGCATCCGCCGACTCTGGCTGACCCATCCAAGACACGGACACCTTATGCTGTTCGACGACGAGGAGCAGCTCGAAGTACGACACGTCATTTCGCTGGCACATCACGATATCAGCATATACTCGGGAGGAGACGCAACTCCAGAGGGCGAGTTGTTTATCAAACGCAACGCCCTGTGTCTGTCGCGCAAGCCTGACGGGATAGACCAGACACCCGATAGCCATGTCTCCAAGCCCTTTTACCTCTTTTCCGAGAACTGCTCAGCAAAGGAAGACTTTTATTTTGCCTTGTTGAAGAACCAGGAGCAGACATTTGGCTTCGACGCCTCGGCACCCAAGCCTAAGCAGTTTGATGTCAAGAATATCATCTCGTTGGTCCAGAGATTGCACTCCTCCGAGGACCACGTTCACTCGCGATGGCTCAACGCCGTGCTCGGCCGGCTTTTCCTGGCCGTCTACAAGACACGCGACCTTGAAAACTTCATTCGCGACAAGATCACCAACAAGATATCCCGCGTCAAGCGCCCATCGTTCCTCACCAACATTACCATCCAGGGGATCGATACCGGAGAGGCAGCACCGTGCTTCACAAACCTCAAGCTCAAAGACCTGACCGTCGAGGGCGAGTGCGTGGTGGAGGCGGACGTCAGGTATACAGGCAACTTTCGCATCCAGGTCGGGGCCACGGTCAAGATCGACCTCGGGGCCAGGTTCAAGGCCCGCGAGGTGAACCTGGTTCTGGCCGTGCTCCTGAAGCGTGTTGAAGGCCACGTCCTCTTTAAGATAAAAGCGCCCCCCTCTAACAGGCTCTGGTTCTCCTTCCAGACCATGCCCAAAATGGAGATGGCCATCGAACCCATTGTGAGCTCGAGACAGATCACGTATACGGTAATTCTCCGCCAGATTGAGAACCGAATCAAGGAGGTCTTTGCCGAGACACTCGTGCTGCCGTTTTGGGACGACGTCCCCTTCTTCCGTACCGAGCATAAGCGATGGAGAGGCGGCATATTTGAGAGCGACGACGCTCTCGAATCGTCAGCCGACGCCGATGCCTCGGCAGATCAGCCTAGCGAGGAGGCCCCCGTGGCCCATCGCCCCGATGAGAATGCCCATGTTATCAACGAAACCCCGCCGCCGCTGGAGAAAAGCCACAGTCTGCCTGTGCTGGAGAGGCAGCAGGAGAGAACAGGGCTCTTCGGCAGGAAGCTGGGTAAGAATGAGAACAACAGCACGACATCGGTCGTCTCAACCGGCGTGGACGCCAAGGCATCCAGCACCAGTCCGTTGCGCTCGCCGAGCATTCTCAAGAACTCGACAGACCCCATCGTGGGCACCGAGACCGCGCACGCCGACCTCTTCAAGCCATCTTCCTCGCCACCTGACCACGCCACACATTTCATGGCCGCATTGCACTCGCGGTCCCAAGACATCCTGCCAGTGACCACTCCTACGGGCTCACCGGTCAAGGCCAAACAGTCGGCCAAGATTTCGAAGCAACACTCCAACAAGGATAGAGGAGATGGCGAGAAAAGCGACGACGTGAACGCCCACCCCGTACCTCGTGGACGTCGAAACACTGCGTCTTCTGCCGAGTCCAGTTTGTACGGCGACACACCAAACGTCGAGTCTCCGACGCAGTCCTCCCCAGCAGGCTCGTTAAAGAACCAGACAGGGACACTGGGTCGGGGCTTCTTTTTACGGCGCGAAAACTCCAACGCTACGACAGCCTCGACGGAGTCTTCCAATGGAGAGGTGAAGAGAGGCACGCTCGCCGCCGTTACCAATGCCGCCGCGCAGGCTAGGCAATGGGGCTGGAACGCAATCCAGCGACAGAAAGACGCCAAGCGTGGCGACGAAAAGGTCACCCAGGTCGACCTCAGCCAGCCCATGGGCCGAGGCCAGCCGCTCCCGCCACCTGGAGTCCCCTTGCCAGGTCCCACCAATGGCAGTACGAGAATTGTGCCCGTGGCTGCGCCCAAGCGCAAGCTCACAGCGGAACAAGCGTTCGCGGAGGCCCACGAGACGGACAAAGAACAAGAGCCCCGTCCTGTGCCGCCATCGTCTTTGCCGCAGAACAGGAGGCGCGGGGCCAGCCCAGAGCAGATGGGGAGCAATGAGCAGAAGATGCTGGTCGTGGCAGCGCCAGATGATTCCCAGCCTGGAACACCGCATAAAGAAATGCGGCTGGACGACGGGGGCTCTTGGGCAGGCATCACTGCCGTCATCGGGGAAGAACCGGTATTGACGCCAGAATCCCTCAAGGGCCGTTCGACGGGCAAGTGCGAGGCGTCTCTGCTGGATGTCAAGGTGGCGCCGGCAAGTCCGCTCATCGCCTTGCCAGCAGCGGCAGCTGCTGTCGTTGACGACGACGATGACTTCTCCGGGTGGATGGAGGACGACATTTTGGATGAGGAACAGCATGATGGCGATAGATTGCCAGCCGCCGTCGTTGGCAGTGTTCAATAGTGCACGGAAGGGCTTGGGGTTCACTCTAGAATGGGCATCGCCATGTATGGCTGAGTACGGCTGTTTAGGGCCCGGCATTGGTGAACGGCATGGTGGTTCTTTTTTTACGAGAGGGCAAACGGAGGAAGTTTGGAATCCATCCACTTTTGATAGCGGGCGCAGGGCGTTTTATGGCATGGCACGGGGTGGCCAAGAGGGGATGCGAGTCTCCAGACGCGGGCTTTACTTGGGTGCCGAGACAGGCTAGGAGGAGCACGTATGAAGACATCAATTTACAATGATTCTCTTTGTATTTTTGCCCTTCAAGTATTGCCGTCTGCCAGAGACCAAACCTTGAGGTATTTGGCCACAACGTGTCAATCACCCTGGTTTTCCCAGCGCGCAATCAGTCTGGCAGCCAGTCAAGCAATCGATGCACGCGCTGTTGGCCAAACAGGAGTGCTCTTTCTTTCTTTCAGCGTGAGGGCATGACGAGACATGGCGGACTGGCTTGCTGCCCGAGTCCGTCGACGACAGGATCCATTTCTGCTCCGTTCACCCCGCTGTATCCAACCTCCATGTCCGCGCCATGCTCGCTGGGCGGTCATAGTCGTCATAAACATCATGATATTCGTCGCCGACATCATCCAGTCTTGATTCCCTCACCAGTCCAACGCAGCCGCCCTGTCCGCGGCATCGACGAGCCCGCGAATAGCAGGCGCCGCCGAGGCGACGGCGCCGGCGAGCTTGGTGCGCTGCCTCATGCGCGACCAGAAGACGGGGCAGTCCTTGGAGTCGCAGGGGAAAGCGCCGCCGTCGTCGCCGGGGTCGAGGGGCCCGAGCCCGGCGCAGGTGCGGCAGACGGCGACGAGGTCGCGCAGGCGGCGCTGCTCGGCGGCGAGGCGCGTCTGCAGGGCGAGCAGCGAGGCGGGGGCGTCGGCGCGGCAGGCGAGGCATAGCGGGGAGAGGAGGGCCTGGGCGTCGCTGCCGTTGTCGTCGGCGACAAACTTTGCATTGCAGACGAGGCAGTGCGTCGAGCGCATGTACGACTCGAGCGTCGGCCTCTTGCCCGCGCGGCCATTGTTGCCCACGCCGCCGCCGCTGCCGCCGCCGCCGACACCGCCCGCGGCCGCGTGGTGGATGCGCTGCACCTTTGGCATCTCGTCGTACCACTGCCGCACGTTGGCGCCGACCAGGTTGAAGATGCGCTCGAGCGGGGGGATGAGGTTCTTCGAGATGTAGTACTCGGCGTCGAGCTGCCAGTGCGGGTTGGCCAGCAGCTCCTCGGGCGCGACGCACCGGTCAATCAGCCGCGCGCCCGGCGCCCCCGTGATGACCACGTAAGGCACCCGCTCGCCGTACTGCGGCTCGGCCCGCGCGTCCTCGAGCATCTTCCGCGTGCTGATGAGCGCCCCGGCCGGCGGCGGGCCCTTGTCCGAGTAGGTGCCCAGCCGCACCTCGCGCGCGAAGCAAAAGTCCTGCACCGACACGGCCCCGCGCATCATCTTGTCGCACTGCGACTGGAAGTAGGCCTTGACCTGGCTCAGGTCCGCCGTCTCGAACAGCAGCCGCAGCGCCTTTTCCTCAATCTTCTGCTCCGCCGGCGTGCCGTCCCGGCGCACCGTCTCGATGCCCTTGGCGTCAAAGTCGGGCTTCTCCTGCTCCCTGCTCTCGTACTTGTACCCGACGTAGCGCTTCTTGGCCAGCAGGACGCAGGGATGGTAGACCTTTTCAAACTTGAGCTTGACCGGCCGCGGGTTCATCTCGGTAACCGCCTTGGCCATTTCCTCGCCAATCTCAAACGCCTGGTCTCGCGTCCGGCCCTTCAAGTACACAAAGAGGCTGTCCGTGTCGCCGTAGACAACCTCGGCGCCCCAGCGTTCCACCGAGTGAATGTACGCAATGGCCCGCTCCAGCGTTTCGCGCCCCGTCTGCACAATGCTGTCCGCAATCTCGGAGCAGGGCATCCGGCCGGAAAAGGACGCCGACGTGTAGCCGTACGTGACGTTGGCCAAGAGTTTCAGGGCGAGCTGGCGGTTGTTCAACAGCTGTTGCAGGGTCTTGTCGTGCTTGTCCTTTTTCATGCCGCTCTTGACCATGACTCTTGTCTCCAAAATCTCCGTCAACATCTTGGCCAGCAGCGACTTGCGAATCTCCGCCTTGACATACATCATGCCGTTGGGCGCAATGTTGATGTACTCCTGCAAGAGGAGTAGCAACCCTTGTTGGCGGCTGTACTCGGAAAAGCCCATCTTGTTGGTGCCGCGCCAGTCCTTGATTCGGCCCAAGAACGTAGAGTAGCAGTAGTTGTACGCAATCATGACGCTCGGATACAGGCTCTGGAAATCCAGCACGAGAAGAGGGCTGTTGTAAAACGCGCTCTGTGGCTCCATGACGAGCGGCAGGCACTCGAGCGCGTTCTGCCCGCCGACCTGCTTCTTGCTGGGCGACACGAGGAGGAAGTTTTCAGGCTTCGCAATCCTGAACATGATGGACTCGACTTTGAACTGCGAGCCACGGGAGAAGACGGAGAAGAAGTCGACGCCGAGCAGCCTTGCCTGCTCGCTGGTCCTTGGGATCAGCTCATTGGCTTCCAGAATCCGAATGTCCAATCGGGTCCGCGTTCGGTAATATCGCAGGAGCTTGCTCAAGTCCCTGGCCTTCCCGCTCTTGTACCATTGTGTGAGCGTCTTCCACGAGTAGTGAGGGACCCTGGTATGGAGAAGATGCCACGCGACGTTTTCCATGGTATACTGAAGAAGATTCAGCTCATTCTGCATCGCTCTCCATATGTTGACCATGTGTCTGCCCGTAATGCGAATGGTGGATGTCGTGTTGAAGCCCCAGCGGTCAGTGTTCTTTCCAAACCGGCCGTGAGAGTCGGACTTCATGCGGGAAAGCTCGTCACACAGGTTGTAATCGTATTTGCATCTTGCCCTCTCAATCAAGTAGCCCCACGAGCCACTGTGAACCTCGAAGCCCGTCAAAACATCTGGATCAAACGTCCTCACCACCTCGACCACGCGAATCATGACATCAAGCTCAGAGCCTTCTTCGACAACCTCGGCCCTGGTGCACGGTGGCATCTTCCGCATGGCCGAATCATCGCCAGAGAGCGCAATCATTCCATAATGGAGGGCATTTGCCGATTCCTGGGTGTTCAGCATCTTCTCGTCCGACTTGCATGCCCAGAATATGCACTGGATCTCGTCTTCCTCGGGGTTGGGAACGAACTTTCCCCGGGTGTTGACATGAACCTCGAGGCTCATGGTGCTCATGTACTGAACTTCATGCTCGACGCTTGTCGACTTCCGCTTCTGTGTGTACTTGAATCCGTGCTTGTTCTTGGGCGTTGGGCCGCAGATTTGCGACAACCACGCCGCCGGGCGTGCCACAGTCCCACGACGCTCCTCGACCTTCTTTTCAAGGGCGTCCCTCTTCTCGTCATGCCAATCCACCACACTCCGACGACTGGGCGGTGGCTGAGCAAATTCCCAGCTCCTCCAGCTGCACTCGCGTCGCTGCCGGTCTTGTTCTTGTTCAAGGCCGGCTCTTCTCAGGACGGGGTCTTGTTTGAAGCCAGCAACTGCTGGAGACGACCCAGTTACTTCAAAGGGTGGGAGAAACGGCACCGTGTTGCTATCGAGTCGATATTCCCGCCCAGCATATTCGCGGTTCCGCTCTGGCACGTCCTTTTCTTCACCGTAGAACGCATCCTGGTAGATGATATCGGGCAGGCTGTGTTCCTTCATGCTGCTGCATTCCGCTCTGCTCGGAGGCTGAAGCGCAAAGACGAGAGCCGGGCGATTCGAGAAATTGGTAGGCGCGTTTCGAATTTTGGCGGCTTGAGCTGGGGAAGTAAGGTGGTCCGAGGACAATAGGGACAGTACCGAGAGTTGAGAGCCGGCGTGGCCCTGGTCTGCCAGAAGAGCGTTTCTGCCAAGAGACACCTGTTTACTGTTCATGGCTTCGTCGCTCCGCTGACTGGCAGATAGCTGGCTATTCTGGCTGATGTGCAACTTGTTGCTTGCATCCAGATGATCTTTGACAATCGCATAGCTAAGGGTCTGATTCGGAGCAGCTGTCCCGGCAGAGGAGCCATGGCGACTTGTGGCAGAGACTGGTTTTGCTTCATGACGAGCTCGAGGCTCAGATTGCTCGTCACCAGACTGTCCCACACGCAGGCCGTACGCTGCGTTGTCTTTGATACCCAGAGAACGTGGCTCTTTTCTAGGCCGTTTCCAAGAGGAACTGGGAGTAGAAGCGCTTGACCTCCTGCGCTTCAGCTGATCCCGTGCTGAAGATGTCAGGTTGTCCGTGATTTTGACTCTGCCAACCAGACCCTCATCTTCGGCCGCTTCTAGCAGCGCTGCAGACACCGGCATCGTCGGCAGTCGTTTTGTCTTGAGCATGCTCAGACAGATTCCCGGTATTTGCAGGTAGGATTGGGGCTCATGCGCGCCCATTAAAGCCCTTTTCCCAGCTTTTATTGAGCCGAGTTGGCCAGCCGTGTCTGCTCTGCGCTCCCATGTTTCATCAAACTCTTCACCGTCAATCAACTCGCCAAGGGCGTCCTGGTCGGAGTCGTCCGGAAAGAATTCATCATTGGCCAGCTGGACTTGGCGAGCTTTTGTCTCGTCCACCTCGATGCTGGATGATACGCCATGGGACGATTGGCTTGGATGCGAAGGTAGACCGAGTGCCGGCATCAGCTTGGAAGGGTACAAGTCCTCCACAGATTGCAGGACGGTATTCACTGCCCTCTCAAGCTCGGTTGATCCGGCAAAGGTATCGAATCCAACCTCTTCGCCGTTGAGATCTGCTTGTTCTCTGTCAACCAGGTCGCGAATGTCGTTGCGGTATTCTTCTTCGTGAATCCATCCTTGAGGCTGGGAATCTCGGGGGTCCGCGGACATTGTGACGAGCACGTCCGGAGGGAAGGGACTCTTGCCCTGCTGCACACGCGGCATTTGTCGTTTTCGTCTCTTCGTCTCGTCCTTCCAAAGGCCCGCCATGCTGTGCACCAACTTCATATCTCCAGGAATAGGAGAAAGACGCTCCACGAAGTCATGATGCAGCTGGCGTTCCCTCACAATCTTCCTGTTGGTGATGTTCTGGACGCAGACGTCCACCTCGATTGAGCAGTGGCTCACACGAGGCAGCGAGGGATCGTCGGTGACACTTTCTGGTGGGATTGACAAGCTGTGCCATAGGTGCGACGAGTTTGACCCCTGCTCTTGCTGAGGAATGGGAGATCGAAACGTGGTCTTGGACGCCTCGAGATAGTCGCAGCCGTACAAGTTGTAGTCGACCATGAACTGGAGAAGATACTGCAAGTGCGCCTCAAAGGGCTGAAACTGTTGCTTCATGATGACTCCCTGTTGAAGAAGATCGGCCAGCCGCGTCATGACAACGGGATTGAACATGTAGACTTTGAGAAAGAACCGGTAGCCCACGTGGAACCCGTAAAAGGGAATGCCCTTGACCAGCGTGATGCGGGCCACGAACTTGGCATTGCCTCCATACTGATCCCGCCGGTAGCTCACGGCAAGGGCATGGTCAATGGAGAGATGAAGACGGTAGATGAAGGCACCGACTGCAGGGCGAGTCAGCCAGACGCAAAGTTCACAACGAAGGGAGCGGAACGAACCTTCTTCTGAAGCCAATCCGCCTCGGTACTCCACGTAAAGGTAGGGAAACGCGCCGTGGACGTGCGCGCAGACCTTTTGGCCAGTTTCCGTAGAACCAAAGATCCGCACCACGGGCACCTTGGGACCCTTGGATGCTTGCGAAGGGCGTACGTCATTGCGCAACTGGGGGTCATAACGCGTTGGTGAGGCCTGGTAGTGATCGATGCAATTCAGCCTGACCCGGAACAGGTCCATGCTTTGCCCCGGATGGCTCCATCAGCACCAGCTCAGAAATCGCCGTCGAAGCATCTCTCCGCGACAAGAGCACCGGTCCGTTCAGGTGGTCAAGCATGCGGACGCCCTGTGGGTCAACGCGTCCGGCAAACTCCGCTCGCTCCGCATCATCACGAGGTCACGTGATGATTAGCATTTCCAATACTGTATGCAGCTTCACGATAACCAGCCGTGCGACTCTGCGCCTGAGCGAAGCGGAGCAACCACCGACACACCAATCCGAACTTCTCCCGGGGTCAGTCATCTCACCACCCGGTGTCATCGCACTCGCTTTCGCTCCTTGTTTGAGCTCGAGTGCAGCTTCTAGACAGTCTCGCCGGTTGCCTCACCATGCCACCGCCACCCCCCCGAAAGCCCCCGTCGGGCGCGGCATCAAAGGAGGAAAACATCTACATCCCATCCTTCATCAGCAAGCGGCCCTTCTACACCGGCGAAGAAGGCGACGATGCCGACTACCTCAAGCATCAGCGACGAGAGGAGAAGACCGAACAGTCATCACAATGGTACGACAGGGGCAGGAAGGCCGGCCCAGCAGCCACAAAGTTCCGAAAGGGAGCTTGCGAGAATTGCGGCGCAATGACGCACAAGGCCAAGGACTGTCTGAGCCGCCCCAGAGCAAAGGGCGCAAAGTGGACGGGCAAGGATATACAAGCCGACGAGGTCATCCAAGACGTCAACCTCGGCTGGGACGCGAAGCGCGATCGTTGGAACGGCTACGATACCAAGGAGTACCGGAATGTGGTCGCGGAGTTCAACCAGATGGAGGAACTGCGTAAGCAAGCGAAGCAGGCGATAGATGACGACGAGGCTGAGGACGAGGGTGACAAGTATGCCGAGGAAAATGACATGAGCAAGCATCAGAGCACGGCAACACGGCAGCTCAGAATAAGAGAAGACACGGCGAAATACCTGCTCAACCTGGACCTCGAATCCGCTAGATACGACCCCAAAACGCGGTCGCTCGTCAACGCTGGCGCAACAGGGGGCAAGTCGGCGGCCGTCTTTGCTGAGGAAGGTTTCTTGAAGTCTTCTGGTGAAGCGGGCGAGTTCGAAAAGGCGCAACATTACGCCTGGGAGACTCAGGAGAAGACTGGCAACACCTCACAGCACTTGCAGGCGAACCCGACTGCAGGCGCATTCTCCAGGAAGAAGGAGCGAGAAGAGACTGAGAGAATGCGGGCAGCCCGCGACGAACTGCTGGCAGACCGGTACGGGCGGGGCGATCAGAAGCTGCTGCCCGCGGCACTGCGCGGCATGATGGTGACCGAGTCGGAGACATTTGTCGAGTACGACGAGGCCGGGCTGATCAAGGGCGCGCCCTTGAAGGCCGCCAAGTCCAAGTACGCCGAGGACGTGCTGACGAACAACCACACGTCGGTCTGGGGAAGCTGGTGGTCCAACTTCAAATGGGGCTACGGATGCTGCCACTCCCTCATCAAGAACAGCTATTGCACAGGGGAGGAGGGCAAGCTAGCTTGGGAAATTGCTGAGCGCCAGCGGACCGGAGCTAATCTTGTCGAGGACGATGCCAATGGGGAAGCGGTCGATGGGCAGGACGCGGCCGGCCAAGACCTGGAAACAACAACAAAGGTCAAGAAGCGCACGCGGGAAGAAATGATGAATGGGGTCACCGAGGCTGAAATGGAGGAGTACCGGCGGAAGAGGACAGCAGCAAATGACCCCATGGCGAAGATACTGGGCAAGGACGAATTATTGACCTAACGGAGACATTCGGGCAAAGCATTAGCGACCAACTTCTCCAGCCGCTTTGTAGAAGCGCACTTTCATCGTTTCAAGCCTTGCATAAATGTCAAGTGAACGTGGAAAGCAGTCGACCGTCATCCATGGTTGGTGCGCGCAAGGTGGCGGCAACTTTCATTTAAGCTCAATAGCCGTGACAAGATGCACATACACGGCATGACAACGTCTTCAGCGTGAAACCATTTCATTTTACCCTCTGGCCAACGCCGCAAGCCGTGACTAGACATCCTATCCCACCAGCGGTACACCAGGACCACCGAGCCAAGATATATGGGAGAACCGCAATGACATGGCTAATGCATTTACTCGTCGTCTTCCTCCTCCTCGCCCTCAGCGCCACCCTCGGCGGCCTTGGCCTTCTTTCTGCGAACACGACCGGGGCGACCGCTGCCAAAGGGCGAGTTCAGGGCGAAGTCGATGTGCTTCTGGGAGTCGAGACGGACGATGAAGGACGGGACGTTGACAATCTGCTTGCCAACGCGGATGTGGCGCTGGCGGATGAGGACACGGGCGTGGTGGATGGACTTGGCGAGGCCGAGCTTGTAGACACAGGTCTGCAGGCGACGCTCCAGGAAATCCTCAATCTTGAGGGCCAGCACGTAATCGAGCTTCATGCGCGACTCGTCGAGCACGCCAACGCGGACCAAACGGCGAATGAGGGCATTGCCTTCGAAAAGACGCTTGGGGTCCTTCTCGTCGAGGGTCAAAAGCTGACTGCGAAGATGGTCAGCATACCATTCCCGCGCTGTCTTTCGTCGTTCCGGGCATCTTACCGGGCAGCTCGACGGATCTTGGACAGAGTCAGACCGACTCGCCAGACCTCACGCTTGTTGCGCAGGCCATACTCTCCGACAAGCTTCAACTCCGAGTCCCTGTTGTATCCCAGTCAGTCTCCCATCACAATCGACTTAAACAGAGACGAGCTCGTGTTCAGTGGCCGGTGATACTGACAGTCGGGCAGCCTCGAAGGGTCTGCGGGGGACACGAGAGGTCTTCGAATACGCGCGAGGAGGCATCCTGGGCGATGTTAATGCTTGCGCTGCAAGAAACTCGGTCGGAAAACTCACTTGGCTTGCTCCTGTGGTGTTGGCTGGAGATGGCTAGTTGCACGGAAGTCTGCAAAAGTTCGTGGTCGCAACTTGTGGGGTGTAATTTTCGCCGACTAGCATCACGTGCAACCTGCCTGCTGAGCCCTAAGAGTCTCGACGCAGGCCGCCAGCAAGAGGGCCCACTAAGCGCACGCACTTGCCCTAGCATCTCGCTGGCGGAGGAGAAAAAAAAGAGGGATTACCTAAGCTCTCAGTCCGAATTCCCACAAGCCTGCAGCACAAACACCACACCCACGACGGAGGATCTAATCATCCACCTCTGCCAAACCTCGATCACGAACCCGCTGTTCGGCAACTAAAACGCGATGGGTCACTCCTACGGAAAGAGAGCGGGCACCCGCGTACGTTGAGCCCCTCGACTGTCGAACCCCGGCCGCATCGCTGACCAGCCGCAGTATGCCTTCAGCAGGAACTTTCGCCAGAAGGGCATGATCGCCCTGAACACGTACCTGAAACAGTACCGGTCGGTGTTTTCGCGACGATTTTGAAGGAAGCAGGCGGCTGATTTGCAGTAGTGTTGGCGACATTGTTGACATCAAGGTCAACGGTGCGGTTCAGAAGGGGTAAGAGTGCTCGAGATCTCCTTGGCCTCCTGCTGGACTTGGAAAGGCCATTGCAAGGACGCCGCGGCTAACAATCGACAAGCATGCCCTACAAGGTCTACCACGGCAAGACTGGTGTCGTCTACAACGTCACCAAGAGCGCCGTTGGTGTCATCATCTACAAGAAGGTGTGGCACCGATACATCGAGAAGCGCATCAACGTCAGGATCGAGCACATCCAGCCCTCCCGGTCGCGTGAGGACTTCCTGAAGCGCGTCAAGTCCAACGCCGAGGCCAAGAAGAAGGCCCGCGTCGAGGGCATCACCGTCCAAGTCAAGCGCCAGCCTCTCCAACCCCGCGAGGCACGAACAGTTTCCCTGACCGACAACCCCCCCGAGACCGTCACCCCTCTGCCTTACGAGACCACGATTTAAGAAGAGTCCTTGGGCGGAGTGTATGGTGGCTTGCTTCTTGTTTCTTGTGGTGTTGCGTCCGGATGGGAAAGATCTCAGCATGGCAGGGTCTGCATTTTGATGTCCATAGGGAATGAGACTCAAGGTGACAACTACTTGCGATGACGCGCTAGCGTCCCAGATGGTACCCCGCGTTCCGTTCATCCTTCAAGCTCATGTCCGTCGGAGGAAGAGATACCAGGTCGCCGGTCGAAGACACGGACAGATGGCCGGTCGGGCGCCTCGGTTGCCCGGCTCGGGCCGAGTCCTTGCGCCACAGCCGTCGTCTGAAGCGGACCAATGTCTACGAGACCGCTGATAGCAAAGTCAACTTTTATTCTTGGGTATATCAAGCTCTACTCTAGGGTTGTCCACTTCCAGCTCGATACTCCGAACAAAGACAGGACCCTCTCTACCTATGCCGAGGGACACGTAGACCGGACTCATGACTGTAAAAAAACAACGACCCTTTGCTCAGCAGTCAATATCCACTTTGACCGATTGCACGCGGATCGACTGCTTTTTACCGGCTTGCCTCTTAGCTGGTACTGTCCCCAAGCCTATAGTTCTAAGAACGTGACTGCGGTATAGCACCGGCAAAGGTTTGCAGCCAGCCAGGCAAACAGAGAAGCAGGCAGCTCTCAGTTCTTCCGATGCAGTTACTGGCAGCAACGGTTGCGACAACGGAGATTTGCGTGCAATTGGGCAAATGGTACTCAAGAATCATTCCTCGTCATGTGCTGAACCCTACTCAGGGCCTCGACTCCCTCTGTCGTGGCTCACCTCAAGCCCTGCCTCAACGCCACCGCTCTGGCTAGTAGCTCATTATAGGCCGCAGTATAGTCTGTCGACAACGCAACATCTCCCGTCATCCTCATAATCGCGGCTCTCTTGGCCATCGTCTCGCACTGGCGCTCAATGTCCTCGACAGCCGAGTAGTGATCAAACGCCTTCTGCAGCGCCCCCATTGCCCTCGTCATGTACTCGGTCCGCTTGCTCGACCTAGGCTGCATGGTCCCCGCGAGGCCCATGTTGGCGTCGGCGAGGAACGAATACAGCTGCGCGGCGACGTCTAGCACACCGCATTCAAGGGCCCGCGGAAGCACAGCGACAAGCAGCTGGGCGGCGGCGTCGAATTCCGCGAGTGATACCAAGATGTTGGAGACGGCGCCAATAGCCTGCCACAGACAGGGAATCAGCCGTGCCCGCCAAGCAATGTTGGCGGCCCGAACGGCCGTCGAGAAGGCCCTCTGCGGCCGTCCACACTTGTCCAGGAGCGAGACTTTGAGCAAGAGTAACTTGACACGGAGGGCAATGTCTCTGTTTTCGTCTTGGAGTTTGAGAGTCAGCCGATTCACCTCTTCAAAGGCCGCCTGGAGATCACCTCTTCGCGAGAGATAGTCAATGTGCATCGAGTCGATCAAAAAGGCCATATCTGGCTCAAGGTCGTCCACCTTGGACTGCAGGAGCTGGTCCAGTAGCTGCCTGGCGCCATCCAGATTGTTGTGGTGGAGGTCCTTTTTGAGTTTGATGATGCCCCTGTATTTATGCCAGTACTGGCTCGGCTTCCAGGAGCGAAGTGAGTTTTGATCCAAGCCGTCAAGTTTTTCCAGGCCTTCGTCGTACTTTCCGCGTTCTGCGAGTGCAAGGGCGATGCGACACGTGTGCTTGAGCTCGTCATCAAAGACTGAATGCCGCGCGTGGCACCGCAAGAATGTGTCGGAGGTGAGAGAAGACAAATGCGCCAGCCCGAGCCGGTTCCACAGCGCTGCGTACAAAGATAGCTGAGAGCCAAACATGCTCTTCAAGTTTCGCTCAACGATGATCTGCGAGCTCCGCACCAAATATTCAAGTGAAGTCGCCACCGAGTCTCCGTTGATGAGAGCGACTTTGGCCTCGCTGAGAAGCACGGAGCTCCACAGCGTCCACATTCCACTCTCTTTTGCCTTGACGCGGAGGAAGGCCAGGCTCTCTTTTCCAGTCCCCAGCAGGCTGTTCGACTCCAGGTCGCGCACGAGGTCCGGATGAGCGCGACCGAAGTGGAAGAGCCAGTTCAGGGCAAAGTTGAGGCAAGTCATGTCTCGATTTTCTCGCGCCGTGGACACAGTCTCGAGCATGGCGGACACGGCTTCTTGGTGACACCCGAAGTCTGCTTGGAGGACAGCCAAATTCATGAGGGCGTACTGATAAAAGAGTCGATCGCGATGCTGCATGGTGTAGTCAAAGTATCGATGTAGGTAGTCAAAGGCTGTGGTGTAGTCTCCCGCTCTCCAAGCATCAAGGAAGCTGCTCCATTGTCAATGACAAGTATGGGAAACCGAGACTGGAGATAACAACCTGAGGTAATGCGTGAGGCTTGGCACCAGAAAGCTATCCCGAAGCAGATCCTGAAACTGATGGCGAATTTCCAGGGGGATCCTGTTGCCGAATTCTGGAAGACCACTATTAGAGCGACGGGTAGAACTGTCGGGGCACAGCCACTTACTTTGCATCTGCTCGATCTGAAACTCGAGGAGAACCTCAATGTCGTCGGTGCTCACAGGGATAGTGCCGCTCTCGTCACCGGTGAGCATGTCTCCGTACGCAACCGCGGCCAACGCAGTAACGCCTTTCAGGTTCCACTCCTCCTTCTCCCCAAGCAGCAAAACATTATCGAAGCTGAGACGGCCGAAGGCGGGATTCTTGCGTCTCAGATATTGGGCTGTTGGCTGTCGGTACCTCACAAAGTCCCTCCACAGCTCCGTGCAATCGTGAAACCTCAGGCGCTGGAACTCGAGGCGCGCCCTGCGGACAAAGGCTCCAAATGGGGAGTTTCGTGACAGCTTCACCTTGCTGTCTTGCTGGTGAGACTCATCGTCGTCCGATCGGCGGCGCGCTTCCTTGGGGTTCGACAGCAACATCGAGATTCTCTCAAAGAAGCTGTGGAGGGCATCCAGAGAATTGATGTCCCAGAGCTTGGTGAGGAATTGGTCCCACAGCGTCCTCCCCGGCATGCCCATGAGAAAGGGATAGGTGCCGAGCAGCCTCTCGAAATCCTTGACAGTGATGACGAGACCAACTGTGCGCTCTGCCTTGCTCCATCGCATTTCTGGCGTCGGAGACGAGCCGGCGTGGCCATGGTCCAGGATATGTGACGTGACGAACGAGAGCACCGGCAGTACCGCGTCGCTCGGGACAGCCTCCTCCGTGTAGAGCTCAATGAGGGCGAGGAGGCCGATTTTGGCCGGGTTGAGGTATCGAGCCATGGCCACAACAGGCGCTCACTCTGTAAGCCTAGCAGGGTCTGGTTCCCGTCAATACAGCAGTCGCAGTGTGAGATGCAGTGCAGTCCCGTCGGCGTGAAGGACTGAAGCCATGAAATATGGGCGCAGCCGCAGTTATTCTCTGCTTTTGCTCAGTGTTTGCGATTGGAGACGCGGTCAAGGCCGAAGAGGAAGACGTCTGCCGACCACGGTTGACAAAGGACTGGTCCGCCCATTGGAGAGAGAGTGCGCCGCTGGTCTGGCACCGTTTGTTTCTCGATGTCGAGCCGGAGACGCGTTCCTTCCCTCGGTCGCCAACTCGCCATCGCGGCCGGGTATTCTTCGGTAAGCGATGAGTTGCCGATGATGCAATTGCCGCAGCACACCCAACAGCCAGCGATTTACATGACCGGGAGAGCAATTGAACGCGCAAATCACGTCTCTGAGACTTTGGAAACTTTACTTCTTCTGAACGAGGTGTGATAGAAATCGGCTGCGGCTCGTCCACCGCGAGCATTGGGCGTACTCGGTAGGACGCATGCTTCCTTGGGCCGTCGATCAAGAGATACGGACAAGACAATAAGCAACCAAGACGAGACTGAGATCAAATAAACAATTACCACATCACGGCAGCGAGGTTCACATGGCATGCGCATATATTAGGGTCAGGTTTCAATTCGACAAACGGAACCGTATAGGGGTCTCTCCGACTGGGTGGGTGTCGGTCAGAGGCCAACTGGAACCACTCCGGCTTCAAAGTCCACTTTACGCAACCTTGTCCTTGTTGTGGTAGTTGACCTTCTCGTTCCAGCTGATGCAGACCGTTAGCAACCAGATGATCCAAGAGAACGGCGGCAAACTCCTGGGGCTGTCGAACTCCGCGACACACGGCCTGGCGTCAGATAGTCGGTACTTACAATAGGGTCTATCACTCCGTTAGTGGTCAAAGAATCCTTCGTCACACAAGACATGCTGCCGTGGCTCACCTTGTCACCATCACCCCATTGGTAGTTCTTGGTGCGAATGTTCTGGTAGGGGTACTCGGTGCGCTCCTCAAGAGGGGGCATGTGCGACCAGTGCTCCCAATGAGCCTCCCACAGGTAGTAAGCGTTGGCTCCGGCGAGGACGAGGCAGGGGATGACGCCGCTTCGGCATTAGTTAGTCTTGGGTTTCCTCAGAATCATGGCAGCGTTGCCCAGGTTGACCTCGATTTCGACCTCGATAATTCGCTCGGGCGGGGACGGGACGACATACTAGATGGAAATTTTCCTCCAAAGCTCTGGGTCCAGTCAGTCAGTGTGCGCTCTGCTCTGCCCGCAGCGTCGGCCAGCAAGTCTAGCCCACTTACCTGTCGTCCCACTGGCGTGGTCTTTGATGTGCTGACGCTCCTTGATGAACTCGTTCTCGGTCGACGAGCTCGCAAGGCGTCGCTGGGCAGGGGCGCGCAGCTGCGCAGCAAAGCGCGAAGCGACTCGGGCGGTTTGTCGCGTGGCGAACATGGTTGTCGTGGTATGTCGTCGACGGATTGGCGACTCCGAAGCAGATGAGGTTGGGGTGGATTGCAAGATCAGGTCATTCGGCAGCGCGGAACCAACGAGCCAATCATGGGTGCCTGAATTGCCAGGCGTCAAAGCTCGTGCCGCTCACGTGATATCGCGCTCCGCCCGCGCAACCTATCGAGCTCGACCTTCTCGCGACGTGGGGCACGGCTTAGTGGTTTATGACGACGTCTGGTCTCACGGCCAGCCCAAATGTGACGACTTTTTGGCGGCAAATCGGATGACCTTTAGTTCCATCACGTATCAATCTGAAGCATTGTCTTCTGCTATCATCTCGTCAGTCTTTGACTCTCCCGTTGGCGCCCATCTCGACTGTGGCTGATGTCATCGCCTTCATTATCTATCTTGCAGCACCGAGTTTGCATTGCAATGTTGAGGCATCACCCACAACTTGTCTTCTCTTTCAGCAATGGGGCTCCGTATAACGACTTGGAATGGTAAGCGATCTTGCATGGTACATCTGTTTTGCGGCACGGCTGACGAACCACACAGTCAACGGCATTAGGTATGCTTTCTTGATCTTCAGACTTCAGGACCTGACTCTGGAAAGACTGCCTCTCACACCGATCGCAGGAATCCTTTCGGATATCAGCCATGGAGAGAACAGAGAACGTTCCAGGCAAGACCCCGCTCCGTCAAAATGCAAGCGATGCAGTTGCTAATCCTTGGTTCTGTAGGCCATGTTCGAGATCTTGGAGGCCGACATTGTGGTGATGCAAGAAACGAAGATTCAGCGCAAAGATCTGCAGGATGACATGGTCCTCGTGCCTGGATGGGATGTCTACTTTAGCCTTCCCAGGCACAAGAAAGGCACGCAATACTCCTCCGCCCGTCTCGATGTTGTTTCCATGAGCTCTAATAACCAACTTTACTCCCCTTAGGATATTCCGGCGTGGCTATTTACACGCGAAACTCTACTTGCGCACCCACACGTGCCGAAGAAGGAGTAACGGGCGTTCTCTGTACCCCCAGATCCTCGACAAAGTTTCGCGAACTTCCCGAGGACCAGCAGATTGGGGGATATCCCCGCCCTGGTCAGCTCTCAGGCAGCGTCGACGAGTTGGAACTGGACTCCGAAGGGCGCTGCGTTATCCTCGAATTCCCTGCCTTTGTTCTTTTCGGCGTCTACAGCCCAGCCAATCGAAACGAGGCCCGTGATGACTTTCGCCTCGGGTTCCTTGAAGCTCTCGACGTACGGATTCGCAACGTGGTCGCAGCCGGAAAGCAGGTTGTTCTCACCGGGGACCTCAACGTCACTCGCTCGGAACTAGACACGACAAATCTGCTCGACGTCTTGCGCAAGGAAGGAATACCCTTGGACGACTGGATGTCGATGCCCTCGCGGCGCATCTTCAACCAGCTCCTCTTTGAAGGAACTGTCTCCGGTCCACGGGATGCTGGTCGGGAAACCCCTGTTCTATGGGATCTGTGCCGATGCTTCCACCCACATCGAGAGGGCATGAACACGTGCTGGGATACTAAGAGAAACACACGGCCAGCAAACAACGGCAGTCGAATCGACTATGTGCTGTGCAGTGATGGCTTGAAGAGCTGGTTCATGGACGCAAACATCCAGGAGGGACTGATGGGCTCTGACCACTGCCCCGTATATGCTACCATGGTGGATCGAGTCGAGGTCGATCACGGACAGGTTGCCCTGGCTGATTTGATGAATCCGAGTGGCATGTTTCAAGATGGAAAGCGGGTTCGCGAGTGGTCTCAAAAGGACGTGCTCCCCTTGTCTGCCAAGTTGATACCCGAGTTCGACCGCCGCCAAAGCATCCGCGACATGTTTTCCAAGAAGCCTGAGCCAAACGCGCCCGCACAACCACCTTTGAGGCTCGAGACGTGGTCCAAGACGGAGGACTACCCTGCAAGCCAACGCATTTCGAGCTCGTTTCCGGGCAGTAGCGAGTCCACGAAGCTTACCACCTCAGCGAGCGATGAGTTTCCCGTTGCAGACTTTCCCGTTGCAATACGCAACGCACCAGCCCAAAGCCCGCAGCAACCGTCCCAGCTCAAGCGATCGTCGAAACCTACAAATGGTTCCAGTCGGTCTGCAAAGCGGGTCAAACCTGGTGCCGACCCGAATGGAAGCAAGGCCAAGGCGAACTCGGGTCAGAAAACTCTGCAGGGTTTCTTTAAGCCGGCCATGTCCAACTCTGTCTCTGCTGAGAAGAAAAATAAGAAACTAGGGCCGCAAGATGCGCCAGCCTCATCCGGCTCCTCCACGCCGTCGATGTCTTCGAAACCAGACCCACAAGATAGCGTGCTCAGCAAAGCGTCGCCTTCAAAGGACGCCGGACAATCTGCAGAATCGCCGGAGCGTGTCTTTGATCCAATACAGGCCAAGGAGTCGTGGTCGAAGCTGCTCGGCAAGCGGTTACTTCCTCGCTGCGAGCACGACGAGCCATGCATCAGCCTCGTGACCAAGAAGCCGGGCGTGAACTGCGGTGAGTCTTGTCGTAGTGCCACACACTTGCTGGATAGGCTGCCCTCTGCTTGCCGCTCGTAGCATTGCGCCGCGCATGAGATGGTCAGTCACTGATGGTGCAACAGGCCGGTCGTTCTACATTTGTCCACGACCGCTCGGTCCGTCTGGTGAAAAGGAAAAGGGCTCGGAGTGGCGATGCGGGACTTTTATCTGGAGCAGCGACTGGAACTGCTCCAGCGTGTAGCAAACGAGCCTTGAGGCTGCCATGGAACGGGTCTGATTCCAGCTCGCCTTTGTCTTGCGATGCAACAACCATCTACCCCTTGCTGCCTACCTGTAGTGCAACGAAAAGAAACAAACGCAGACACTTTGCATCCGCCATCCTGCCCCACAGTCCCTTCGACCGTGATGTTCGTCCCAGGGGCGCCCTTAACCTCGAGAAAACACACTGCACAAGGCGTAGCCCATCGGCACACAAGATCGTAGAAAGTATCGAACGCACTTAGGCCATAAGGCCGCCGGCGCTAAACACCAAGAATACTGCGGCTATAGTCACTACCTAAGGCCTGCGATACCATCAACAATACGACGATACATATAATCCGGGCAGCTCCACGCCGCTTCCTAATAATGACGCGGCTAACAATGAAGAGGCTAACAAGGACCGGTTGATGGGTCACAACACCAAGCGATTGACCTTATAAAAGACGAAATTATCGTCGCGATGCCCTTATAATAGCCCTGCAAAAGCTCTTGCAAGAGCTTTTATAGGAGCTCTCGCAAGACTTAGAGCACAGGTCGTTTGGGCCGGCCGAGTAGGAGGTTATAGCCGCACGATCGGATAAGGCAGAGGCAGAAGTCTAAGAGGATGGACAGGCACAACAAGAATTATGTGATGAGGGCCTCTCTTACAGACATATAGTCATTACGCCGCTAGGGCGCCTAATATACTGTTGTTAAGGAGAGCCGAGCCTGGAGGTCCAAGCCGAGCCCAAGGGGTACAAGAGCCGGCAAAGGGGGTCTGCCGGGCCAAGATGGCATTCCTAACAGAGTGACGAGTGGAGGTCGTAACTTATGTATAGAAACATCTTAGTTTCCTTTTTTTGGCCAACTATTTGTGGCATCTATATCTATATGAAGCCCTTCTCTCGTCCCGATAGATAGACCAAGACATGCATCACTAAATCCACCTCGTTGAGACCCCTGTCTGTGTCTTCCACTGTGCTCTCAAGCCGATGCTTGAGAGCTATCTTCTATATGTTGCGATAATCTCACTTTCAGGTGTGCCTTGGGAGCCGTACGTAGGCGCGGGGAATATGCGCACATAAATTTGCGGTATGGGCTGTTGCAGTGTGTACTCGGGGTGACGGCGGGGCGACGATGGGGGGTGACGGCGGGCGGAGGATTTCCGAGCTTTGCTTCTGCCGTTTGGTGTTGAGGCGCCCTGCTTGCGTGTCGGAAATTTCTCCCAGCTTCTCGAATGAAGACGCTGCTTGAGCATTTTGCTAAGCTTCGTCGTTTGCCTGTAGCCACTCGTTCCGGGACATTTTCCCGCCTGCTCGACAGAACTCTTTGAACTTGATATCAGAGTTCGGCTGATGCCAGTCCCGGTCCAGGCTGCAGAGCTCAGAGCTCTTTGTCCAGTACTCGGAATCAAAGAGAGGGCTTCCGGCTTGAGTTATTTCCTGACGCTTCGAATGCTCCGGGCGACATTGGTGCGCTTTGACTGGAGGTGTTGCAGAGCGACCATATCGCTGTCTGGGGGCGATGGCTGCGTATATTTTTCCAAGCACGCGATTGACTGGAGCTGATGCAGGGTGATTAGTCCAGGGCGACGGCTGCGTTTCTTCTTCTGAAGCTGCTGGTACGGGCAGGGATCGTAGGCTTTGTAGCAGAAGCAGTGCAGTGCACAAAGAAGGCAGCGGCCTTGAGGCGGTGGCTCCAGATGGATGGATGCATCGTAATTGTGATTGAAGATGAAGATGCAAGATGAAGATGCTAAGCTGGCTACCAAGTACCAACCCAGGCAGTAGGCAGGCAGCTCTTGAGGGCCTTGATCCTCTGGCAGCTGCCCGCAGTCAGGTGACATGTGGGGCGCTACAAGCAGAGGGCCGCCTTAAACGGCCAGAACGGCCGCTAATTATTAATATTCGGCCACTTAAAAAGGTGGGCTAGTGTGGCTAGCGCCGGGCATTCCCCGCCCGTACGCCGGGGCGGTGAGACTTTCAACGACACGGCCATGCGTTTGAGCAGGGGACCCGCATGCCCGGGGCGTACGTATCAGTATGCATTGGTGCGGACGGCACTTATTGCAGTCTCCGACCTACGGGCGGGGAATGCGCGCATACAAAATGTGCGGTATCGGCGCTGCGTCTTGACAAGCCACAGTAGCCCACTTTTTGGGTGACCGAATAGCGGGAGTGGGTGGCCGTTCAAGCCGGCCCTTGCAATACCCGCCGTGCGTACAGGAGGCAGAAGGCGGTTGAAAGTGAAGAATGGTGGTATGTGAAAGTTGGAAGGGTTGAAGGAGGGAGCGCCTTGACCAGATAACCAGCCTCCTTCCTGGCTTTTTTAAGCCGACCAGAATTGGGAGGTTGTGGCGCAGTCACTTAAAGAGCCGGGTGGCTTAAATCTAGTACCATGTCGTGTCTGAATTGTCTAGCTACTAATTCAGCCCGAAGGGCGTTTATTCAGTCAGAAAGAAGGGCATAAAACCTCTTCTGATTGGCTAATTGGTCCTCCCCTGTACTCAACTCGTGCGGGGAGTGGTTGGTTGATAACGCTACTAAATGAAGGCCTGCCGCAAAGCCCGCAAACCCCTGAGCGTTGACTAGGTAACGAGCTAGCCAGCTTTCCGGAGAGCTTTTCAGTTCTTCTTTTCAATGCAATCAATTTGTTGGTTTCCAAGCACGCTTCTACTTCCATTTTGCGACGAAATCTAGGTTCACATATCACTCCGCGGCCGACCTAGCTATCAAGATTCCCCGGTTACCCTGTCTCCGGGCAAGCAGTGCAGTTTCCCCCCTAATCATTGAGACTTGATCTAACTACCTCAAGGACAACCTCCCCACCGAGATCCATCACGGCATTGGACATCTGGGCTGCCAGACAACACCCTTGCGCATGTTTGAGGCGGTTTTGTGAGCTGCTAGCACCGCCTGCGGGTGTGTGTTGCGCAGCCACGTAAGTCCTCGCAAAGCCTCCCTACCCGACCAATATCTAGCAGTCTAGGTGGGTAAGAGGTGGATATATATACGGTCAGATGGAGAACGATATACCCCAGGCAGTCCGCAACTGCCGTACCTGCAAGCAAGACCAGCCCGAAGTCGAATTTCGAAGCGTCAAGGACCCTACGAAGTTTACAGGTCAGTGCGCTAGCTGTAGGGCACGCCGAAAGGAACAGGTAACCGAATCGCGAGTCGCCGTTGCCGCAATGCGGAATATCGCCTCGAGGCCATCGCTACGCAGAGTGACGAAGAGGACGGATTCGCTAGCTAACCTGACGCCTCCAAGGCGGACTGCGCCAACGCCTGCGCCTGTGAACGGCCTACAACGTCCTGCCACGCCTGCTTTATTTCGTGGCCTGGCTCCTGCACTGATACTGCCTAGACCTCCGCTGGGGCCATCTACCCCAAGTGCTATAGGGACCTTCCCCTATCCTTCCTACCCTTAGCCTGCCAACAGTAGTTCTGGGCACACCGATTCAAGACACTCCTCCTACAGCTCCTGTTGTGCAAGGCACTCCTATACCACAGGAACCGCTTCCTACCACTCCTTCATTCTTGCTACAGGGTCATCGCCGCGGCCATTATACACGTCAAGGCACACAGCCGCAAGAGCGACAGTTTGATCAGAGTATTGATCCGCCTTTTACCGGGGACCTTAACTTGCCTGCCCTTGGTGAGGAAGATCAGGCCCTTGTGTGGGAGTTCCATACTGCTCTGAATGACGATGAGATGCATAGTTGCCTTCGTTGTCATGAGCGTTGGTTCGATATGAAGCGAAACAGCTTGGGAATCTGTAGCCGCTGCATTAGTCGAGACAGGAAGAAAGCCGCCGACGAGCCCTACTTCTTCAGCGCTACAAATAACCTTGACTTTGGGGAAGTCCCCGGCAATCTACCCGATCTAACGATGGTTGAGGAGATGCTTATCGCTAGGATTCACGTACACGTCAAGGTCCTACAAGTGCGTGGCGCTCAATATAAATATCGAGGCCACGTTGTCCACTTTCTTCGCAACGTTGGTAGGCTATTTGAAGAGCTCCCAGTGCTACCGGAGGAGCTAGATATCGTGCTCCTACGGCCTCCAAATATGGAGGGCGACCCTCGCTTCCAGCAGCAGTTTGCTCGCGATTTCCGGGTACGCCGTTCATGCCTGTTGACCTGGCTGCATTACCTACGGCGCCACCACCCGGGCTATCGCGATATCGTCGTGAGCCGGGATCGCCTGCAACGGCTTCCTCTTGACGGCAGCATAGTTGATTCCGTTGCCAGCCAAGTGGCTGACATACCTGGCGGCGAGGTACCTCAAGGCCCTGTTGAGGAGGCCTCAGAAGAGGATCCCTTCGATGCCGACGCATCAGCGATCCCTGATTTGCAGGTTACCGATACCGAACTAAACGCCCTGCAGTCCCGATTCCTTAATCTTGCCCCTGACTCTGAGCGTATGGCTGATGTTGAGCATATGCCGCCTAGCGCGCAGGCTCAACACCGGATGCCATTGCCTTCGGTTCGCAGGACCCCCATCGACGAATTCAACCGTTCCCAGCCGCTGTTGACGCTCGCGTTCCCAACCCTCTACCCTGACGGCAAGGCCGACTTCGTGGAGCCTCGGTTACGGAGCATCACGTACCAGGACTACCTTGGCCATGCGATGAGATGGCATGACGGACGTTTTGCCCGCCATAAGACATGGCCTTTCGTCGCCCTCAACACGCTTTTACGTGCGCAGGTCCGAAAACGAAGCGGCTATTTCGTCAAGCAACGCGACGGCCGCCATCAGGCCCTTACACGCGCTGACCTAGAGGAAGCAATGGCTAAGCCTGACGAGCCGGAGGCTCAGGCCCTGATCCAGTCGATCACGCGCCAAGCCGCGGTAATCAGGGGCACCCGGCCGTATTGGTATAAACAAAGGAAGGAATTGGAAGCATGTGCCTATAACCTAGGCAGGCCTGGCCTTTTCGTTACTGCAAGTGCAGCTGATTACCACTGGGAGTCCCTGTACCGTCATATGCCTCGATTTAACGAGTGGCAAGCAGCTCCTGAGGCGGCCCGGATGGCCCTGTCCGGCAACTACTGCGAGACAACGCCCACATCGCCGCTTACCACTTTCATAAGCGGTATACGCTTTTTAGAACCATTGTGCTGAAGCAGAAGTTTAACCTGACGGACTTTTGGGGTCGCTACGAGTGGCAGGGTAGGGGGTCCAGTCACCACCATGGCCTGTATTGGTTGAATGGCCACCCAGACTTGGATCCTGACGATGATCAGTCCCGGGAGCGATTTGCCCGTATCTGGGGATATCACGTATCTGCTGTCAACCCAGAGCCTCAACGAATACAGGCGCCCGGGGAAGGGAATCCCCTGATCATCAATCTATTACAGCAGCCACTTACCGTTCAGTTTCTATCCATGGTAGTCAACCGCGTGCAACGCCACCGCTGCAACAACTACTGTATGCAGCTCAATAAGCATACCAAGCGGGTAGAGTGCCGCTTTGGATTTCCTCACGACCAGCGCCTACTAGCCTCCCTTGACAAGGCTCCTCACTCCAAGCACTGGAGCTTCAGGGGTGAGAGGAACGATGGTCAGATTAACCACTACAACCGCTTGCTCACCGTTTCATGGCTAGCCAATACAGATGTTTCGCCCTGCACGAGCCTCCAGCAGGTGATCGATTACGCAGCCAAATACTGCTCCAAGTCGGAAAAGAAGAGCGAGTCTTTTGCCCAGATTGGGAAGGCGCTGATGCCCCGGGTCAAGGACCACAACCCCCTGGTTTCCTTCACGTCAAAGCTCCTGAATCAGCTAGTTGCTGAGCGGGATTACTCGAAGCAGGAGGTTAGCCACTTACTCCTCGGCCTGCCGTTACAGGAGGGCTCACGAACCTGCCTGTACGTTGACTGCCGTCATCCTGACAGGCATTCCCGCTCCCTACGTATTGACGGCGGTGAGGTTGACGAGGCCCCCAACGTCTACGAAAAGTATGGTCGACGCCCGGAAGCCCTGAAGGACCTGACCTTCGTTTCCTTCCTCAAACACTGGAATTTCCGCTCTAGGGACTCTTCCACATGGAAGCAATGGCGGCCAGGCAACGTTAATGGCAGGCCTCGTGTGTTGGTTTACTTTCCTCGCTATCAGGTTGATCCAGAAGGACAACAGTGGCCAGATTACTGCCGTGTAAAGCTAACATTAAACCACCCACATCGCCGCCTTGATGAGCTCCTCACCTTTGACAGCCAGCTTTTTAGTTCTCACGTTGAGGCTTTCTCCTATTGTTGGCAGCACCACAGTCATGGTGATGACCATTACGGCCGGCCAAAAGAGGCTCGATTACAGCCTCAAGAGGATCAATACGAGGCTCTGCCTGTGGAGGAAGAATTTGATGACGAAGACTGGATTCGCCTCGCCGCTCTTTTACCTGACAACCCCCTTACCCAGGAAGGTCTCGACCTACTTGGCCGCCGCGATATCGACGTCAATTACGACTGGACACGGCATGTAGGTACTTATCCGGAACTTCGAGACGGTTACTGGAAAGACCTAATCGCTAGCCACCCTATGGCCAACGATGTGGAGGTCCTTGGCCCTCACTGGCGTGATCGGCTGAACCCACAACAACGGCTCGTGTATGACACATTTATGGGTCACTTCCAGGCGCAAAATCCTGCTCAAATCCTTCTTCACGTTGATGGTGGTGGTGGTACAGGCAAGTCATTCCTTATCAAGGTGCTTTCCTCCCATCTCCAGGCAGCCGCCCTACCGAATCCTAGTCCTATTTGCCGTGTTGCGCCAACAGGCGTTGCGAGTAACCAGATACAGGGCAGTACCATTCATTCGTTGCTACGCCTCCCGGTAGGAGGTACTTTTACCGACCTTCCCCCAGCCGACGCAGCCGCCCTTCAGTCCCGCCTACGGCACGTCAAATACCTCGTTATCGATGAAAAGAGCATGCTAGGGCTTGAGCAGCTCGCGCGGATCGATTCCGTCTGCGGCAGGCCTTTCCACAGCGTAACCTCGAGTTCTTTGGTGGGGTGAGCGTCTTGCTTGTGGGCGATTTCTTCCAGTTGCCACCAGTCCGGCAGAAGCCCCTGTATTCGACTAGCACCGGCCTGTCTTCGTTGGAAAGGAGAGGGCAGGTGGCCTACCGGTTATTTGACCGCACCGTCTTCCTGACCACGGCACAGCGCCAGGCTGGTGATGATCAGGCCCAGTTCCGTCAGGCGTTGCAGGAACTGCGTGAAGTCAAGTTATCCATACCGTCCTGGAACCTCCTTAGCAATCGGGTACAGGCCAAACTAACGCAGAGCGAGGTTGACAGCTTCGGGGCCGCTTTGCGGGTGTATTCTACAAAGGCCAGGGTCAACGAATACAATTACGAGCATATGGTGCATCTCAACGCCCCGGCAATGCAGGTGGAGGCAAAAAATCAGGGCAAAGGCGCGGGGCAGGCACCAAGCGACAATGCTGGCAATCTATCTAACAAGTTCCCTGTTGCTAAGGGCGCCAGGGTAATGCTCACAACTAACCTATGGCAGCCAGCTGGCCTAGTTAACGGCGCCCAGGGTACTATATACGATATCGGCTGGAACACAGGCGCCGAACCATTGGAAGATCCCCCAGCCGTTATTATGGTGGACTTTGATGGCTACGACGGACCGCCATATCTAACAACTAACGAAGGCAGGAAAATCTCACCCATCCTGCCAGTCAGGCGTGATTTCCTAGTGGGCAACGAGACCTGCGCTCGCACGCAGTTTCCCCTGATGGTGGCGTTTGCTATCACGGTTCACAAATGCCAGAGCCTAACGAAGGATCAAATAGTTACTGACCTCGCTACACGCGACTTCCAGGCCGGTATTAGCTATGTTGCTGTGTCACGGGTTACGTCGCTGCAAGGCTTACTCCTTGAGGCGCCTTTCGATCGCCAGAGCCTCTATAAGTACACGCCGACAGAAGGTTTATACGCCTGAGTTTCCTACGTACCGCGTTCACGGCTAACTACAAGGCAGGGATGAAGATGCGCCTCGCTGACCAACAACGGCGTCAGACTCAACAGCTGACCAATCCACCGTATACACCACTCTACCTTGACTAAACGGCGTCTTCCTATAAGCTACCGGGAAGGGGGAGATTCGATATACGGTATGTAGTTAGATTGGGCCTGTCAGGAAGCAGTAGAGAGATTATTAGGCTGCAGGTTGAAGCGGTTTAAACAGCATGTTGCCCGCGGCAGGCGAGGGGGGTTCTAGGGGGTCCCCCCCTAGGAAAGTTCAATTACAGGTATACGATGTTCACCCTTCGGGCTGGATATTCAGCCGTTAAGCCCCTTGCCTTGGCAACTTAACGGGTGTTCGAAGTATTTTAATTAAGCTCATCGAGTCTGGCATGACAGCATGCTCTCGTCTGAACTTGAGTTCTGCGGACTGCCTGATGATTAAAGCTTTCTCAAGACTTAAATTTAAAGCCGTTCAAATCTCAGGCCCCGATCCACAACCAGCATGAAAATAACGTTTTGCTTTCCCCATCACGCTTCTTCCAGATTTGATCGGTATTTCTCTTGTTGCGCATCGAATAGAATCGCTTCGCAGTGCTGCAAACATTCAATAATTAGTGGCTGAGACGCATAGATAATAGTGAGTATGTCTCTCACCCAGAGTCAAGCTTGATTGCTTTCAATTTCCCTTCGAAGGAGATTTTTTTGTCGTGTACTTGTAATCAGGATACTTCTCTTTGTGCAAGCGGTCTTCCTCTTCGGCTTTCTGCTGCCAAATTGCCTTCTCGGCTTCAGACGCTTGTCTCCACATGTTCGAAATCATGGTAGCTACAGAATGTTAGTACAGGCTTTTCGATGAAGTACTTCCTTCACACATACATATCTCCGAAGCAGTGATAAGGCCGATCTCCTTCTTGATAATTGCGGCGTGGTATTGGCGATAAAGGATCCATTTATTGCGCGGGCGAGGGATGTGACCTGTCTTACCATCCACGACGTCGTCTTTTGAGTTCATTTCTGGAAGAGGCTCGGACGAGTCTGAGCTCAGTTAGTCGTAAGTTATGAAGCTCTGGTGAGGAGATACTGTACCACACTCGAAACAGAGAGAACCGTAGGTGATATCATTGGCCTGGACACCGAGTGGGAGCGGACACAATCGGTATTTCTCTCGCCAGTCGTCGTGGAAAACTTTGACCGGTTGCTGTACACGGCGACTGAAGAGGTCAGCCCTATCCGCCCACTGGGTTACACAATTACGTACCTGAAGTTGTTGGCGATGGTTTCCACGAGCCCCATTTCCATAGTATCGGGCAGGAAAACATGCACGTTCCCTTGAGTCTCACTCGTGACGAAAGTCACTAGAGTGTCTGCGACGTCATCTTGTCCAGGTATCTTCACTCGTGGTCTCATCCTGTACAACTTATCCAGGTAAGGTAGGGTTGTGTTCGGGAAATTTTGGCGGATAGCTGGAGTTGCAGAAAATTGGAAAGAAAAACAAGGAAAGAAGTAGGGTGAAGAATCTGACATCATCTTGAAGCGGTCAGTCACATGAGTGCCAGCTGAACAGAAAAATAGAGCCACTTGGGTGTTTGCCCTGTTCACCAGACAACCACCGCACCACCATGAGGCACAGGTTATTTTTTAATCTTTTACGATTAACGAGCCTGCCGAAATCTCTCCCCAACTACTTTTGAGCTGGAGTTCGAGCAATATGGAGAGTATTTGCTCCTTTGAGCCCTTTTGGAAACAATCAGACGTTGTTTCGGCGCCTCGAGATGCCATACAAGACATCCGCACAAGGTCTTTGAACCTATATCTCGACAAACACGAAGAGGAAACATTTCATCCTCCAAGCGTTGAAGGTAAGTGTTTTCGCTTTTGCTCTATTTGATCATCCGCTAATGAAACTCCTCACTATAGACGTGATATCCGAGAGCTTAGAAATAACTCGATTCCTTTTGGAGAATCTGGACGACAGCAACGAAATCCTCCAACGTCTTCATGCTATCGGCTATCATCACCAGAGCGATGCCATATGTATTGTTCAAGGGGCTTTGGCCATGTGGTACTCGAGTGCCATCCCTGCCATTTCCCGAGATCCTCTCCAAGGGTTTAACCCAGAAGCCCCGCGAGAGTTCGACGGAAATGGGGAAGAATTTGACCCGTGGAGTCGAAGATTCGCGGCGCAACAACACGCCTCGGCAAATCTTGGAATCGTGGCCATATTGATGACCTTCGAACCTTGCGATTCTGAAGCTCATCCACTTCTCAAGACCGGCTCTCTCGTTGCAAGATCCGTCGCTACACTTCTTTACGCGGTTTTTCTGATCTCTCCGCAAATGCTGGAGGAGACATGGACTCATCTCTTGGAGTTGACACGGCCCGATGAAACGATCAAAACTTTCCTGAGGTCTACCTGGTCACTTATGCGCGAGAACTGCACTTGGTTGAATGCCCCAGCACCAGGGTCTGAGTTTGGAGCAACACTTGACGAAGTGAGACTCTCCAGCGATGGAATGGACCTTATTACCAGGATTGGGCGTTCTTCCTGGCACTCTCCACCACCATGGCACCCACTCAGAAACGTTCCTGGATCCTCGTGGAACAAGTTTTTGCGTAATCACAGCCAGCCGATATTTCCAGAACTACCGTCGCAGAGCTCAGACTTTCGCATAACGGTACCTGGTTCGTTGAGCACTCTGGCAAGTACTTTCGAGGAGTATTACTTTCAGCTCCGGTCTCGTATGGATCAGGTAAGCAGGCCATCTCCTATGTCGTACAGTTTGGTCAAACCATTAACAATAAACTTTAGACTGGACGTCAGCGACGAGTGCTTCACCGCGAATCTCAAATTCGACAGTTTCATTCACTGTCCGAGGCAACTGGTCGACGTTATCCCGCGATAGATTTGTCTGAGGACGTAAGTAATAATCTTCACTGCTTCAGGCGATTCTGCTGATGAAAATGAACTACAGAACGCTTCGTATACCGAAGAACCAGTGCAGGATTTCTTGTACAAGCTGCCCATGGTATGATTTTCTCACGCTTCACCTTCGAGATTCAGAGCTAATTCGTATATACCAAAAGGTCAAAAAGCCAATCAGCGACATGCGCGGTCACTTGACCTTTCCTTTCATGAATACTTTGGTCAGAGCTTGGAGATTCCAGGATGAGCCGGATGAGGTAGACCCAGACTTCCACATCATGACATTTGAACGCTAAGAAATGGACGAGAACTGGTTTCTGCGATCCTTATGTTTAATATACTACATTGCATGGTTTACAATAAAAGCTGAGGTCTCCTTCCCCGGGGATTATTTTTCACGCAATTTACTGCTGCTTTTCACGTCGTTTCTGAAGCTACTAGATATCAGATGTCTGGTATCTTATTTACGAGATAGGTAGGCTGCTACCTGCTCAAAGAAAAACATGCACGAATTTGTTTTGAGCTGTTTGGCCAACTGCTCGCAGCTCGCCGGGCCCCAGCCACAGGGCACCCCAGTCGGTACGTTTCCGCCCTGCCAACCATCTACCGTTACTACCTACTAGTACCTGTAAATATTCGTAGGTACCTGAGGTACTGTATACTTCGTACCTACACTACCTCCCTGAACCTCTACCCCCTTTCACCAGAACATCCACCCCCCATCCAACCACCCCCCTAACTAGGTACCTACCTCCTCGTGTTCCTCTCGCCTTTCTGGAACTAACATCTTTGACTTCACACACTTCACATCTCGGCAGCTGGCCATCGAAACAAAATGACGACTAGAGCTGAGGTTTTGCATCATCTGTCCTTTGTCCGGAGCGACATTCTTTTGAACTTTCTATCGGACGACGCAATCTTTCAGCTTGCGTCCCGATACTACGAATCGACGACGGAGGCCGACGTTCTTACACCCGTGGCCACCGCAGCAGCACCTCGCGCCACTGGGCAGACAAAAGATGTGTCTTGTGATCGAGCGAAGCGCCCTCTCAATGCCTTCATGGCATTTCGGAGTATGTTCAATTCTTTTCATGCATATTGAAATGGCTGACACAGCATTGCTAGGTTACTACTTGAAGCTGTTTCCCGACGTGCAACAGAAGACGGCTTCTGGGTTTCTCACCACCTTGTGGCACAAAGACCCATTCAGAAACAAGTGGGCTTTGGTTGCGAAGGTGTACTCCTTTGTGAGAGACCAAATCGGCAAGGACAAGGTTTCTCTGGCATATTTTCTGAGCCTTGCCTGCCCTATCATGAGCATCATTGAGCCCGCTGCGTATCTGAACGCGCTCGGGTGGTTTATTCAAGAGGACGACGCAGGATCCAAGAAGCTGGTCCAGGACGAATCGTCTGCAACTCTGGACCAATCGAGCTCGCTGTCATCGGAATACCCCAGCACCGAAATCGAACTCTTGTCCACTCTCGTCGAAGTTGGGTACTTCCCCGATCAGGGCGTCGATCTTGTGGAGAGGATGGGATCCAGCCACAGCGGGATCATGGCTACGCGCGCCGCCAAATATGCCCTTCCTGTTTCCTACACGAAGGAGAAAATGGGTTTCATCGACATGATCAGAAGTGATCCGATTCAAGCGTCAAAAGATATCCTTGGCGATTGCTACAACGAAAACACAATCCGACATTTTGGCGTCAAGTCGTACAACGTGGAGAATGTCGATTCCATTACGCACTTGTCCATGCAACGCGAATATCAGGATCCGCGTTCCTTTTATGACTACTCGGTCAGTTACGCAGGGATGGACATCGACGGTTCGAATGAACCCGTGATGAGATTTGACAATATCCCCGAGAATGAAACTTTCGACATCGACAGTCCTTTTGATCTTGATAAGATCCTTGGTCAATCTCAGTCAGAGGGCGAAAGAAGTGAGTGAGATTTCCCATTCACAGATGATTAAACTAACGGTACCCAGCTGCTCATCTTCCTCCAAGTCCTCCACACAACCCGCTGGAAGACTTTCATTTCGCGTTCTAGAGGCGAAGATTCAGCGGAAACGATCTCAATTCTTGTCATCGTGTAGATGACTTCCAATCAGACAGCAGAGCGACAATTTTGCTTTACACAATCCAGGACCTACAAAAAGGGAGGTACCATTCAAGGCACGATTCAGGAAATCATTCAAGGCACGGTAGAAGGCATGTTTTTTTTATCAAGGATTCAACTTTGCAATGGCTTTAGCTCTAGGCTCGTTTTAAGATCCAACGTTCGCCAGTATAGGACACGGGAAGTTAAATTGAAGTTCTGGCTACGAATAAAGGGCACAACGGGGCTCGAGCTTTAATGGGGAGGGCAACCAAGATGGAATCTAGAAGGTATCGATCGGGGAAAGTGACTCGGCTCTTGCCCCCAGTAAACCTCCTTCCCCTGGGCGGTTGGGAGTGAGAAAAAAAATGACCAAAGCAGGAGAGGAAGAGATAGGGCGGGAGGCGAGAGGGCAAATAAATGGGGCTCTTCGAGTCGACATGACAATGCCCGGGGGTGGCCTCTGCGAGGGTTCGCTTTCCCACTGCCTGGAGAGTTGGCTCCGCCTCTACCCCTGCTCTGGGTGTTGCTCTCCTCTTTTTTTAATCTTCTTCCGTGTACAAGTCTGGAATTGGACGCGTAAGGGGAGAATTCCCGGTTGGCTATGCTATGAGTGGTTGTTGGCCGGAACCCGCCTGCTGCACGTGCAGCCTACTACCTAGGTAGCTGTGCGGATGTGTAGCCAGACAGCACGTACGGTACGGAAATCCAGCTGTGAGAGAGCATACTGTACGTCGGCCGGTAGCTGTGTTCTGCCTCTTGCCAGGTGTTTGCGGCGCGTTGCTCGGCATCGGCTCCAACCTCATGCTTTTTATTTCTTTTCTGCCTGCATTTTCACTACGGCAACGAGCTTCCCATACATCATGCACTCAGATCACGAGGACATCAAAAGAGGCTGGGAACGGTTGAGGCTGGGGTTGACGAGGTGACGGGCGGGCGGTGAGCAGACTCGTGGCCAAGCGGCCTCACTCTCTCTCTCACACACACTCTCTCTCCCTATTGCGGCGACTTATTGACATGAGGAACAATGGACGGTCGGTTTGCCTCGTTCCTCAAGGTTTCATTCGCTGGGGTGCACTCGGGCGACGTGCGAGGGCGCAAATCCTGCATTCACTCCGAGAGCGCCGAGGAGAAGGGAAGACTGGGGTGATGATGATGAGTCGATGACATATTAAATGGTGGGGCGATTGGCAAGACGAACAAAGCAGGGCGAGGAGGAGAGAAAGCTGGATCCACAGAGGGAGGACGATGCACAGTGGGCGGTTGAACTCGACGAGATGACGAGACGCGGCGAGTGGGGGAAAAGGAGGAAGAGTTGAAGTCGAGCTGGAGAGCCGGACGAAAGAGAGGGACCTCTCAAGTACCGTCATTGGCTGGGGCTCAAAACAGGGATTGGGTCTGGCTGCGGGGCGCGCTAATGCCGGCTTGTCAGTTGGCGGTCGATCAGGGCGCTAACAAGAAGGCTCTTGCTTGTTTTGGTAGCCGGCAGAGTGGCATGTACCGCGGCTGCAGTCGGTACATGGGCACAGGGTCCTGAGCCTCGGCAAGAGCTCGGTGCCTTGCTCTCGGCACAGCGGCGGCCACGGTGGGCGCGAGAGCGATGAGGGGAGCCGGAGCCGAGCTGGTGGGGTTGGGGGCAAGTACCTGCTGGCTTGCAAGTACCTCGCGTGTATACTTTGTATACTTGCCAACTGCACTCTCTCTATCCCCTCTCTCTGCTCTCCCCCTCTCTCACCCCCTCTCTCTCCAGACTCTTTTGCTCTCTCTCGCGCGCGCTAATACCGCCAACCAACAGCGCATCTCGGAGCCTGTGGCCAAGGCCAGGACAAGACGCGCCAACCAAACCGAAGCGCACGTATGCACATGCACACCACCGCTGCCCTTTGCCTTGTTACAAGCAGGGACTGACATCACCACAGCCTTACCCCGTGTCCTCTGTGCGCGCCGGCCTATGGCTCCCGTTGCGGTGTCTGCGTCTCGAAGCCCTCGACTCCAAGCAACCGCTCACGAAGACGGAGAAGAGGACACGCTCCCACTGTTCACCTCCGCTTGTCCTTGTTGCCGCTCCGTCGACACCGGCCAACCGGACTAGCGGTGGCCCCGCACTCGTCCGGGCGTTTCGCCGTGCACCGCCAGGCGTTGGTGGCTGTTCTCCCCCGCCGCCCCGCACGTCGAGCCCGCGGCCACGGCCTCGTCGTCGTCGACGCAAGCTGCTTGGGACGAAATCGACTGGCCGGATACGCAATCATGGGGCACAATGCGGTGCACGTCCCCCATCGACAATAGGCATCGCGATAGGCTCGCAAACCAGACGGTATGCTACTGCACATTCGAGGCAGGGAAAGAAGAAAACAAGACTGCATACGGCCTTGGGTCATGCGCTCTTCTCAGTAAGCATCGAGGTTGGGGATACGTATTCTATCTTTCCCCCATTCTTTGATGCCGCGTGGACAACGAAACGTACGAGTGAGTACCCGAGACACGATGCCTCCATTCATTGATTCACGCCCCTTGGCCCCGATTTTTCCATCAGGTGCCCTCTTGTCGACTTTTGGCGGATTTCTCCCTGGCTCAACCAGGGCGGGCTGCTCCAATGCCGTCATCAATAAGTAAACCCCCTCGTGCTCCATCAACCCAAACACAGCGGGTAACCCTGCGAAAATCGTCGGTATGGAGACAGGCACCCCTTGCCAACGCCGTCTGAGCGCAGCAGGCAGCAAGCAACCGACGCCTGGGCTATTTTCTTCTTTCTTGTTCCTCCACATCTGGGTCCCACCATGTCCGGTACCATGACCATCACTAACCCTGTTCTGCATGGCTACCGAGCCCGGTACATGCCGATCCTGGCACCCTGCACCCACCCAACAGGGTCCAGGTCCAAAGATAGTCCGTCCATCGCCAGAGGCAATACCGTGTCCCGGGATGGCGCAAGGCTAGGTAGGTGGCTGTTGCTTGCTTGCCTCTAGCCCGTCAAGGCGATGGGTGTTGTTCGGCTTATCACGGTTCTCGATGGACGTCTACTATACTCGGCCTCTGCATTCCTTGCCGCCCCGAGCTTCGTCGGCGTCTGGTTGCAGGGCTTCTCTTGTGACTGTTCAAGTTCCATGTCACTTCTGAGCTCTTCCGATAACGGACGCGCATGCTTCCCCGCATCTTTCCAGAACGCTGCCGCTGGAATCATGGAGGGGGCAGGTGTTGCATGTACTCACAGTACCTGGTGGCCAGCAGTGCAGTTGCCCATGTCGAGAGCTCCCTCGCACCCCCTAATCGGCCTCGGATCGACCTGCCGCGATAAAGAGACCGGACGTGCGGGAAAAAGCAAGGGCGGATCCGGCCCGAGCCAATCAAGTCACGTCGTCTCGGCACGCTCCGACACACCTTTGGTTTCTTTTCTTTCCCCCTCATCCCCTCCTTCTTTTCATCCACCTGTTTGTTGTCTTTGGAGCCACAAACTTTCTCCACAGTCCAGGGCACAATCCTTCGTCGCCCCCGCTGCCTGCCCGCCCGAAACCCAGGTCTCGCTAAAGACATCTCCCGCTCCTCTACGGACCCTCCTCTTCGTCCTCGGCCAGCACGCCTTGCTCTCCTCGCCGTCCGACCCCAGCGCCGCCGTTCCCGCCCTCCGTCTTTTTCCCTTCTTCTTTCGACCTGCAGTACTAGCCTTGAGGCCGTTTCTTTGCTACATAGCACATACGCTAACTTGGGAGTTGGCGCCTCGTACGGCGGCCAACAGGAATCAAGCGCCTTTGTGTCTCGTGATCCTCTCTGCTCCCAGACCTGACTTGGCCCTGCCATCGCCGTCGTCATGTTCGGCGCCAGTCTGTGCGTTTATCGGGCAAAACATTGGGGGGTCCCAAGCAGACCGGCCTTCTTGGTTGCACCGCCGCCTCGTGCCTGTGATGACGAGAACTGCGTGGCGCGAGCCGGGGGAGGCCAAGCTCAGCCAGCCAACTCGCAAGCCATGGCACCTGTTTGCAGGCCAGCAAGCACATCGGGACGGCACAATGTATGTCCTCTGCTCTGCGCGTCGCTTGTCTCGTCACTCGTGCACCTCTCACCCTCACCACCAAGGCTGTCCCCCAACAGCATCGGCCCCAACAAGCCCACCTACTGTACAGTCCGGACCCCAATCCTTTCCAATCTAAATTCAGTTCACTACGTGTTGGGTCGGCGGTTGACTGGCTCGCTGGCTGAGAGGCATCAGGGGGAAAGCGGCCCGGGGTGGCACGGCCGCCCTGCATATGTCGTGGTGCGCGTGTCTGTTGTTTCTCGCCATTTCCAATGCGAAAAGCAGCGTTTTTCGTCCCTTGCAAGTATTAGAACCTACCCTGGATAAGTCGATATGTTTTGTATGAGCTGGCCCTGGCAGAGCCAAGAAAGGCAAGCAAGCGGGCCTCATGAGCGATGCTGTCAAGGAAGCCAAGTCGACTCTCCACGCCTCATAAGCGTATGCACACACATATGCACGAAGCAAACCGGCAAACAAGCCCGGGGCCTTCGCCCGCCTCAAGAGCAGCAAGACCTGCATGAGATGTGTGCGCCACAGAGCCGCCCACCACCTCTTCTCTGAAAGCGCCTCCCCTTGTCTACTATGTATAGTTACTGTACCTGGCCCTGCCGTCTCTAGCACCTCCGTACACATGTACAGTAATTATCAATTACGCAGCATGCATGCTTAAGGTAGTTTCTACCGGCCGTGCATGGCTGCTAGATGTATGAAGTACATGCGCCTGCTTGGCGTTGCTTGCAGCGGTCCTTTGAGCCGCTCACGGGAGACGACACCAGCACCAACACAAGCAAAACTAGACATGACTTACCTACCCTTCGCACAAGGAGCAACAAGCAACCGTCTTTCCCTGCCCTTCTCTGTCTCTCCCCTTCCCTGAGCAACACGCCAAGAGTTTCCCCAATTTGCCTCGAGCAGGTGTTGTAGCTTGAAAAGGGGTGGCTGAGGGCCAGCCAGGCTCCGCAATCAGCACTGTCCGGGGAAAGGGACGGGCAAAAAGGGCCAGGTTTGTTGCGTGCACACCAGAATCGTTCCGGCACTGTGGACGGGGAGACGATAGCTTAAACGCTTTACAGTACGAATTATGGAGCACAGTAATTAAGTGGGTTGCTCCGGGGAGCAGACAAGGATTGGTGCTTGCCCCCACTACGGCACAGAGCCTAGGTACAGTACCTACTGTAGGTAATTAGATAGTGTTCCGCCCTGGCCTAGTAATACGTACCTAATTCTCCGTACCCGGGGCGTGTGTGGTCAGATAGTCCGATGGCCCGGGCAAACGTCCGCCGACAAGATTGATAGAACGCATGGGAACTCGGCTGGCAAACGTACTGCACGGAGACAGAATCCAATATGAATCGTCGTTCAAATCAAGGCACATCTATGCCGCCCAGACCGTCTCTCATTTACTGCCGGCCCCTCCGAGAGCCTTCACTTCCTCCTCCTCCTCCTCCTCCTCTCCCCTGACCAGGGGCCCTCGACGCCCACGGGCCCTTTCCAGCAGCCCGCCGCCGAGTGCAGCTCCAAACGCGCGCCTGGGCAACGACGGCAGATAAATGAGCTTCAACCGGGCCAGGTCTGTGCCTTGGAAGCCCGCAGCCACGAGAAATCACCTGCTCAGCAAAGGCTGAGGCATGGCCGGGACGCCTCTGGCCGCCGACTGCGCGCCCGGCGCTGCCATCACTGCCGCTTGACGTACGGCCCGGCTCGTGTCATGCGTCTCCGTCTCGATGAGGCGTTCTCGCTCTCAAGACAGACGCGGGGGGCCCAGGGCCGCGGCATCGCCGTGACAAACAACCTCCCCCGAGTCCAGTCTCGAACCGGCCGAGACACCGCCAGCGGAAGGAGGGGTGTCTTCAACGGCGCCAGCACGTTGGTCTGCTGTTGCTGCTGCGCTTGGGTACAAACGGCCCCAACAACCCCCTCCCCCCCCTTTTTCTTGGAGAGGGGGACCAAGAGCATCGCCCGTCTCCGCCGGGGCCCACGGGGGACGGGTCGGTTGGCGAGAACATCCACCCACGTTGCCAGCGAGCGTTGGACACGCATCAAACCCCTTTGCTCGCCCACATGCGCATCGCAAACAGCAAGGCCATTACCGCGTGGCGCCCATCCTGCGTCCGCGCGCATCATCACTCAACCGTCAAACGTCCTGCTCATCCCCCCGGCCGTCGGCGCGCATACGCGCATGGCCTCCTAACCAGTACGCCTCTCGGATGCCACGCCCCAGCCCTAAAAGGCACTGCTCTAGGCGTCTCGTCATCCCCCCCCCCCGCGTGAGTTGCTTGCGGACGTGCGCCATGTCGTCCAGGCTGCTTGCCTCCGAGTCGGGTCGTGGCGCGGGCATCTGCTGTTTACACCGTGTACTGCGTCCGTAGCCATGAAAGCTCCCGCTCTCCTACTGTGCATTTCTTCATCTCAAAAGGAAATAACTGCTTAGTTGAAAGATTGGGGTTCAAAAGTAGTGGCAGCTATCTCGTCAAAGCGTATGCAGTGGTGATAAGGTACCCAGCACCGGCCCCCTCGACAAAGAGACCCAACTGCCTGAAGTTGGCACCCCTCTGCAGCTTCACCCAGCCAGGCAATCTTCAGCGACTTACTCCCCCCTTCTCCGCCAGCCCAACGTACACGGTCTCGGTTGATACACGCGCACCCGGATTTCCTCCCCACCCCGAGTCTTTCTTCTCCATCCAGTCCCCGCGGGGCTCGCAGCTCCCGCCTCCCGTCGTCCACCGTGATGCTTCTCCACTGCCAATTGCACGCCAACGTCGCCCACGCGTCCCCTGTCAAGTGACGAGTCTGGCCGAGGCCAACACCGCCCCATCCCGTCTCCGGAGACCATGCTCCACAATAGACCGCACAGGCCAGGCGCTTTCGCCTCTCTGCCATGTCCTCTTGCTGCGCAGCCGCCGCGGACACTGGACACTGCAGGCGGACGCGCATCCAGGCAGCAGCATCCTTTGTTCGCATTGCAAAGTAGCGCGCGCTTGGTTTGGGGTAGAGCCAGTCTAGTCCTCCTGGTACGAGATCTTTCGCATCTCGCCCAATCGGTGCCGCGCCGCCGCCAGCGAGTTCTCCAGTTGCAGGATCTCGACCTAAAAAGCCCCGTTTCCAAGCGCGGACGTTGGTTAGCCACATCTGCTCCTTTGCCAAAAGCAAATAGTCAAGTCTTGTGCGGGGATCCAGTAAAGTAACCGGGCTCCATCGCCCCCTCCCATGGGGTTTCTCCGAGGTCGGCGCTGTCCAGGCATAACTGGGGGTCCAGTTCTACCCGTGGCAGCTATCCCGAATGGTTCTCAAGGCGGCGGAGACACTTGTTGCCCGGGCCGCCCAGGCGCCAAACACAGACATCGTGGCTTGCACTGGCGCCGGACATGTCCGACGCCGACGGGTCTCGTGGAGAGCCAGACACCAAAGTCGCATCTTCCCCGCGACTTAGGCCCGGCACGCCAGAACAGGGGAACGTATGCACACGTCTGCATTCGTCTTGGTGCTAGCACATGACCAGAGTGGCTGATATGCCACGGGAACCCCTGGACAGCTGGAATGGATGGGGGAGCGGTTGGATCTTGTGTCCGGGTGGCAAGGGCAGCAAGCGGTGGAGCGGGAGGCAAATGTGAACGGGGGTGGAGAGAGGATCGTCACGGGCCAAGGAAATGCCGACACTTACCTGTTGCTCCATCTCGCGCACCTTGAACTCGTGGGCGCCAAGTTGGGCGTAGTCCACCTGGTCCTCGTCCTGGCTGCGCTCCTTGATCATGGTCTGGACCTGCCGCACCAGGGCCCTGCAAGCTGCACCAACCGCCTTGCTGGCCTGCTCCAGCCTCTCCTGGCTCTTGGACATGAAACCCGCCTTGACTCTGCTGGCGGCGACGAGCTGGGCCGTCGACGCTGCCACGTCGTTGGATGCCACGATGAGCTGCTCCGGGCTGTTGCGGTTCGACAGCACTCCGTCTGCCGTCTCGATGAGCGTGTTGGTCGACGACGCGACCGCCTTGGCCGCCGAGATCAGGCCCTCCGTCCACCGGTTGTTCTTCTTGTAGAAGGCGGTCCGCGACGACGAGCCACGGCCTGCCTGGACAATCTCCTGCTGCGTCATCGTGGCAGCCTTGATGAGCTCCGCGATGGCGCTGGTGATGGCCATTGCCGCGTCCAGGATCGAATCGTGCACCTTGACTTCGTAAGTCGAGTATCCGTCTCTGGGCTTGTTCCTGAGCTTGGCCAGGCGCTCGGCCGCTGCCGCGATGGCGTCGGCCGCCTTGCTCAGCTCCGAGTCGACAAGGTCTCCCAAGTCTCCCTTGTTGTTCGCCAGCTTGCCGAACCCCGGAGCAAAGGTTTCCACCAGTTTGTTGAGCTTCTGCAGGTTCATCTGGACGTCGTTGTTGCTGTTGATCACCACGTCCGTCTTCTGCAGGGGATCCATGCCCTCCAGCCGGAAGCTCTGCAGGCCGCGGAAGAACTGCACCGTCGATAGCGCCGACTGGCGCGCGCCGCCCATGAGCGAGTCCGTCTTCTTGTCGTCGGTTGCAAGCCGCGAGAGGCCCTTTGTATTGCTGCAGATGTCGGCAATGGCGCCCGAGAAGACATTGATGGCCTTGATGAGGTCTGCATGGGTGCTGTTGGGCCCGTCGGCGATGAAGTTGTTGAAAGCCGTGGCAAACTCCATTGCGCTCGCAGACGCCTTTTCGATCTGTGACAGCACGTACGACGGCGATGCGTTCTGGTTGCCCGCCTGCATCGACGAGTCGAGTTCATAGATGGCGTCGTCGACTCGCGCGACCCCTGCCTGCAGCACCGAGTCGATAATGTCGTTGATCTTGTCCAGGCTCGACATGATGAGCGCGTCAATCTGGCCGTCTAGCGCATTGTCCGTGACGCCTTGGTTCTGCTTGAGCTCGTTCAGCTCGATCAAGGTCTGATCCATGCCTGCTTTGTACACCTCGAGCTCCTCTTCCTTGTCGCGGAGCAGCAGCTCCAAGTCGGAGCTGCCGTCTCGGAGCTTAGCCTGAGCGTCCTCAAAGGCCTTGGACTTGTTGCGCAAGGCCTCTTCCAGGTCGCTCAGCTCACGATTGTACTTGGCCAGCATGGTCGACAGCTCGTTGCCTTTGCTGCGCTCCAGGTTGTCGGCCCTGTCCTGGGCCATACGGAGCTCGCGCTTGAGCCTCTCTACCTCGTCCTTGTTGCTGCCGTTGAGTCGGTCCTTGTCGTGGAGAGCGCGGTCCCTCTCCCGGATCATGTCTGCCAGCTCGAGGTTCTTGGTCTTGATCTCGCGCTCAAGCTTCTCGCGCCTGTCAATGGCCTCCTGGGCGCTCGCCGCCTTGAGCTGCACTGACTTGAACTTTTGTAAGAGGTCAAGGTGCTCGTGGCGCAACTGCGAGTACAGCTTGGCCAGAGATTCATACTTGGTCCTCCAGGTGTTGACCTGCTCTTGCAGCGCTTGGATCTGATCGTCCTTGCTAGAGATTTGCTGTCCGAAGCTGCCTTGGATATGCGCCAGCTCTCCTTCCAATGCCTTGACACGCTGATCGTACTGCTGCAGCATCAGCTGGTCGCGTTCATACTGAGCCCGCGCGTTGAGATTCTCTCGCTCCAGCTCGGCCAGCCGGCCCTGCGTCTGCCACTGCGCCTGTTGTGCCAAGAGCGCATCCTGCTCTCGCTGCTGCTGCTCCATGAGTCGGCGCTGCTGCTCCTCAAAGTCAAGCTGCGCCTGTCTCTGCGCTTGCTGTTGCGCCAGCAGCGCTGCCTGCTGCCTCTCTTCTAAGACGCGCTGCTGCTCCTCGTATTCTCTGTTCTGACGGTCCAGCTCATTCTTCCAGAATTCCGAGATCTCACCGGGCTCTTCCGACTTGGGTGCAGGCGGAGGCGTCGGACGACGTTCAATCTCTTGTTTCGGTCGAGCGGGCAGCGAAGGGGCCTCGTCGTCCTCGGTCAGGAGGTTGGGGGGGTCTTGCGGCAACTTGGGAATGGCGATGAGACTGGTGAGGTATCGGAGATTGGAGCACTCGTAGTAGAACTTGACGAGGCGATAATGCTGTGCGTCGTACCTCTGGCGCAGGGGCTGCAGAACTTCGTCATCGCCGGTGACTACCTTTTTATCAGCCATGTAGGTCTTGGGCACGCCGGACTGGACGAGGCTTACTTGAATGCATGGCTCTCAACATGCTCGTGATGAATTTGTAGATACCATAGCTCTCCTGGACCAGAGGCACCAGAGCAGAGATGCGGCACTCGTTGTTGCCCACGTTCCGAAAGTGCGAAAAGATTAATTTTTGAAACTGTTCGATCTTGTCCTGCAGGACCATGAGGTCGGTGATGGTTTCGTAGCCTTCGTTGGGGTCGTTGATGGCCTTGAGGCTTAGATACTCCTCGTACTCGAAGGTGCCGTTGAACTCTGGGTGTTGCTGATGAAAGGAGAGCTTCGCAAGCAGGTAGTAGACGTATTCTCGGATCAGGGGGCCGTAGCCGCGAACGCCCTCTCCGGCCATTGCTCGGTTGAGGCCATCGATCCAGCTGCGATTGATCATTGCATCCTTGAGGGCCGATGGGTGGCCCTCCTGCAGGACTTTGTGGATCGTGATGAGGGCCTTGAACGTCTGGACCTCGTCGGCAAGAATGGGCTGGCTGAAGTGACGAGTCAGCCGTCGGACTGGACGTCGCGGAGGCGCGGTAACCTACACTTTGATACCGGACCAGAAGGCCTGGGCAGACCTGTGGTCCCAGGTGTAGACGATGCAGGCACGCACATGCTTGCGCTTGGGGGATATCTCGTCGCTGTTTGTGGCCTTTTTGATGCTGATGGCAAGCTCCTGGTCGGTCCTGCGGGCGGCGGCTCGTTAGCGCATGGGCTGGAGGGCCAGCTTGCATGTCGAATAGACCAACTTGGAATGGTCGGCGGTGCGCAGCGAAGTCATGACGGGCGAGAGGTGGCGAGGAAGCAGTTATGCTCCGCCGCTCAGGGATGCGATGCGCGCGGGTCGGTTCGCAAGGCACGCGCCGCGCGCTGGGAAATGCCTCGAAGACAGGTCGCGGCGGCTGAGAAGGGACTGGAAGTATCGCGAAGGGGCTCGGTGCAGGAACAGGTTGTTTGCCTCGCAGGCCGTGGCTCGGAGAAGCCTTGTCGTCGTCAGCTCTCGGCGTGGTAGCTCCCAATGGGCTGCGATGCGTCAGGTTACCTCATCAAGTGGATCCAGGCTGACGCAGTCATTTAATGCGGTATGGTACGTACTATCGGCCCACAGAGTTCACCTACCCTGGAACGACCGACTGCTTCACCCCGATTGTGTTCACAACCCTTCCCTGCATTTTTACTTTCTTGGCACGCAAGTGTTAAGGAAGTAGCCTATCCATACAGCTTTTCGCTTAACAGTGCTCTTGAAAATTCCGCAACAGCGCCGCGCAAAGCGCCGGCAGCGGCCATGGCACCAGCCTCAGGTTCGCGCGCCGCTCCTGTGCTGTCGACATACAATCGCCACCTGATCTAGCAGCCCGTGCATCTCAGCACCTACTGTCCTCTCCGGCGGAGGCTCGCCCAAATGTCTCAACCCTGGCGGCTCAGCAGCTCCCTCGACCGACGTCTCCCAGCGACACGCCCAACGCTGCCGTCGCGGAAGGAACGCAGCCGGAAATAATCCCGAATGGCCCTGGTTCGACCGGGTCCACGGAAAATGCACCTGTCTCCATCATCGAAGCGGCTACAAAGATCGCTCGCGACCAAACGGCAGCCCATGATGCCAAGCTGGCAGTCTTTCGGGCCTTTAGCGAATCATTCGAACAGACAGCCAAACAATTCACGTCCGGCTCCCACAATAGCATCGCAAAGCAAGTTGCCACCAAGTTTCTGAACCTCTGGACTCAATCGCTCGCCGACCTTGAGGAACCACCGAAACCTACGTACAGCAGCGTTCTCGCATCCGGCAAAACGACACAAGGACAGCTGGCCATTACGGCCTCCGCCCCACCACAGCGAAAACAGCAAACCACCACTCGTCTCAAGGACGACCGCCCGTGGTCCCACCCAAGGAAGACCTGCGTGTCTTTGTCCGACTTGACGCCGATGCTCCGGCCCGAAACCATGAAAGATACGCTATCCGGGCCCACATCGCCGCTAGAGTCGGCATCGACCTACGCCGCATCCCGGCAGCCTTCCCGGTAAACACGGGTTGGGCCATCCTGGCATCGGATGTGGCCACGCGCGAACTACTCGTGCAGCGACAGGCGGATTGGGCCGTAGATCTGGACGCGACGGCCGTAGAGATTAGCCAGAAATGGCATTCGTATGCCGTAGCCGATTGCCCCGTAGGCTCACGGACCTACGCGGCGTTGAGATCAACTTCGATGAGGCGGTCAAAGAAGAAATTGCCTGCCAAACCGGACTGAAGCCCATCAGCATACGGACCTCGCGACACGACTCGGGCGATATGCCTACCAAGACCCTTATTGTATCCTTCCTGGAACCCACGCAGAGACCCTGGCGACTGTTCGGCGCCAGCCGGTTCGCCCGCTATATCAACAAGCCCAGCATTCCTAGCCAATGTGACAAGTGCTGGGATTTCCACGCTCGACACAGCTGCGATCGAACGGCGCGCTGCAGGCGTTGTGGCAAAACCGGCCATCGTAGCCAAGAATGCACCGCCCTCGAGCAGTGTGCAAACTGCCTTGGACCCCATTGCGCGGATGACCCCAAATGCCCTGCCCGCCCCAAGCGCGTTCACGGCATGGTCCGGCGCCTGACGAAGGAGGAGAAGAGCCTGGTACGGCAGATGGGAGTTCAGCTCTCTGCGCAGCAGAAGCGGCAGACTCAAAGGCCAGAGTGTCCGACCAGTCTGATCAGAGCCCTGGCAGGCCGCAGATACTTTCCTTGGAGTCAACGGCGCCGCGGGCAGCTGGAGGAGATGGAAGCTCCGACATGGGCGCCATTTACGAGCCAGCCGCGCCGTCAACCCCATGCATCGTTGTGGCCACAACGCCGCCGCATGTAAGGGACGGCGACCAGTTCCTCCCTGTCGTCCCATCGAAGAAACGACGCACTAGTCCTGTGACGCTACCCTAATGCCTCGCTGTTTTCCACGCAATCGAAGCGATAGGAGGATCTTGCGAATCTTCCAAGCCAACGTAGGCAAGATTCCGCCGGCACACGATTGTGCCCTTGCGTTGGCCGACTCGGAACAATACGACATTATTTTGTTGCAGGAGCCATGGACAGGACTGAAAGATGGCCGATGCCTCACTAAGACGCATCAGGCCTACGACACCTTCTCACCCGTCAACGACTGGGACGGCCGCGACACTCGCCCGAGAGTCATGACATACGTCCGGCGTTCCGCAGGTCTCGTCGCTGATCAAAAGAGACCTGCGGCGACTCGTGACATCCTTTGGCTCACCGTCAACGGCATAACAGTCGTCAACTTCTATCGGCAGCCGTACCACGACGGAGCCCTTGAAATCTTGCTTCAGTGGACCGTACCGGACAAGTGTCTTGTTGCTGGTGATTTCAATGCCAAACATCCCAGCTGGCAGGCCGGTCGACGAGAGGACCGCGGCGAAGAAATAGCGTTTTGGGCAATGGACAATCGACTCGGCTTACTGAATCCTGTCGATGTCCCGACCAACGCACACGGCAATACGGTTGATCTCGCCTTCTGCAACATACCTCTGGCCGACGCTGTTGTCGAGGATCATCTAGCAACCGGCTCCGATCATTTTACCCTTAGTATCACGCTGCCAGGACAAGTTCTGGCACCCCTTCCAATAGGAAAGATCCATCTCAACTCCGACGAGGAATTGAAGCGATTCATTGAATTAGTGGAGGCCGGTGCCGCCTTCATCCCGATCACCACGGCATCTCCTTCCGAGCTCGACAGCTTTGCGTCGGCGCTCGTGAACCTTCTTGGTTGTGCAGCCAGAGCTGCCGGTCGACCTGCCCGTAAGACTACGCATGGTGCGCGGTGGTGGACTGAAGAATGCGCAAAGGCGGCGGCCAATTACCGCGCGTGGAGGAGAGTTCACTCTCTCGGCTTCGACCGAGAAGTACAGCTAGCCAAGAGGGAGCTCCATAGCGTGGTGCGCCGGGCCAAGCGCCTTTACTGGCGTAACTTGATTGACAGCTTCACCGATAGCGCCTCCGTCTTCAGGGCGGTCCGCTGGCTGAAGTCTCCAGGTCCGTTTCAAGCTCCTCCCCTGCAAATTGACGACCGAGTGTATGAGACGCAGCTGGAAAAGGCCACCGCCTTGCGACAAGCCACTCTGGAACGGCGCACGGCGAACGACGACATCCCAGATCCGTGGATCTCCGTGAACACAGATAGGACGATACCCTTCACCGACCGAGTCTCTCCGGAGACCCGCGACGCCACGCTACGCACCGGGAATACGTCCCTGGTCCCGACAATATTACGGTGCGGATGCTCCGCGCTGTCTGGCATGCGATCGGAAGTCTCGTCCACCAGCTATATCAAGGCTGCCTCAGGATTGGCCACCATCCGAAGCCCTTCCGAGAAGCAGAAGTGGTCATGATTGCCAAGCCGGGGCGCAGGGATCTCTACACCCCGCGCTTGGCGCCCCATCTCCTTTGTCCTGTCTCGGCAAGGGCCTCGAGCGGCTCATCGCACGGCGTCTAGCGTGGGCCTCGGTCCATTTCGGCGTACTACACCCACAACAAGCCGGCGCGCTCCCGAAGAGATCGGCCGTGGATCTCGTTGCTGCCTTGATTCATGACATCGAGGAGGCATTTGCCTGCAAGCAGGTTGCAACATTGGTGACTTTGGACATTCAGGGCGCCTTCGACACAGTCCTCCGCAACAGATTGATCCTTCGCCTACGGGAGCAGGGTGGCCACCGAACCTCGCGCGATGGGTCGGCTCGTTTATGCAAGACAGGTCGGCACGCATCCGCTATCAAGATATCGCAACGAATTCATCGCCTCTCCAGTGCGGGCTGCCACAGGGATCGCCAGTCTCGCCGATCCTCTTCCTACTGTATACGGAACCAATCTACCGCTTGGGCAGCTCAAAAGGGCGTTTCGGCTATGCGGACGACACTGCCATCCTTTGCGTCGGCGATAGCCTGGATGAGACGTCCGCCGAAGCATCTCATCATGTGCGTGAGCTTGTATCGTGGGCGCCGCCAACGGGATCTCCTTCGACCCTGAGAAGACAGAAGTGATGCACTTCTCTCGAACGACGCCCAAGACGGCGCCGCCAGTGCTCCATGGCGAATTTGAGAAACGGCCGGGCCGGGCGATGCGTTGGCTCGGCGTCTGGCTCGACAGCACTCTGTCTTTCAAGACTCATGTCGAGAAATGGACGGCCAAAGCGCAAGCAGTCGCCTTCCATCTCAGGAGACTGACAAACACCAGGCATGGTCCTCTACCGAGCGCTGTGCGACGAGCGGTCTGCGCTTGCGTCATTCCAGTGCTGCTCTACGCGGCGGAGGTCTGGTATCCTGGTTCTACGCGCCCGCGCTGGACCAAGCCGGGCAAGGAAGGACCGTCCAGGATCGGACACCTCGTAAAGAAGATGAGCAAGGCACTCTACACATCTCTTCGGGCTATCCTGCCAGTGTGGAGAACTACACCAACGAATGTTCTGCACCGGGAGGCAGGGATACCGCCGGTCCCTCTGCTGCTCGAGGCGCGCCGGACTGCATTTGCTGCGCGTCTCAAATCCCTGGACGAAGCTCATCCGCTCGTGAAGCGCACGTCGAGGCCAAAAGCCCTATACTGAATGAAATGATCAAGCTGAAGTACCAAAAGCAGCCAAAACCCTTCCGGACTAGGCTGCGGCGCTCCGACGAATTGCTACCAAGCTGCCCAAGGCCTGCCTTGCTGCAGCGCGGATTTGTCGAAGAGCAGACTGCGCCTCTGCAGAGTGCATCGAAAATGAGACGGCGAAGAAATTTCGCGATTGGCTCCAGGCACTATCGCCCCGAACTCTGGTCGTCTATTCCGACGGGTCCCGTTCTACCGAAGGCCACGCCGGATATGGCTATGTTGTTCATCGGGACGGATCCACCGTCTTGCGCGACAAGGGCCGTCTCGGGCCCGCCGAGATTTTCGACGCTGAGGCGAAAGGTGCGTTGGAGGTTGAAGGCTGCGGTGAGCCTTCCAGAAACTGACCGCATCTTTGTCTGCCTCGACAACCTTGCGACCGCAACATGCTTACGGGCACGCCGAGCGACTCCTCGCAAGAGGTCTTCCTTGAGTTTCAATCTTTGGCGCGAAAATACGGAGCTGTGGAGGTCCATTGGATCCCCGGCCATGCTGACATCCCAGGCAACGAGGAGGCTGATGCTCTGGCAAAGGCGGGAGCATCACTGCCAGAACCCGCTGATAACGTCCCGACGCTAGCGCACCTGCGAAAGATTGCCCGACAGCAGCCGGAAGAGGCTTTCAAGGCCTGGTGGGAAGCCTCTGCGCCGGAGCGATACAGAGACCTGAGGCTTAAAGCCACAACCAGCTGCCCGTCAGAATTGGCGCTCTCGGCCCCTGCTTCGTAACTTGCTTGCAGCAAGAACCCACCATGGGGATTTTGCTGACTACCACGAAAGGTTTGGTCACGACAATGCGCGACTGACGTGCTCGTGCGGAAGACGAAAGAGCCAGCACACATCTTTTACTGCAGAAAGGTTGCGCCACGGCATCGTATGCGGCTTGCACCTTGGCCGGCTGCAGCCATCAACCGCGCAATCGGCAAGGACTTTGACAAATTCGTCAGGCTGGCGAAAGCGAGCTCCTTCTTCGGAGGATCTGCCCACGCCACTAGACGGTCATCATTCTCCTCTCTCACCCTACCTTTTCCTCTCAATCCTTTCTGTTACCTGCTCCGTTCTCGGCGGCGTCAAGGTCTCGCGACCATGCGATCGCCGAGGTCATCAAGGGCTGCAAGGCCCCAGAAGCAAATTGGCTGATCTGACCACGGGACAGCTTTCTCTTCATGCCTGGACGTCCCGCTGACGGGCAACAGGTTTGTCATGAGCGCCGTTGAGCCGATGAAATGCTGGATAGTGGGTGAAGTGTACGATATGTAGCATGTAGACACCTGCTAGCTCAGCACGTCCTGTGCTCCCCTGCGGAGACCTGAGCGACCAAAAGTTGCTGGACGGAAAATACACTAAACTAAACTAAACTAAAATAAACCGATTGTGTTCAACGGTGCTGACCTGATGGTTGGACGGACAAGTTGATGACTGCAACTTGCTGCTAACTTTGGTCAGGTCAGCTGTACACAATGGTGCAGATGAGCCGACCAGCTGGTTTTAAAGCCTTTAAAAAGGCTTTATAAGGCTCTTAGATTGTGGTTGTGGCCTGGTCGAGGAGGCGGGGGACCTCCTCGCGGACCAGATGGATGGAGAAACATACGACCATGGCCCTTTGAATTTAACAGAATAACTGCACGCCGTTTTACTATGACGAACAATCCCGGCTTATTTTCCTCGCCGTCCTTGTCTAGCAACGGCGAGCGTGGATCCGGGGCCTGTAGACTTCAACTGCGGTGCTGGGGGAATCAAAAGAGAAGGCGAAGATAGATACACCGGGGAAAGGGGGGTGATGCGTGTGCCGTTGGCTCAAGTGATATTTGCTGTTGAGCAAACCGTAACATTTCACTCCAATACTTTGAGCTTCCCGACATGGGGAGGTGTAATTGAGAAAAGTTGCCAAGTATGGCAGACGGACGTGAAACTGTTTGTTCCCCGTACCGAAACAAGCCGACGTCGGATACTCCCCCGAAACCCTACCACTGGATCCGTTCGCCTCTGCGGTTCTTGAGTTGGCTCTTCTCAGACTTGATAACCGTCGCTCCCTCGGTGACCTGGTTGGTCGCCCACACCCTCTCGATGCACAGCTCAAAGGGGCCCTCGATGCGGTCCGTCAGGCCGACGCCAACGCTGCGCACCTTTTGCCGCAGCAGCTCCGTCTGCGGCTCGACGACGAAGCCGTAGTTTGTGCGGACAAAGTCGTTCCACTTGACCATGACCGTCTCCCACTGGCCGGGCCGCTTGGCGAAGAGGCGGTGCTGGTGCAGGTCGGTGGGCTCGACGGCCTCTGTTTGTAGGTTGATGAAGTAGGCCCGGCCGTCCGACTTGATCCTCATGGCCAGGTACGTGTAGGGGTCAATGTCCCACATGGACCGCCCGAAGACGGTCGGGGCCTGGTCGGGGGTGCGGAAGGCGGCGTAGCCGCTGCGCTGGATGTTGGGGCGGTCGGCGGGGAGCGAGGTGGATATGAGGCCCTGGAAGCGGGCGTACGACGTGGGCGGGGAGTGGGATTCGCTCGAGGTCGGGGGTGAGGGTGCGTCTTCGGAGGCGGCGGAGGAGACGAAGTCGAGGCTGCTTTGGGAGGAGCCGCCGATGAGGTGATCGGACATGAGGATGCAGTCGCGCACAGAGTCTTGATCGCGAAAGTCGTAGAGGGGGCGGGAGCCTTGTGGGCCTTTGACGGCCTCGAGCTTCCACGCTGCGCGCCAGAAAGAACCGTCAGCATGTGGAGGGCAAAGGGAGCTGGGCGGATAGAGGGAAAGGGTGCGCACCAATGGAGGAGCGGCGCTTCAGCTCGTCTATGCTCCGCGCCAGGAAGCCCCTGGCGAGAAGCGGCCGCGTGGCATTCATGTCTTGCGCGACGACTGCGACGAGGCGCAACCACCCAATTGCCCGTACCGAGACGCCACCTGCCTGACTCGCCAAGCAAGCAAGCGGGCAAGCAACGATGTTGCAAAGTCGGGGGGAAGCAGAGCCCAGCTGGCTCACCGCAGGCTGAATACCATGAGACCAAGGGACGCGGTGGGCCCCGCCTAGGAGGAAGGAAATCGCTTGACGTTCTCGAGCGAGGATTCCGCTCGTGCGAAACAAAACGACCGTCGTGGAAGAAATGCAAGGCCGCGCTTCGATGGTGTTGGACAGTCCCGGCTTTTTTGCGCGGGTAGCTTCCTGCACGTCATGCGCGGAGCGGGGATACCAATTACCCGCCCTAGCTCTCTTTCCCCCCCCGGCCGAGGTTTTTGAGGCCGATCACGAACTAGCCTGTCTATTATATCGGTTAGCAAAACCAACCAACTTCCAAGAAGATTTCCGAGCCGAGCCGCCGGTGTACCCTTCGCGCGCACTCACGACTCACCGACGACAAGAAGCGCGCGCACGCACTCGCCCCCTCCTTCCTGCCAGCCATGGCCTCAGCAGCGATGAGCCCGGCCCGGCGTCTGCTGCTGCTGCTGCCGCCGAGGTGTCCATCATCGTCGCCGGCCATCTGCGCCGCGGCGGCAGCGGCTCGCCGCCATTACGCGGCGCCGTCTCGCAAACAGATTGCCCGCGAGGTGGAACGCACCAATCGCATGATCACCGCCAGAAATAACCGGGAGCTGAGCCTGTCACAAATGCAAAAGGAGGCGCACGCCGACTACTTCAAGGACGGCGATGGGCCCCTGTTTCCGAGTGCGTCTTCGCCCACATTCTTCTTCTCATTCTTATCCCTCTTGTTTTGCTTTCCTGGTCTCGCTTTCACTGCATTGGCTGGTCTGGGAGAGGTGGCTGCTGCTGCTGCTGTAGCTTTGTTTGTCGTGGGACGCCACGAAAGAGTTTCAATGATAAAACGACAAGAAAAGCTGACCATTCTCTTACCTCTCCAGCCACCTTCGTTGCCATGCCCTTGTCCCAATGTCCCCGAAACCCCTCCCGCTTCTTTGATTACCAGTGGGCCCGCATGAAGCAGTGGCTCTTGGAGACCGGCTCTGTGCTCGGCTACAAGCTCAATTCGATGGCCTCGTGGACCTCGCGCCCCAAGTGGAAGGTCCGGCGCGGCCAGATTGCGCCCACCGCAAAAGCCATGTATCGCGAGATGCTCGAGGCCTTTGCCCATGGCGACAAGCAGACGCTGCACAACATTTGCCTGGCGGGCTGCGCCAAGAAGCTCATCTCGGCCATCGACCGCAGAGATAACCGCGAAGGGTGGCGCTTCGAGGTGGTCAAATACAACCGCCCTCTCCTCTATCCGCGCCTCATGTCCCACCGCATCCACGAGTTCAACCCCTACGACAAGACCATGGCCACCGAGCAGGCCGTCGTGGCTATCTGCTCCACCCAGCAAGCCTCCAAGTACACCATCGCCACCGGCGCCACGATCCCCGGCACCCTCAAGCTACAGGACAAGACCGAGTATGTCGTCTTGTCCAGGCAAGTCAACCAGAAGACCTTTGTCAGCACGCCGTGGCGGATATGGGGCACCATGTCGCCCACGACGCTCGAGGGGTATTTGAAGGAACAGGCCATCATTGGCAAGGAGCAGGCGAGGAGAGCGGGCTGGGGCCCGGAGACGACGAAACGAATGTAAATTGCCTTGTTTTTGCCGGCGCCCAGTCCGCGATGCTGGCCGGTGACGCTGAGGCGTGCACATGAGTTGGGTCGAGGCAACGCATGGAGAGAGGCGAAGTGTAACAGGGGAGCGCAGAGCTCGCGGCCATGAACTCTCTGCATGTACGATAGCATGGCGTCACTTCCGGGCGAGGACTGGACGCAACCACGAATCTAGCCGCTGCTTGTCATTTGAGCCAGATGGAAGCTCGAGACCTGTCTACTCTGATACGTCACGCCGGCGTCCTAACAGGCCATGCACGCATGCGCACATGGTCCATGCTTGTACAAAGGAGCCCGAGTATATACGCGTTGCCATTGCACCTGACCGCGAGGCGTACTCTTCAGAAAAACTTGCCCGCTTTCAGGGTCGCTACAGCCTCGGGCTGTACATCTGCGTCGGCGACGGGGACGTGAGCATCGATGGGCCGATCCAAGGCGTCGAACCGCTCGCCCCTGACCCTGGCCTTGAGAAGCTGAAAGGCCAAGCGCAGGGCGAGGGCGATGAAGCCAGAGACGACGCCTCCCACAGGGGCGGCAACAAACGCGCCAAAGACACTCCAGTCGTTGGAGTAGAGGCCGCTCTGGAGGAGGAGGAGCTTGCCGCCCTCGTGCGCGTCGCCAAAGTATACAGTGCCGAAGATGAAGACGGCCAGAATGCCGCCGAGCCCCCCGACAACCACCTCGAAGCCGCGCCACCAGTAGAGGCGGTCGCTGAGGCCCAGGCAGAGGACAGGGATGGTGGCCGCCGAGAGGAGGTCGCTGACGAGGAAGATTTGCAGTATGGACGAGGCCTTGAGGGCCAGGACGACGGCGGGAATAATGACGATGACGACCATGCCGCGGATGTACCAGATGCCAAGGCGGTTGCGGAAGAAGTCGTTTGACGCCGACGACACCATGGCCGATTGAAGGCTGTCAAAGGCGGCAGTGCTGAGACTGACGACCATGATGAGGACGATGCCGACGACCCAGTTGGGCAGCCGCCCGAGCAAGAGGAACAAAGCCAGAGACCCCGGTTGCGCAGGGTTGCCAGGCCACGCTCCCGACCAGGCGGAGATGAGCCCCGTGCAGCCGACGAGCGTGAGGACGCACAGGATGGTCACCATGGCCACGGACACGCCGATCCACAGGTCCTTGTCCGACTTTGACGAAAAGGTCCGCAGCCAAAAGTGTGACAGGAAGAAGTCGTTTGTCAGGATGGCGACGGGAAGAATGTACACGAGCTGCCAGCCGAGGAGCGAGGGCTTGGTGAGGCCCGACGAATCGATGAGCTCCGGCTTGATCTCCGTCTTGACCCCGACGGTGATGGTGGCGACGATGATGAGGCAGACAACCATGGCGCCCTGGATGACGTCGGTGAGGAAGGAGATTTTAAAGCCCCCGAGCGCTGTGCAGGAGTGCATCCTCTCCATCAGCATTCGATCCCAATTTCATGCGGTGAAGCGAGACTCACAGGTGTAAATGGTCGTGACCACGCACTGAACAACGATGACGGGTAACTTATCCAGTCCCGTCAGGGCCCCGATGACCTGTCCCAGGGCCGACAGCTCGGCCACCATGTACAGGAAGAGCGTCACGAGCGTCATGAAGCTGAGGTAAAGCATCGCCACGGTGCCGTAGCGCTGGCGCGTCCACTCGGTCAGCACGAAGCCCTCGGGGCACTTGCGTCGGATGATGGGACCAAGGGCGCCAAACACCAGCATGGGCAAGGAAGAGGCGAGCGCGTAGACGACGACGCCCTGCACGCCGGCGAAGGTGGCGAGTTCCGGGTAGGCGAAGAGGATTCCGGCGCCGAGTGCTTGCTTGGGGTCAGTTCGAATCTCAGCGGTGGGGGGAGGGGGGAAAGGGTTGGAGGTCTAGAGCGGCAGCACGTTTCCCACGCAAGCATTAACTTGATCGAGTATGACGGTGCAATCTCAGCTTCGTCTTCGGCGGGCTGCCATCTCCCTCCAGGCTGCCAGCCTGGAGGGTTGGATGACGGGCACCGCTTCAAACTCCGCGCCCGTAGTGAGCCGCATCCCCGCCCCTCACGCAGTGAGCTCTCCCTCTCCTCTTCTTGCTTCTCGCCCATCTGCAGCGCATCTTGTCCAGGCCAGATGGACTCCGCCCGTGAAAGCGAGGAAGTCAGGTGTTGCGTCAAGTCGCGGGTCCGGAGACTGCAACAGAAAGAGAGCAGGGAGAGCCCATGCGTCGAGGGGCGAAAACAGAGACCTAGGGTACGAACCTAGTCATTGCCAAACGCATCATATACTTCACCCAGCCGAGGCGCCTGAGCACGGGCTGCGTCCACGGTTGGAAGAAGCCACCGCTCCAGAGAAACTCCGTTTCGAGGCGAGCGAGAGGCTCTACTCACAAGAGGCGATGAAGTTGAGAGCCAGCGGGAAAGCTGCGTCACGTCAAGAGTCAGCATCCTCGACCAGCGCGCAGACGGCATTAACAGAGAATAGGGGCATGCAAAAGAGAGCGGAAGGCTGACCGGACTGAGTCCCGTTCCCGGAGAGAAAGTCTTTCTTGCCCTGGAACCTCATGGTCCAGGCAATGCTCGTCCCAGTAATCCTGGGCCGAGTCGGTTAGATGTTGGCGCCGCACAGTCTCGACAGCTTGTGCTCACAGGAAGACGCCATAGGTGAGGTAGATGATGGCGTTGGACGCCGAAAACGATGGCTGTCCCATGATGTCGGTGCTGCGGTCAGGGGATCGACGAATCGCCGCTTTCTGAAGATTCCGCGCACTGTCCAGCCGTTGGGGAACTGAGATGTGATGAAGAAACGAAAATCTTCGTCCCCGCACCGCGGGTAACTAATAAGAGCGCACGTGGATCCGCCAGGGCTGCCCACCTCCACATCACAAAGCGAGGCCAATCACGTACTTGCATCACCGTCCTACCGTCGTTGATTTTGTGCTCCCATCCTCGTCGCAGCGGCTTTGTCATGCAGTCAATCGAGCAGCCAGGCAAACTGCTCGTACTTCTTGCGATACAGTCACCACCAGCAAGGTAGGGAACATGTGCGCGCTACTGGCAAACAGAGATTGCCGGTGGGCAAATAGTGCAACTTTTTCATTACTGACCTGACCTAGTTTTGGTGCTGGAAAAGCTCGAGGCAACTCCATCATCTCCTCCCAATCAAGATCAAATGACCCCAGACTCCCTCCACGGTCCGCCGATGCTTCACCCTCAAGCCTTCCCTCCAGCCTCTCCGAAGAGGAGCAGAGCCTCCATCGGTTTCGACCCTGAGCCCATTGCTCCTAGGTGTTTCCAGAATTACAATACTCGGACATACAGCCAAGATGAGACAGAGTAGCCAGATTTGTCAACAGTAGAAACCTAGATGTGAGGGCGCCTGTGTTGCTTATCCATTGCTACTCAGCCATCCCGACCAAACTCCAACAAAATCGTCTGCTGTACTCACATCCATTGTCTCGCCACACTCACCCGAAAAGTTGTGTGCTGAGAGGACGTGGTTGTCCAGCCGCGACCGCGCTGACGACAGGTTGGCGCGCCAAAGGCAAAATTAGTACGAAAACAGGGCGTGTTTGCGGCGGGTAATGGCACACCATCCTTCCCTCATACGTCTTGCTTGCTGACGAGAAAAATTGAAGTGGAATGCAGCTTGACGCCAAGGCTGTTGAGACGCAAACACGCTCAGAAACCTTGCCCATCAAAAGCGCAACCAAGACCGGACGAAACCAGGAGAAGGGAAGTCGAGACGGAAAAGAACCGAGGACAGAGGGGAAGAAAAACCAGGGAAACGAAACAGTACGCGCCGTGAGCTCTGGCAAACGTTTGCACAGAAGCAGAATCCTCTGCGGTCGAGAACCGGTGGAGAAAGATGGCATGAGACCCTCAAAGCGATGGCTCCTTGCCCTTTCCTTCCGACTTGCGACCGTCGGGAGTCTCCGAGCCTGGCTCGACAGTGGACTTGTTGTCGCGGTCAGAGCGGGCCGGCGTTCCGTTGAAAACAGGTCCTGGGTTGAAGGCCGGCATCATGTGAGGCGGCGAGAGCATCATGTTGCCATACATGTCGTACATCGTATGGTACATGGGATGCTGCATGTAACCGGCGTACATGAGGCCAGGATTTGCCTGAGGCGTCATCGGCGCTCCCATGTATGGGTACCCGAACGGGGGATAGGGTGGGAGCCAGGGCATCGCAGTCGGCGGTGCGGGCGTTGCCTCGGTGTCTCGAGAGCCAGGACGCTTTCTGGCAGACGAGGTCGAGGGCACGCTGGCGGCCTTGGGAGTGGTGGGCTTGGAAGCCATCTTGACAGGCGCAGCGCTAGGCCCCGAATCAGCAGACGAGCCAGACACGTTGCGGCAAGGCAAGTCGAATTCAACAGACTTTTTGACTGACGAGCCTGGAACGGCCAAGGACTCTGCTCGAGACGTTCGAGCCTCATCGTATGGCGAGCCAGCGAAGGTCGTCTCAGGAGGCTCGAAAATGTCACGAGCCGGGGACGAGTCGGAGCCAAGAACGGTAGGACGAGACTGGCGGCTGCGCCCTGGGGTATATGAGTTCGATGCATAAAGCTTGCAACGAGACTGCGTACCCGTGTTCCCCGAGGGAGTGCCATAGCCACCATCCGAGGGCTTTTCAAGCTCGAATGAGCCAGCACGCGCGCAGACAGTCGAGTATCGTGGATACGATATCTCGCAGGCCGGCGGCGGGACATATCGTGGAGCCTCGGCAGACCGAGACTGCTTTCGCTCAGCTCGAATCCGATAGCCGTCAATGTCAGTATCGTGCTGGAGAAAAACGTTAGTTGGATGCGCGAGATGGTCAGTTGCACTGTACTCACCATTGCCTCCACAAGCTCATCAGGCGCATCAGGTCGACTGAATTCGAGAAACCCGAAGCAAGTTCTGAGACCTGGACGAGTGTCAGCGTTTTAGATGCAAAGCCTCAATCAGAGTGGACGAGTTCACTCACCACCTCCGCCCGCCACCTCTTTGTGATGAAGCTGGACGTCCACCACTTCGCCACAGGAGCTGGCAAGAGACTTGAGGACATCCTTGGTCATGCTCGGCGGGAGGTTTCCCACATACGCCGAGCGTCGGTCTCTGTCATACTGCTTAAGAAAGGTACCCTCGCGAGGGGCGGCAACCGGGGTGCTTTCCTTGGCGGAGAGTGCCTTTGGGTCAAAAACCTTGACGCAGTAGGTCGGGTCAAATGCGAAGATCTGGCGTCGCGTGTTAGCCTCAGCCTCGTCAACACGGGGAAGAGCCACGATTTACTCACCTTGGGAGGATCGCGTCTCGGGTCGTACATTTTGAACGTCACGACGACAGTCTGCGGAAGGCGTGCGACCGCTCGGAGGCCCTCGTTGAGGTACTCGGCCTTGGAAATCTGACCGAGACGGCGAAGAAGATCGCGGGCCTCGTGAAGGCGAATCCGCTGTCCGGAATACTTGTACACGATGAAGGACGCTGAACGGGAAAATTAGTGACCGTTCTCCATTACAGCCGACGGCATCAACTCACAGTGTGCTCTGGCCATCTCGGTGCGGCAAGGTCGCTCGAGGATCATAATGCCCTTGCCAAGTCTCATCGCGGACTGTGCGTCTTGGTCATTCTGGCAGTTGTCAGCGACATTCGGCGGGCTTTCTCGGGATTCTGGAAACCGGCTCACCGTATACTGGCAGAAGGCAAACGGCATGCCTCTGGAGTCACGCTTGATCTTCACAAACACAATACCAAACTGGCTGAAAGCTTTAGTCACTTCCTCTTCGAGCTTTCGGTCGTGGAACTGTTGCGGAAGACTAGCCAGAGTCAGTCCATGTCAAGGCAGCAAAGCGGACGTCGAGAGCGACTTACTTGGCAACAAACATGCAGGAAGAGCCCGCATACATGGTTTGCGGGTCGACCTTGTCACGCGTATCTTCCTGGTAGACAGCGACTTCGCTTCCCCGACGAGGGCTCGATGGGCCGCGAAAGCCATCGTTTGAGCCATCGTTTGAGCCATCGGCGAAGACGTCGTCGTCTTCACTGGATCCGACCATGAAATTAGTCGAGCTGCTGTTGGGGCCGTCAGTCACTGCACAACACAAACAACGCAGAGGACGTATTATCATACCGAGTCGAGACGGGAGTACCGTCAGCCGAAATAGGCTTCTTGAGCTGAGCTCTGAAGGGCATGTTAGCCGCCGTACCTGGCGACAAATATGAGGCTGAAGAGCCGTACCGAGCCTTGGGGCTCCGGAGCAGCGTGTCGCTCGCGGTCTCGCCACGTGTTCCTGCAGCACGTTAGCCTTTCTTGTCTTGATGAGAGGGAATCAAAGATGAGAGCGTGATCTCGGACGCGAAGGTGGTGAATAGGAGAGGGAAAGGACGTGTGAGGCAAGGTAAGGGCAATGAAGATGAGAGAGAATGCAAAGAAAAATGTGCTCACCACCATTAAAGCTTTCATCATCCGACGTGGAAGCTTTGCTGATGGGCTCGCACGAGGAAGCCTTGCGCATGAAGTCCAGCTCAAGCCCGTCTCCAAGAGACGGCTTCTTCCCCGGCTGGCGGAGAGTATCAGGACGCATCTTGAGAAAGGCGAGATCCTGCTGCAGTTGTCAGTGCACAGGCTCTTTGACAGACTCGCCGAACAAGTGATGGAACCTTGCAAGAAAGGGGTGTAAGCTGACAACCGAGGATGCAGACGACAGTGAGCAGAGGAAGCCGGTTGAAGTTGGTGAAAGTTCTCGGGGGGGCAGCCCCTCGACGCGTTGAGGCGCGGTGAGGGAAGCGATCAAGTCTGGTGCTCGGCAGTGAAGAGGTTGTGCAAGGAAGCAGGCGGTGCCCTCGAGAAAGCCTCGAAGATGCAGAGCCCACGGGGAGACGAGGTGTTTTCCTTCTCAGAGGAGGAAAAAAAGGAATTTGTGCGTGCGTGGGCTAATGTTGTGGTGCTGAGAGAGAGTCCAAGGAGGGGCTCGAGGAGGAGAGGAAGGAGGGACGGAGGCGGTGACCCCGGGGGGGGGGAACACACAGGAGGCAGGAAGGCAACTGCCAGCTGGCAGACCGCCCCCCACATATCTGCCGGACCGTCACGACTTGCTGAGGCAGCAAAAGGGGCTAAACAGGAGCAGGTCATATGACCAGGGCCCTTTTCTTTGTGCTGGCCAAATCTCCAGGTGTCTGCTGTATTCTGAGAGGCTGGCATGAAGCGAGGTCGAGGGGGATTCGAGAGGGCTTGCAAGGCTGCCGCGCAGGCGAATGCCTCTGCGTAAGCTCGCCTCGTCGACAAGACAAAGATCACAATAGCCGTAGAGCCTGCAACGGTTTCTGCGCACTTGTCTGTGTCGTTCTGTGTCATGCAAAGGATCGGCAGCGAGTGATGCTGAAGCTCGGGACGCTTCCTCCGACAGCCTCCCCCGAGGATGAGCTGCAACTGCACACGCTTCCAGGATCAAGGGCACCCCAGGTACTTCACCCAATGAATACTTTGTGTTTCAGGCCTATATGCTAACTTGCTCGGATGAATAGTGTTGCTTAGCCATTCTGCCGCATGCTCGCCGGCAGACGGAAACAGGTTGGTGCATCTCCCAACGACTCGAGATCCCGAGACCTTCGCGTCTCTAACCCAAGGACGCTCTATCTTCTTGAATCAAATTGCTTGAGCCCTCGACTCGCGGTCTTTGGGTGTGCCTTGGGCACTCCCGAGGCCATCACCAGCGAATCGAGGAGATATGGAACGAGAGACTCCGCTCCGCCGAGGGTCCAGCCCAAATCATCTCATCCAAGCTATCCAGGCTGAAGTTGCCAGAGCCCTTGTTCAAGCTCGGCTACCTTGGACTACGCCGATTCCCAACCGCGCTGGCCGGCGTCGTCCGCCGCGAGAGCGACGTCTTCCCATACCGTTGAAGCTCCATCTTCTCGGATGGGTCGTTCGCAACACGTTGAACACGAGGGCGTGCGGAGACACCACGTGTGGATTACCCCAAAGAGAGCACCTGGCAACCGCGTGAAGGAGTCAATTGGATTTTGCTTGTTTTGTCTGTGTTTCCGGCAGCTTCAGGTTAATGCATCATGCATGCCGACAATAGGTTGCAGCCTGCGCGCAGTATCCCCGGCCTGGGAAGTCGACAGAAACGACAATAATCTCGTTTCGCATGTTTGGTGCGTTTCTGTGTTTCCCTCGACGATAGAATAGGCCTTTTCGTTGACAAAAGTTCAAGGTTGCCGCCGTCCGCGATGCACAATACTTGCGAATGGAGAATCAGGCTTCTTCACTATGGAGACGAACCGTTCCGACGACACAGCTCCCACCCGACATCTGCGATCTTCCCCTGTTTAACGGGACATGCTACCAATGGCTCAACGACGTAGTGATGGCGTCCGGAGCGACTTTAGCTGAGGGGGGGGCTTTCGTCCATAGATCCTCGGCAAATCCCATTTCAGACAAAATAACACTTCTTGGAAATTTAAGAGCTGACAAGGCGTCCGAGTAGACAAACGTTGTCAGGGATGTGCCGACAAGGGCCGACGATGAACGACAGATACTGAGCTGGCCCAAGTAACCCTGGCAAATTGACGTTGGCCGGGAGAGCAGCTCATGACCCCCGAGGTTCTGCAAAGGATTTGCACGGAATCGAACTTGAGCCGGCTTGGAAGCTCCGGAGTGCGAGGTCCAAGCTCTAGCTACACAAGGAGTGTCGTCGATGGGAGCATCCGACACAAGCCGCACCAACAGAGACAACTGTCAAATCCGGTTTCGCTTTTGCCGGCGTATTCGGTAATCATCTACTCTACTCGGCGCAGATTTCCTTAAATCAAAGTCAAGTAGCGCCTACGTGTTGCAACAGAACTATCAAAATATCCTTTACAACGTTGACGCTATACCAGCTTGAATCTTTCGAGCTGTCCCCGTACATTCGCCCTGTTGTGCACATGGAGACTGCATTGGTTTACTGTCTCCCAGAGTCTCTGGGGCCGGTTTCGACTCTCCCACGACCGGACGACGACGTCCGGGTGCGCGGCTCTCGAATAAGGGCGACAAGGCCAAGCATCCACACTGTAGCGATATTGGCAGGTGATGCAGGCGCTAATAATTCATTTTCTTCTATGAAGAAGGACAGCCCGTTGGAACTTCATCTTATCAACTGCAGAACAGATGGGGCGATGTCGGGGAGGCCATGTTGGAGTCGACGGGTCAGCAACAGGGGGCCCCTGCGAGCCGTCGGCCTCCCATGCCTGTCCTCCCCGCTCAACGTCAATCTCCCAAGCCGTGAAGTCTCGCAGGTTGAGTGGTGAGGTTGGCCTAGTATTAAGCAACCGCTCTCCGGTCTCGTGTACCTCGCCATCTACTGGATTGGCCTGGTCAAAGGCCTTGTCACTGGAATCAGGAGGCAGCGGCTCCGAGTTCGGTCAAATTGCTGCCAGCCTGTCGTGAGACGGCAATGCTTTGAAGGTATCGGAGGCATTTGAGCGGTCATGCACGGTGCGGGAAGAAACATCAAGCATTGGTCGGGGAGTTTGTGGCTTCTGACATGCACGCGGTCCAGGACAATGCTGAACCTACGATTACCATGGGGAAAAAGCGAGATACAAGACGGGTAATTTACATCAGACGCGGCCTTCATGTCCTCCCATTATGACGAGTGGTCCTGGAAAAATGAGGAAAAGCGCCTTGGGCCAAGCCTCCTGGCCAAAGGCCGCCTGATGACGCCCGTGGTTGGTTGGGACGAATCGTGGGCTTGCAGCAGTCACATGTAGCAATTATAATTGACGGCTCATATGTCCCTGGCAACATGCACGCCTGGCCGTGTGTGAGCTCAACCGACCGCCGGCTGCAGTCTGTCGGCTCGTATTTGAGGGCGCCATCCTGGTGGCATACAGGACACCGGCATACGTGGTCTGGGCACACGGTCGCCAACAAATCCCCTCTCTTTGCCCGTGGGAGATGCCAAGCTCTCGATAAAGAGGTTGAAGAGGTCCTGTCCGTGACGCTCACGCATCCCCAAGTGGTCGCTGATGTTGGGCATTGGGCGGAGCCCAACCGGCCTCGGCGTCCATGTCCGGGAACGTGGAGAAGCAGGACGACGACAAGTAGTCGGCATACATGCATTGCATAGATTGGTACGACGCCAGCGGAACGTCGCCGAGGGGCCTGAAGCAAACCGAAATGACCGTTCTTGGCTACAGCCAAAATCGCAAATTCGATGCCATTGTTTGCTTCAACATCGCTCCAGCCAGCCATCCCAATGTCCTGGGCCCGCCGTAACGGACACGGTGCGAGCCTCACAAGCTGTCCACGGCAAGGTCCCGATACATCATCACATATTAATTATAAGCTGTCCCTGCATGGCTGCACAGCGAGTCGTTTGTCCCTCTCCGTGGTTCACAGTGCTCTGCCCCGTGACAGGCTCACGCCCTCGCCTGCTCTCTGCCAAACGGCACCTATATAAAGTGCGTCCCTCCTCGCGTCCGGGAGCATGTGCCTCAAGCCTTCCTGTCGTTGTGAACCGTGTTTGCTCGGTGCAAGTAGCTTTGCCCCCCTGAGTCACCCGCTCGACCCCTTTGTACTACCACAGGCCAGGGTCGAGACGGTTCGTCCCTCCCGTTGGCCTCACTGGTCGCCCGGCTTCGTCACGGAGGCTTCCCCCTCTTGTTCTGGTAAGCCAGCCAATGAGCAAGTTGCGAGCAACGTATGGTTCACATTTCTGCTTCAAATTCGAGTAAAAAGTACCATTTGTTCCCCTCTTCAAAGTTGCAGATGAGGAGTCACGATTGTATCCAGTCGCCATGCAGGCTCTCCGTGTTGACCAGTCTAGACAGCGCTTCTTGTCCGGTCTAGGAACCCTGGGAACTGCCTACCGCAGAGCTTTTAAAGCAGAGAAATCCGAGATCAAGATGAAAATCTTTTGCAATACCCCAGGAGCCGTAGCAGTGATCCTGTCTGCTCTCGTCGCCAAGGTAAGGGCTGATGCAGCTGCGCTCACCGCATGACGCCTCGCAAACCGCTGACGGGAGAAAACTCAAGGTCATTGGCCTCGATGACCCCATCGAAGGCTACGCGGCCTTCACCCCCGAATGGGAGGTTGAGGTCTCGCCCAGCGGTCGCATGATGCGCTTGAACGGCACCATTGAGGAGATTTACCGGGAGCTCCTGCTCATCAACCCAAAGTACGAGGAGGAGTTCGTCATCGCTCCAGAGCCAAAGAAGGAGCCGCCGCCGTCGGCCAAGCTTTCCGCCAACTCGTCGTCGCTTCAGGGGACGGACTGGAACCTCGGCACCAGTATTTGCGGCGGCCGATGGCAGGCCGCCTCCGTCCGGCGCATCAAAGAGGGCATTGAGCACCTCAGGAGGGTTCGAGGACGGCCGGGGAGCGAGCCCGGTCCTTCACGGTGCGGCCGCGTGAGCTGCTCCTACAACTCTGCCATTTGGTGGTGCAACGACGTAAGTGCCACAGGGCTCTGTGGTAGAGGAGCCTCCAGCCGCGATGGCCCAGACAGCTTGCGGCCATGATCAGTGCTGATGGAGCAAACGTTGCGAATATCCAGGACGGAAGACCCAAGAAGCTCAGCTCGTTTTCGGACATTGCAAACGGCGCGCAACTCCTCGTCACGAGATGCGTCGAGTGGATGAACCCGGAGCCAAGAGACATCGGCGGCCAGGCCTTTCACCCGAGCAAGTGGAATGTCATTGTCCGCAGAGACCGGTGTTGAGGCCTTGACGGGAGCCCGTCTGTACACGAACCGGGAGGCATGGTGGCCACTGTCTGGACACGGAAAACCATTTTGCTCGCCAACGTCGATATCACGGCGTCCGCGACGCAATCACTCATCGGCTATTCGCAGGCTACGCGAACTCATTTGAAATAGAAGGGGAAGGGTTTCAGGACGTGCAGTCTGGCGCCCGATCACGCGGCGTTGCCATACATAGACAGACGCAGGGACACATAGTACAAGTCTATTACGCAAAATGGCTTTCATAAGTGCCTTGAGGCTTATGGGTAACATGCATTTTATGTGACCACGAGTTGTCAGGCAACGCCGCTTCTCAGAAAGCGCCTGAGCTCAAAGAATCAAGCAAGGACCTGCGCACCACGATGTGCCTTTTCAAGACGACATCGCAGGGCGGGAAACGAAGATTCAGAGGAACAGAGACGTTTCAACAGCGAGGAAGATGTATATATACGGTCATGACTCAACTCAATGGACCAGTGCAGCCTGCTCAGTTCGCAGGATACGCGTTGGCGCAAGTGGGAAGCTGGTTGATATTCCAATCACCTCGACTGTTTGAAAGCGGCTTATTCTACGCGCCGTTCTTGAAATATTGAGAAAGCGGATACGTAGTCAGGTTCGATTCGCCATCTGGGCGTATATTGTCCTCGTCACTCTCCTTCTCTTACCAGCCTGAAGTATGCCGTCACCGCCGCAGCACACCAGCAACTCATCAACCATGACGCCTCTCCGGCAAGACGAGAGCCTCGTCCGCTCTTACGCGACCAAGTAATGTACTTTATTGCCTACTTGAAGATGCAACCACTCGCTACGGCGTCCCTACCGTCGTCTTCGATCTACATCTTCTCGTTCTGACATGGACGTGGCCGCCTGCGCTCTCTATCTTGGCAGACGCTCTATCGAGAGCAAAAATTCGGTCCACCTGGAAAAAGGCTGCGAGGCCAAGTCTGTCATGGCCTTTTCCTTCTCCCTTTCAACACGTATCAATGCAAATCTTCAGCTGCCTCGCAAAAGCTGCGATTGATGGAATGTCCCGGATGCAGCCCATGCATTCCGTCAGTCCTACATTTACAGGCCCGCACCTGCGTAACCCCATGGACACGCATCTCTATTCGCCGCTAAGTCGGCATATGCTCATCCGGAGAGCTGACGTGAACCTTTCGGCGGCCATTGCCTCTGAATCAGCCAGTTACGTGGGAGGATGAGTGCCGCACGCGGGGAATGAGTGTCGCCCGTGAGTTTCGGTTTTTGCAGATCACTTCGGCTATGAATCATGAGACCGGACGCTTGGATATAATATCCTCTCGGGAAAGAGGAAAGACTTTTCTCCTCGCTGGTATGTTGAACTTGCTGGGCCAAGATACGAGACGCATATATGTTGCCTGCTGTATACGGCGCTGTCTCCATCGATTGCGTCACGGGTAATGCTCGCCGTAAATGTAGCATGTTGCCCGACCTTGAGAGACATCATATCGGACCTGTCGGCTTCGGATCTGTGACTGACACAAGTCTCGCTAGAATCTCAAACAACCTCTCAATCTTTCTCCTCGACGATCGGGCCTCAAAGAGCATTCCAAGCGTCCACTGCTTCAGATCAAATATCTCGTCAGTTGCGCTGAAAAAGCGCAGACAATGCTCCATCAAGATGTCTTCTCAGTCGTTGTAGTATATATGAGGCCTTCAATCCACATCGCATCGGCTGGCCTTCAAAGAATCGAGGGCGTCACTCGTGGCCACACTGCCCCGTTTACACCCTTACCTTGCCGTGTATGTAACCAAACATGAGGTACATCCTCGCCCTCTCCGTCGTCGCTCTCCTAGCCGGCAGCGGGATCGCCGTCCCCATCGAGAACGCCGGAGCCGCCGCCCAAGAAGCGCAAGATGGACTGGCAAAGGCCCGCGACGCCAGCCATCACGATGGGTCCCTGAAAAACAGCGACATTGTCCAGTCTCAGGCCAAGTACGCCGAAGAGGGTGCGAGAGGCGATGCCACCACCGGCAATCCGGATGACCCTATCAAGAAGCTGATGAGCGGTATTCCCGTCATGATGGGCATCATTCTCAACGTCTCGAAGACCTTTTTGAAAGACACACTGCCTCACGGCATTGAACTTGCACTCGGCTTGAACCGGGATCAGGATTGATGGACACGTGTACGGGGGAGAGAATCTGGGAGAGAATTGCACAGCACTTTGCTCGCGGGCGGCAAAGTTGAGCTAATCAAGGCGCGTCAAGACGCGACGAGGGTGCTTCAATACATGAAGCAGCGTTGAATCATCATCTGCTAAGCGAGTCGCGATGGCTTTGTATTGGCCGTCATTGGGGTCAGGATGTAGCGGAGGTGGTGGCGCTGACGAGTAGATAGCACCGAGACTTTAATATTGGGAACCTGTGATTCTTTCTTGCATTGTCAGACGACATGACGTCTGGTATATGAGTGCCTCGTACTGTAAGCTCTTGTCCTCGTGCATTGGCCTGTTGAAAGAGCATAAGGACCCTTTTCCGCCGTGCTGTCACCGGAGACGTGCGAGGCTTGCAGGACGGGATTGAAGCCTTTTACTATTGAACCAATTCGGCAAGCGAGAGGTTGTAGTTGAGTTGGTGCTCAAGGCGGCGTGACGACCATTAGGGGACCAAGGGCAGGGAAGCCGATGCAAGGAATATTCGCGTCTCCACGGTGGACGGATCATATCCTGGAACCAGTGGAACCAGGTCAACTCGGACAAGGGCCAAAAGGACAAGGGCCAAAAGGACACAAGGTCGCACGAACGCGGGGGCGTTGATGCAAGACATGGCGAACCGGGCTTCGTTAAGCGACGGTGGGCGTCAGGGTTTCCCCTCGACTGCCATGTCGACTCAGCCCGGCCGGCCGCAGGGTCTTTGACGGCCTGCCTCGTGATGATTCATGTTAGCAAACGGCCGTGTGTAATCCCGTGGAACCGAGCCGACCGGCCACCGGGTTGTCCATGTTCTGTCTCTCACGACTTCTGTCTCTCACGACATGGAGCAATGAATGGACTGGGTGCCGCTGGACCCCTCTCATGTCTCTGTGACGCCGGGAGAAAAGAAACTACAAATGTTTAGAATGATTCTGAAGAAACTCAAGGCGCGCAAAAGGCCCCCTCTGGCCTTGGCTGAACCAGCCGACCATGGCGGCGCCACCAAAAGAAAGAGAGAAGCTGGGCGAGCACAGGGCTGGAAATAGAGGGCTATCGATCAGTGGTCTCGACGCCCTGTCTCTCCTCGCTCGTCCGTTTCCTTCTTCCTCTTCTTGCTAGTCGCCGTGCCCACGTCCTTGGCCGTCTTCCCTCGCCCGGATCTCTTTCCGACTCGGCCTGCTCCGTCTGGGGAAAGTGCAGCAAATACGAAAGCAGAGACACCAACAGAAGAAAACATAGCCGAAGAAGAGGACAAGAAGCGAAAAGAAACGAGCAGCACTTCTTCCCACGAGAAAAAGAAGGCCAAAAAGAAAAAGTGGACTCTCCGCCGCGGGTCTAGAAGCTGTTGATCCCTGTTGCCCACATGCTGCCGTTGGCGCCGGGCTGACGTTGTGTTTTTTTCCCTTTTCTTTTTTCTTTTCTTTGTTGGACCTGATAGTTCGCTGCGTGCTCGGACTCTGCAGGGGGATGGAGACGGGCCAAGAGAGAGCTGACGGCACCCAGCCCAGCCAACGCTCGACTCCCACATGGTCATCTTGGTGGCTCCGCGGAAGTCGTCGTCGTCCTCAGGTCTTACATGGTCCTCGGTTCCTCGGCAGGCTCACTTCCGTCGGCGGCGCTTCTACTCCGTAGAGGGCTCAGGGGGGGCTTGCTGCCTTGGGCCCCTCCAGCTCGAGACGGTCCTTCAGCCGCTTTTGGCCATGCCGTCTCCCCATGCCTAACAAGCTTGGACTTTGCGTCAAGCTGGCGGCGCACGTTGGGGCGGGCTGGCGGACGGGCTGGCCGACTTACACGGCCTGCCCCGTGCACCCGCCACCCTCCTCCATCCGGTCTCTTCCATCCGGCCTCCCCTTGCCTAGCTGGCCGCGGCCCCCCTTGCGGCGTCGACTTGACGGCCAGCTTTGGGCGTCGCTGAGCTGCCTTGGCTGCGCTCTGACCTCGACTGCTGCTGTCGTGCTGCAAGAGTGATACTTATACTTATAAGCAGGCCACCCCATCATGGTCCGTCCAACGACTCGTCAAATGGCAGCTGGGCCTTGACACTCTTCGGCTCTCTCTCACCTTGACTGTTCTCCATCTCTTGTTGCCCGTTAACGCCGCATCTCAGCGCGCCGTCGGTCTCCCTGCATAGCCCATCATGCTCAAGCTCTTCCCCATCACCTACACCCGTCCCCCCTATGTCCACCCCCTCCCGATCCAAGACGCTCCTTCGAGCCAGGAGTCTCTCCCGAGCCAAGCCGCCCGCCCGAGCAATGACTCGCTCCCGGAGGACGCCAAGCGCGAGCTGTCCATCCGCTCGGGCCAGTCCGGCTGCTCGGCCGGCATCCCGGACTCCCTGGCCTTTGACAAGATCATGAACGGCGGAACGTGTCCTGTGAGTTTGCCCGAGAGCCCCCTGTACCGCCGCATGCGCCATGCCTTGCCCGCAACGGCTCAAGTCGGACTGGTCTGACTGACTGTCATAGCCCATGACTGTGCGCGACTTCATGAACTACCTCGTCTACATCGAGCACGCGGCCGAGAACCTGCAGTTCTGGCTGTGGTACAAGGATTATTGCAAGCGCTTCGACACGGCCGCAACCGCCGACACGGGCCTCGCCCCCGTCTGGACCCAGGCCATGCAGGACGACGTCGTTGCCCGCATCCGCAAGGAGTACGCCGAGAAGCGCAAGCCCGAGCCGCAGGCGTCCAAGATCTTCAAGGGCACCGACTTTGAGAAGCAGACGGCCGGGGCCGACGGCTCCAACCCCTTTAGCACGCCTCCGCGCACTCCGCACAAGAACTCTGAAGACCAGGGCTCCGTCTGCACGGGGCCGAGCAACATGCCTTCGAGCGGCCAGGTCACCCACAAGTCCCAGGCCGCCGATGCCTTTGCCGCTGCGGGCGCCAAGCAGCCTTGTATGTCTTGACTTGTCTTGCCTCTTCGAGGGGGGCTGCCGCTGACCGAGGAGTGCACAGTCACCATCCAGCCTTTCCGCGACGAAATCAACCGCGTCATCGCAACGTACATCATGGATGGGGCGCCCCGGCAGCTCAACCTGGCGTCGTGGCAGCAAAAGGCGGCCGTCCACGCTCTCTCACGCACGACGCACCCGACGGCTCTCCGGTCGCTGTTCCAGATGGTCGACTCTTCGCTGCGCCAGCAGGCCCACCCCAACTTTGTGCGCTGGTCCATCTGCAACGGCAACCCGGCACGCGTCTTCTTCGCCCGCGCGCTGGGCGTGGGCCTCATCGTCGGCGGCCTCATCATGGCCATGGTGATGACGCTGAGCCGCCTCGGCCGGGGCTACCGCGCGCTGTCGGCCATTGCCTTTGTGCTAGGCATCAGCACGCTCGTCGCCGCCTACAAGGGCATGTGCGTGGTGCTGCACGGCATGCACCACCGGCACGTGCGGCCGTGGGAGCTCTTTGTGCAGGACGACGGCGAGGACATGGGCAAGCACAGCTTCGAGTCGTTTGGGTCCGAGAACAGCTACGAGGACGAGCCGTGGGTGGTGCGGTACGAGAAGCGCAACGTCGTCCGCAAGGTCTTTGACCGCGAAGTCTGGATCCAGGAGCCCGCGCTGCGCCAGATCCAGGACACCATCTTTGTGCAGGCCCTGCTGGCGTCGGTGCTGCTCGGCGGCGCGGTGACGGCCGTCTTTGTCGCCCTGCCCGGCGGCAACTTTTTCTGAGCGTGGCTTGAGACGACGACGACGAGGAGGGGGGGCGGTACTGTATGATCAAGGCGTTTTATGCTCGGTTTGGGTGGCGGGTTTTGAGGAAAATGGTTGCTTGCGTTGAGGGTTGCTGGACCGGTCCAACCAAGTAGGGGGGGTTGCTGGGGGGGTGCTGGAGGGTGCTGGAGCCGCTGTTTCCGCTGGACATTCTGGAAGGCTGTTCTTGCATGTATGACGTAATCTGCTTGTATCATTATGACGAGCTCAACGAAGAGAAATTGAAGAGGCGATGCAGACGACGATCGAGTCCAATGCGAGTCGAGTCGAGTCGATTGCCAGAGTCCGATGGTTCGGAGGCATTTTGCGTCGGCTGCCCGTCCGTCCACCGGCGAATTATTGCCAGAATCGCATGTTGCCTCGGTAAAAAGGGGCCCGAAGCTAGCACCTGGAATGGACAAGTATGGGGATCTTGTGAGCCTCGGCCAACCGGTTGAGAGGTATCGATAAGCGGCTGGAGCTGCTGCGCCCTCCGAGCCGCCGGCATCCGAGCTTATCTCAGCCATCCTCGCCATCCAACTCTCCCCGCTGCCGGCAGCGCCCAGACTTCAAAGGCACAGACGTCAGGTCTTGCTTGCAAAGGTCGCTGTGACGCTACCGGGCTCATACATCAAGCGAACATCTCTCGGCGCAGGCTCAATGCGTCGCCGCAGCGCGCGCGCCGAGCTTCATCATGACCCCCGCCGCCGAGGACCACGAGCAACGACGGAACCAGCCGCAGAGACCCAAGACGGTCACTTCGACCGACGAGATTGACAGCACCATCACGAGGCCCGGCAGTGTCAAGATCAACGTCAAGGGCGCCTTCATCGTCGATCCCGACACCTCCACGCCGGCTTCCGGCAATGGCCTGGCAAACGGCGCCGGCAGTCCCGGGCACCACGAGACGAGCGATATTCGACTACCCAACCACACGGCTGTGGTGAGCCACATCGCCGTTGATGTAGGCTTCCCTCTCTCGTTTTGTTTGCGCCGAGAGCTTTCCCGGCTGATGCCCCTCCTAGATCGGCGGCTCGCTCATCAAGCTCGTCTACTTCTCGCGAGAGGCTCACTCGACCGAGCCCGGCGGCCGTCTCAACTTCCAGAGCTTCGAGACGGACCGCGTCGATGACTGCGTCGAGCTCATGAAGCACCTGCGCGACAAGCACCTCGAGCTCAACGGACCGCGGCCCGGCGAGCTGTGCGTCATGGCCACGGGCGGCGGCGCCTACAAGTTCTACGACAAGATCCGGGATGCCCTGGGCGTCAACGTGCTGCGCGAGGACGAGATGGAGTGTCTCATCATTGGTGCGCCGACAAGCACCCCGTGCCGCTTGCAAGCATGCTGACACCGTCCCAGGCCTCGACTTCTTCATCACCGAGATTCCCCGCGAGGTCTTTACCTACTCCGATACCGATCCGATGCACTTTGTCAGCCCTCGCGAGACCATATACCCCTACATGCTCGTCAACATTGGCTCGGGCGTGTCCATGCTCAAGGTCACCGGCCCGCGCTCCTACCAGCGAGTCGGCGGCACTTCGCTCGGCGGCGGCACCCTCTGGGGCCTGCTCTCCATGCTCACGAGCGCCCGCACCTTTGACGAGATGTTGGACCTCGCAGGCCACGGCGACAACGCAAAGGTCGATATGCTCGTCGGCGACATATACGGCACCGACTACGGCAAGATCGGCCTCAAGAACACGGCCATTGCCTCGTCGTTTGGGAAAGTCTTTCGCATGAAGAACGCGGCCGAGGCTGCCGCCGCCGACGGATACGGGGGCCCCCCGAGCGACAGCTTCTCCGACGGCGACGTCTCGCGGTCCTTGCTCTACGCCATCTCCAACAACATTGGCCAGATTGCCTTGCTGCAGTCCCAGATCCACCAGTTGTCCGACATTTACTTTGGCGGCTCCTTCATCCGTGGCCACCGCCAGACCATGAACACGCTGAGCTATGCCATCAAGTTCTGGAGCAAGGGCACCAAGCAGGCGTATTTTCTGCGCCACGAGGGCTATCTCGGTGCCGTGGGCGCCTTTCTCAAGAGGCAGCCCAAGAACTGGGGCCGCAGGGGGAGCTTGGAGGGCATGGATGAGATGCTGGAGATGAAGAGGAGCGTCAAATCCGAGGAGGGGAAGGAGAAGTGAGAGACGATCAACGCTCATGGGTGTTGCGAGATGGAGACGGATGGTTGGTGTTGCAAAAGGTAAGACGCTCGTTTGATTTCCTTTTCTCGGAAAGACGGTGGATCGTGCTTGGATTGGGATGCCCTGGGGCCAGATGCTCGGGCATGCTGGAGGCACACGGCGTTTGCGATGATAGAGCATGATCTGGAGAAGGCGGATCATTGAAGGTTTTGTATTTTTTCGGCTGTCGACGAGCACAGCAACTTGGAGGCTCCAGGACTCGAGGGTTGATCTTGGGTGCAGCTTCATTGCGGAACATGTCTGGAACGGCCTGCGTGAGGCGCAATCCAACTTCGGGTTTCGGTCATGCTTCATGCTGAGTATGTCCGATGAACCTTGGTGGCTTCACGGGTTGTCTACATAGACGCTGGGTATAGGAAGATGACGCATTACCGCTGTGTTCAGTTTTCATTGGTTTGGTATAGAACAAAGAGAGATGCGCGCCGAAATCGAGGCCAGATGAGGAAAGCGACCATCACTTCTTGGGCGGGACGTCGCCACCTGCGCCCGACGTAGGGGGCTTTTCCGGGGGTGTTGCATCCATGCCGAGCTTATCGAGCAGCGACTTCATCATCTCCTCCATCTCCCTCTCGGCCTCTGGGTCCATGCTGCCGGGCCTTTGGAGGGCGGCCTGGGTACGTTGGCGCAGCTCGGCGACGGAGCAGAGGTCGAACCCCCAGCCGATGCCGCCGGTGAGCAGGACGCCGAAGCTCATGACGTTGAGGGTGGCGAGGCCGAGGGCCTGGGCGGCGAGACCGATGCGGTCGGAGCCGTCAAATACCGGGACGCGGCGGTTCGAGGTGTGGAAGGCGGGGAGGGAGTCGAGGCGGCGGCGGAGCACGGAGCGGCGCGAGACGGCGACTGAGGCGGCGAGGAAGGTTGCGCCAGCGACGAAGAGGCCCATCTGTCGGAGCTGGCGGGCCAAGGGCGAGTAGGCCGACGTGCTGGAGGTCGAGGAGGTCGAGGCCTGGTCCGGGGGAGGAGAAGGCGGCTCGTCACCGACGTTGGGGGGCATGGTGGGCGTGCCGAAGGACATTGGACGAGGGCATGAGACGGGCAGACGGTGTAATATTCGAGAGTTTCTGTGCTCTCCTCTCTTGGCCGTATTGTCAGGGCGGCTCGTCAAAGTCCGAGGTGCGGGCAGTAAGAATCCGGCATCTCGAGGTTCCTCTACTCCGTAAAGCCCTGTTGATTGGCGGGCGCTGAAGGTCAAGCAGGGATGGGGCTGCATCACCTGCATCAGGGCGAGGTCACTCGCATGACCATGCAGGTCATAGGTCATACTCCACCCCCATACTTTCACATACGGCCATACCTGCATGAGAAATTCCGATCCCGTCCGATCTCGGCTAAATAAGCATGTAAGGGGCAGATTAGTAGTTGGGTCGGTGACGACCAGCGAACACCGGCTGCTGTATGTCAATTTCTTTTTGGAAAATATCCACCCAATTTTTGCCGATTTTACTAAGTCATGGCGAACTGGAGCCCTGATGGATGGGGCGTGTGAGTGCAAGACTGCATGCAAGCACGGGTCGCATTAAACGCGGCCGCCTCGAGAGAGCTGTTGGCCAGTTGGGAGGGCTGTCGGCAGCATGTTTAATTTGTTGCCGCATGCATGCTCCACGTGGACCAGGGAAGCCTTGTTGCGGCTGGGGCTGCTATATTTTCGACTTGCGTGCTTCTACTTTCATCCCCCCTACTAAGCATATCCGCCGCCCTTCCGAGACCATCTTACGAGGTGCGCTTGTTACGCTCCAATTCTCCCGCATCTCGGACCTCGGTGTCGCCTTCAACCCTCAAGCTTACCCTCCTCATCATGCCTAAGCCCAAGGCATCGTCATCCTCCAAGCGCCCATCCCAGATATCCTCTGCACCCGCGCCGACAAAAGCACCACCTCTATCGCCGCCCGCCTGGCCGCAGTTCAAGCCGCCGCTGCCCGTCGCCGACCTCACGCCGCAACTGCACCCGGCCACGCCCAGAATCGCCCTCGTCCCGTCCTTCTTCCCGCGCTCCCTGTGCCGCGACTATGTGGCCTTTCTCCGCACGCTCCCGCTGCAGACGACGCCGGCGCGGCCGAAGCGCGGCGATGCGGTGCGTGTCAACGACAGGCTGCAGGTCGATGATGCTGCCTTTGCGGGGCGCTTGTGGGAACACACGGGGCTGAGGGAGGCTCTCTCCGAGAGCGCCCATGTCAGAGACTTGTGGTCAGTTTTCGTCTTTCCGCTCTGGAGAGCAATTGGAGGCTGACGGTGTGCTGTTGCTTCTCGGAATAGGGGCGGGGAGCCCGTTGGACTTAGCCCGAATATCAGGGTATACCGCTACTCCAAAGGGCAATACTTTGACTGTCACTGTGGGATACCCAAATTGGACCCCATCGTCTTCTCCTCTTCTCTGTATGGTCGGCTAACAACGAGGCCCAACGGCAGACGACGACCACAACGACGTGACCCTCCCGACGGAACCGCCCACGCCTGCCCGCACCACCTGGACCTTGCTGCTCTACCTCACCTCGGCGGCAGAGGGCTGCGTCGGCGGCGAGACGGTATTTTACCCCCATGACCGGAAGTCGTCGGCCGAGGAGATTGCCGTGCCGCTGGAGACGGGGATGCTTCTTCTCCATAAGCACGGTGCCGACTGCCTGCTGGTGAGTCTTTGCCTTTGCCTCACGCTGGTGCCTGCCTGCTGGATTGAGTCGTGCCGGTGATGAATCTGATTGCGCATCGCTTGCTGATTGTGGACCTTTACATGCAGCACGAAGGCCGCGAAGTGACGGCAGGGGAGAAATGGGTCTTGCGCACCGATCTTTGCGTCAGATGGTGACGGGCTCCTGCGATGAGATGAGGGGCTTTACGGACGAGTCGATGTTCGTGCCGCCCTGGATGCACAATAGGATTTTGCGTGAGGAGTTGTTACATCGCCAAGAAGCGAGTAAGCGACTTCCCTTTGGAACTACTGTGCAGGCGACTCATGGCTCAGGGTCTCGCAGGGTCAAAGGACGTTGGAGTCTCCAATCGAAGAACCGGATGCATTATCCCAGATACCCGGAGCGGCCCGGACGGCACGCGACTTTAGCGATCACACGACATCTGCCAGGTATTCAACAAAGGGGCCACTTTGCGCCCAAACAAGGGCTCCCGCATTTTGTACCCAAGGAGCACGCATGGCGGTTTCGGCCTTGCGCCGACTACAATATCTACCATTACGACGGTAAGGTAGTGGACCTCTAGAAGCATCTTTGAAACGTCTAGCGAGATGCGTCTAGTCGCGCCAGAAATGCTGTCAGCGCGCTGTAGCGAGCGGGAGTCAGCTCAGGGGGTGCTTTGCCTGGGCGGCATTCTGAAGCTCCTGGAATGCCTAGTAACCAGTCAACTGCCGGACAAGATGACAGTCCAGCATGCTCGACACGGCCTCTTTACGTCTTGACGTCAGCGCTGCGCAAACGTGTCGGTCGCAGACTTGACTCCTTTTTGACTCTCCTTGACTCCATGGCCAAACAAGCCACCGTCAGTCTCGCGATAGAGGCTTCGTTTCGGTTCCTTGCAGCACAAGGCAACACTGCAGCCAGCATCCATGTGGCACAGCGCCAATCGTTTCCCTGTTGGCACCACGAACAAACGCCCCTGAGCTGCGGGCTATGTACAACTGCACTGTATCAGCTGTGCACTTCCATTGGCCGGGGGGCACCCTTGTTGATGTCGGGGCTTCCCGCAGGCAAGAGGCGCCTGTTGCATGGGGAAGACGTACAGTATCAGGAATCGGGGCTCTTTGATTGGGGACGAAGACGCCAGTGCTATGCGTGTCATCATCAGCCCAAAGCTCTGCTTTGCAGGTGTTGGTGGAAGTCTCTCGGCCCCCCAGGCAAGGAAACTGGGCGGGCAATCCCATTGGATCTTGTCGCTTTGGCGCTTCCAACTCTTCAAAAGTGCTTCATCCTTCTCGAGGTGGTGGCCAGAGAGCTGGCGCTTGGGCCGCCGGGCGTTGCGCCAGCCCGAGAGGCTTACACTTTGCGATTGCGTGCATCAGAGTCGCAAGGGTGGTCAGACTTTCTCGAGAGAAGTGCTATAATTAATTAATACTGCTTGTTTTCATTCCATCACCTACAAATTGTGTATGACTGTAGGCACGCTGGCCGTGTACCTCGCGCAAGGGGGTACCTGGGAGGTACCTCTCAGCAGATGAATCCCACAGACACCAACCACTCCCTGCGCCGACATGTCGCGTCGGCTTGAGAAAAGCATGTATCGAGGTCCAGAACCTTGCCGCGAGTTTTTACAGTCTTCTGCTTGAAAGGCCTCTCCGGCGCAGTCATTGGCAGGCGCCCATTCGATAAATTTCATCCATGCCTGTGGTCAGGCGGCTCACATGCCTGGCCAAGGCGCCTATCACGCCCCCCTCCCCTGCCCACGAGGCCCTCGAGCAGTGTCCACTGAGCGTGACCCCACGCTCTGCTGCATGTTTGTAGGTAGGTACCGTCGAGGTAGCGTGCGCATACCCAGGTACCAGTCCCAAGTCCTGCGTCTTTCCCGTTCAAATGATGCTCTCTCGCTCTCTTCCCCCCCTTCATCATCACGAGACACGCGCACACAAACACCCTCCTCTCGTGCCTCATCCACGCGCACTCACTCGGCGGCTGGCCTTGGTCCGCGACTCTGGCTGCTGCTGGAGAGTGTATGTCTGCGTTCCCGCGCATGCCGGAGAACCCACACTGGCTAGAGCCACCTGTTCGGCCAAGAAAAGCAGCAGTACCCGCTTCCAGGTCGCTTGGGTGTTGAAACCGCCGATCAGCTCCCAGCCGAAACGCCAGCGACGGACGTATTGTCGACTCCCGGAAGGCCCCTACCGATGCGCCACTAGCTAGTTCTCTCCCCTGTCCGTCGGCCAATCCGCGATCGCCCACGGCCAAGGCCAACTTCGACTCCTTTTCTTCCTCTGGGCAACATCTCTAGCATCGTCTAGGTATCTCGCGCTGAACCTCATCACCCAATCCCCCTTCTTTCCCCACGAGGGGCACTCTCCATACCATCACTACGCCTGCCCGCGACGCCTTCAGTCTTCGTCATCGTTGTCGCTAAGTCGCGGGCAACCCGGCCATCATGGCCTACCACGGAGGATACGGCGAAGCTAGTGGGCCACAGCGCCCGTACGCCAGCTCGGCCGCGCATCCTCCTGGGCCCCGTGGCTTCAACGACAGGCCACCGCCCACCCGCCAGTACGCGCCGCGCCGATCGCAAGACGATTACGGAGATGGATACGGCCACGACGATCGTGGCGGAGGCTACGCGCAGCAAGGCCAGGGCTACGGTCAGCCGCGAGACTATTACCCGCCTGGTCCGGGAGGCCGAGGGGGCCCAGCAGCCCGCCCTTCGACTGCCGACGGCCGCCGAGGCGATCCCTACCCGTCGAGAGCGAGGGGCATGGACCCCGGGTCGGAGCCTGCCCGGGGGCTGCCCGCTCGTCCGCATCCCCAAAACTCAGATCATGGTGGTAAGCTCGTTTCCCCGAGGATCCGTCGGGAAAGTCTCGCTCACGACGCACTCCTTACCAGCCGGTCGGCAACCGCCAATGGCCAACGGCCGACCCGGTCGCCACGACCCTGCCTATGGCATGGACCAGGACCTCGCTGGCCAGATGTCGGGGATGGCTCTTAATAATGGCCATCCTGCGCAAGGGGACTATGGACGCCCGCCTATGAACGGCAATAGAGGGCCTCCGCCTAGAAATTATCCCTCTCGTGGCTACAGCGACCCAAGGCCGGGCCCACCTCCTCGACAGGCTCCCAACGGCTACGGGGGCTACGGCCACGACTACCCGTCCGGCCCTAACGGAGGAAACCCCTCGGGCGATCCGAACCCTCCCGCTCGAAGCATGACGGCGCCTGCTCACGACTCTGACCCGAGGCACAACATGCCGCCGCCGCCGCAGCGAACCGAGACGATGCCATTTAATGGCCCCGCTGGTCGGGGTGGCGTACCGCCGCGGCCCTCGACCGCATCGGGAAATCGGCCTCCTCCACGAAGAATCTATCCTCCCGAGTCTCAAGGGCTGCCGCGGAACGGTCAGGGCGGCGGATACCAGAGCGCCGGCGGATATGGGCACGAGCAGACACTGTCGTCCGACGATGTCTTCAACTCTTATTTCAACGATTCTCATCGCCGCCGATCCAGCCTGCCAGACATCGACGGCGTGCCGGGGCTCGCTCGAGGAAATTCCTTTGAGCAACCGCAGCGCGGCGCGCATCAGATGCCGAGGCTGCACCATGCCAAGTCCGCGGCCAACGTCCGTGAGCCTCAGGCCGCCGTCTTCGAGATGGCGTCCGACATGCCCGCGGTTCCCCCCGTGCCGCAGGTCCAGCCCTATCGACCCGAGTTCGGAGGGGGGTATGGCCAGTCTGGTGGCTACGAGCAGATGGCGCCGCCGCCACCGCGAGGCTACTCCGGCAGCGATGGCCTATCGCGGACGGGCACGAATATGTCGCAGAACTCGAACCCCGATGCATTACCTTCCCACCCTACGCCAGTGCGTCCTGGATTGATGGCGAATTCCATGGTGAGCATGAACGACAGACCACCTCCGGTTCGCAACTATGGCGGCGTGCAACAAGCCGGGCCGATGCAGCAGCAGCAGCAACCGCCGCCCCAGCAGCGGACGGTCCTGCGAGCCGGCCATCAAGTCATGGAGCCGGCTCCAATGCAAGCGGATGAAGTGGTGACGCCACAGGAGCTCGAGAGGCTGCGCATGGCCATCAAGACCAATGCCGGGGATCAAGATTCGGCCCTGAAGTTAGCCAGGAAGCTGATCGAGGCCGCTGATGTCCTGGCGCCCAAGATGCCGGACGCCAAGCAGCGAGCCAGGACCCGCGAGCGCTACTTGTTGGACGCCCAGAAGATACTCAAGAAGCTGGCAAGTGCCCAGAACCAAGACGCCATGTTCTCCATGGCCGACGGTCTCGGCAAGGGCCTCTTCGGCCACGAGCCGGACAACAAGGAAGCCTTTACGCTCTATCAGTCGGCTGCGAAGCTCGGCCACCCTGCGGCGGCGTATCGGACGGCCGTGTGCTGCGAAATTGGACATGAGGAGGGCGGTGGGACGCGCAAGGATCCGCTCAAGGCGATGCAGTGGTACAAACGGGCGGCGACCCTGGGTGATCCGCCCGCCATGTACAAGCTGGGCATGATCTTGCTCAAGGGCCTGCTGGGCCAGCAAAAGAACCCGAGGGAAGCGGTCGGGTGGCTGAGGCGGGCAGCGGAGCGAGCAGACGGCGAAAACCCGCACGCGCTGCACGAGCTCGGGCTGCTGTACGAGTCGGCGCAGCCCAACGACGCCATCATCCGCGACGAGCGTTACGCGCTGAGCCTTTTCCAGGACGCGGCGGAGCTTGGGTACAAGTTTTCGCAATACCGGCTCGGGTGCGTGTTTGAGTACGGCTTGATGGGGTGCCCGATCGACCCCCGGCAGTCCATCTTCTGGTACTCCAAAGCGGCGGCGCAGGAGGAGCACCAGTCGGAGCTGGCGCTGAGCGGTTGGTATTTGACGGGCAGCGAAGGCGTGCTGGGACAGAGCGACACCGAGGCGTACCTGTGGGCGAGAAAGGCGGCCGTCGCCGGGCTGGCCAAGGCCGAGTACGCAATGGGATACTTTACCGAGGTGGGCATCGGCGTCCCGGCCAACTTGGAGGATGCCAAGCGGTGGTACTGGCGTGCTGCTGGTGAGTTTTCTTTGGCGTTTTGCCGTGGCGAGTAGGCGCGAGATGGTGAAGATACTGACGCGGCACGCACGCACAGCACAAGAATTCCCCAAGGCACGAGAGAGGCTCGAGGACCTCAAGAGAGCAGGCAAGCACGGCCGTCCGAGACCACGCGAACGAATATCCAGAAGCCGCATCGAGAAGCAGCAGGAGGGAGAGTGTAGCATCATGTGAGGCACTGGAAGATGCGAGCTGGCAAGGGACCAACTGGGTCATCATTGGTCGACCAAACTGGTCTCGCCAGAGGGAGACGACACGAGGCGCATCGAATGAGAGGGCGTGTTGTGGCAGAGAAGGCGGCTTGGCTGGCGTTCAAGCGCAAGTCGCTACGACTATCCCCTTTTTCTCACTCTTCTTTATTCCACTCTTCCTGGATCTGCGAGAGCCCGCGGCATTCGGCCGGGATACTCGAGAGATGGCGTGGCTGTCATGACGGGAGGGCTTGATCAGGGAGTTGGGTTGGTCTGGAGCATCTGGTACATGTGGGCGAGCATGATGAACCCCACGGGACGAGCGAAGTCTATTCAAAACGCCATGGAATGTATGCAAGCAAGACAAGAGAGGCCAGAAGCAGGCACTGGTGCCGGGAGCTTCCGTAATATCCACGAGTAATGAGGACGCTTTGGCGATGCGGAGCGGCGTGATGTTTTTGACATTGACCGGATCAACGTCGCCCTGACAGGGAAAAGTTGTTTTATTTTCCGTGGCCAAACAGTCTGGGTTATGGATGCCGTTGGCTTGGCAGAGGAGGATGAGGCGGGTGGGGGGTGGTGAGGACGAGGTTGGCTAGAATCTTCTGAGGTGATGGGATGGTCAAGAGGAAAGGGGATTGGAAGGGCGGGAGCTTACGGCGAGAAGATATGCTTCTTGGCCGGCCGGCCGGGTGATGTTGAGAAGGAGGCGGGAGGGGCCGCGGAGGGGCCGCGGAGCCGACGGCCGGGCCGCAGGGTGCCAACGGCGGCGGAGCGGGGGCCGGGTGGGTCATTGCGTGGGCAAGTGAGCCGCGCCATCTGGTTGCCGGCGGAGTGGATGGGCTCAGCGAAAAGTATGCGTGGTTGAGCAATGCACCCCTTTTCCTTCTTTTGTCTCTTCAGGCTTGCCCTCGACGAGAACATGGATAGGGGCTTTAGGGGACCCGTCCTGAGGGCCTAGACGGTTTGTCACTGCCGCGACTGACGGCCGTAGGATAGACCGGTTTGGAGTGCTGCAGTTATCTTATAGCGTGGGGTTTATCTCCGTGTGCTAGGAATGTAAGTTTAATTTTCCTTGAACGAGTCATGTCATAAATTTGAGGCCAGCTGGGGGCTCATTGTCACCTTCTCGTCTCCCAGAGTTGAATACAAGTTGACGGGGGAAGTGAACCGACGACGGCGTAATGAATCAATCGACAACCTGGTCGACTCCCAGATTCGTTGCTCATTATTGAGCACACGGCGAACAATGTTACCCCGACGAGTATATGTAGGTCCAGCACTCGGAGCCTCGTGGAGATGGCAAATCCCCTCTTCACCGTTGCTACAACAGTATGTCGCTGTCTCGCTAATCCTAGATGCGGGAACCCTGTCAGGGGCCTTTCTGAGAGCGAGATGCCGACTGGATATCTCTTAAGCCAGACGCAGAGGACAACTGGGACCAATGTATCCAGAATTCGAGGGCCAAAGCGGCTCGGTCAAGTCGGTAGCCTTCTCGCGCAACTCCTCGCTCATCGCGTCGGCCTCGGACCATGACACTGTCCAGCTATAGCGTGTTGACGAAGTCCTCGTTATCCACCACGCACAAATCCTCTAGCATATTCGTCCAGGTTCCCATCTTCCCTGCGTGAAGGCACCTTATGTGTCGGCGGAAGTGGTCTATTCTGCGGAACTTCCTTGGCGGATCGCACTTTCTGGACCTGTGCACGTCTTGCATATGTCGGATCCGTTCGTCCCAGTCCCTTTTTGTAGCGTGCCTCTGTATGACGCCGCCGTTGCTGGGACCGCGTCCGGATCTAGGGAGTTCATGGCCACAGTAGCCGCACACATCAGCCTCGCCGGGGCGATTCGTCGAATCCTGGAGAGGGAGATCATGGCCCGTCAGAGCCGAGCAGGTCCAGTATTGTCGGCCACGTGTGTTCCCGTAATCATTGTCGCAACGGGGGTATCGGTCTCGTCTCTCTGGTTTGTTGTCGGTTGCCGGTTTGAATGACAGGGTAGCCCTCTCTACACCGCCCGCCAAGACTGCGTTTTCCACGTCACCGGTATGGCTACCGGCTGAGCTGAAACTTGCAACACTACCTGACCTTTGTATGGGTCTCCTCTCGCGCGAGTGCCCTTCCTCTTCCCCCGGGGGGGCGGATCCTTGCATCGGGCTCCTGGTATGGAGCCCAAGGGCTTCTCTCCAACCAGTTTTCGAACTGTCCGGGACGCTATCACTATGAGTTCGTGCCCAGGGGTCATCCGTGGTGCGAAGCTTGAATTCTACCCCCGGGCTCGAATTACATGCATTGGAATTTTGAGAAATGCTGCTGACCCATGAAGAAAGGCCCCGATCAGAAACAAAGTGGAGTAGTCCATATTCTGGAGGTACATCCTCTCTGAGCGTTGCCCATCGAGCCCAAGTATGTTTGCTCATGAGACGGGTCACGATGCGGCGCGGATCCACACCCGCCTCCTCAGCCAGCCGAGCGTGGGCGAACACTTCGAAGGTAGCGTATGAGAGAAGAGCAGGGTAGTCTTCCAGGACCTGGGACTGGCATGTAATCGACGACTTCATCGAATCAGGGCTTTCTGGGCCGCAAGCATGCAGAGACATTTGGCCAGAAGCGAGCTCGTCTGTTGCCGACATTTCCAACCATCGAGCAATGTCGATATGTCTAGCAGAATCGGATGACTTCTTAAGATTCTCCAGCACGGGCCTCTCATCTCGTATCTTTAGAGCCCGTTTGTCGTGTGGCGATGGGGTTCTTTGGTGGGTTCTGCACGTCGTGCTGTGAAGAGGCGGGCTGCGACCTTGCCTTGCGCCATCCTGTTGACGATCCTGAGCTCGAGCGGTATAGTATCCCCCCAGCCCCGGTGACGAGGGAAGAAAATCTGGAAATTTCCACCTTGCCTCATCGTCTCCAACCCATTGTATCAGCTTTGTCCCGTTGCAGAATGGGGGTGCAGAACGCCGCGCGTAATCAGATTCTGCTGCCGGCGATCCTACCCCTACTGGTTGATCCTTTCCACATTGCCTTGCGAGAGTCCGCGCCTGGACGAGCGCATCCAGTTCTGTGATGTCCAGATAGTCCAGGCATGTATCCATTATTGAAAGATGTCCAAGGCCGACAGATAATGACGCATCTATGCTGGGATCCAGTACGAAGAACCCCTCGCCGCGCAAGAAGAATTCATGTACCGACTCGTGTATGACTTGAACGACCCGAGTTTCACCGCAGTCGAGATCGAGGGATCCTGCGCCGGCGCATACGGATATTGTTTCCAAGCTCCTATCCTGCAACTCATCTGCCCTCACCTTCACCTCGATCAGGCCCTTCGAAATACTCCTGATCTGCTTCTCTAGCTGGTCTTCAGTCTCGGTAAAGCTGTCCGACATGCGCCATTCGTGCAAAGACGAGGGTGGTGGTTGTCTGCTGAACGCCATGATGTGGTGCCATTCGTGAAGACGAAGGGTTTTTCCAGCTAGAACAGCCCAGTGGAAGACTCGGGCGGTCAAATGTCTGTCTTTGGGGTCGATTGATGAGAGCATCTGAGAGAATAGTGTTTCGAGCTCTCCAGGCACAATGGTAACCTGGTTGAGCATAAACAGCAAACCTTTTCCGTCATCCCAGCTCTTGAGTGCGTCGTCCACCACTAACACGACCCAAAGAAACACGCCAGAGGACTTGCTGAGGATCCTGTCTCTCAGGAGGTACCATCTCCGCTCCATATGGGCAATTCCAAGTTGCAACCTTTGTTCCACATAAGTTTTGATGTCTTGGTCGTTGCAAAGCTCCATGAATATATTCGGGCAGTCGCTCAAGGTAACAGTGAAGAGGTGTCGGCTGGAAATGCAGACGTCTAGGTCGGCTCCTGCAGCATGCGCCGCCTGCGTGATAAGCCGCCAAAAGTAAGCTAGAGACCGTGTATTCTTCGAACTGCACTCATCGAGGGCATCGATGAAAATGATGGCTCGCTTGGTCGTCGGCTGGGTAAACATTGACTCGAAGAAGGATCTCAGCTCTGGCACGCGCCAAGAGCAGCTCTGGGATCCATGCTCAGCCCGCACGGGGTTCTTTTCTGCCCAGGTTTCGCGGAAACGGTGGAGATGCTCTCGATACCTGGGCAAAAGTTGAAATAGCAAGGAGCGAAAAAGGCCAAGCGGCGAGTGCTCCAGCTCATCTCCCTTGGCATTGAAGAAGAAGGCTGCAGTGCAGTAATCTGATTTGCCTTGTCTCTGCGCAGCTCGGCGATACGCCTCTTTCAGTAGAATAGATTTTCCGGTTCCTGGCTTGCCCTTCAGCCAGAGGAGGCCGCGATGCTCATTTCGATTTCGACCATGGAGCCAGTCCTGATATAGCTCGTGCTCAAAAAGCCAGAGACAGGTCTGGTCAGCGGGCTTCTCAAGACCTAGGCGCCGAGTATGAATGTTGGGAAACCACAAAGAGCGAAGGCAAGAATCATCAGCCTCGCTGAGTCTACCCTCATTTGCCTCTGGCGACTTGACATGAAGCATTTGTCCAAGACGGTCCATACGCCCCTTGTGATGAACCCGTGCGTCCGCTTCTTCAGGAGATGGGACCATCGAATGCAGCCCTCGAGCGACTTTTTCGCAATGAGTTTGGGTAGTCAGCTCCAATGTCCTTGCATTCTCGTGACTCATTGGCCTGAATGGCCTCGGCGACTTCAAGCCAGTCTTGGTAGCTACACATACCTCGTAATGGTCCACGCTCGAATGCCGAGCGCTTCTCAATCACCTCCTCAAGCCGGAAGAATGAGTTCCTCGCACCCTCACCATATATAAGGGGCAGGTTGACCTCGAAAATGCCAAGTAGAGCATAGGCTTTGTCCTCTTCGATTTTTGTTGTGCGGTCCCTTGCCCATGACATGCGCTCCCACAGAGTGAAGTCAGATAGGGGGTATCCGCGAAGTGCCGCAACTGGGATCCCCGTTATTTCGTGAAGTTGGCGCTCTAGAGACTTTTTGTCTCCGAGCCGCTGACCTTGTGATGAGAAGAACTCGACGGATGATGGAGCGAGAAGCTCCTGAAGCGTCCAGCCTCGGGTGAACCATTTACTCTTCCGAAATGCCGATTCCCACGCAAACAGGGTCTCGGCGGAAGAGGCGTCGGCAGAAACGTCTGATAGGTATACATAGCATCTGGTTGCTTCCTGATACCAGCGGAACATGGAGTTGATGGCGGTGGAGAGTTCAGTGCTGTTGGATTTGTCGATGCAGCACGTGTCGACCCAGAAGTATTGAAGATAATCGGAAGCCGCCTGGTTTCTGCAAAACTGAATCTTTCCATATCCATGTTTATGTTCTCCTGTGCCTTGTACAATGTCTTTGGTTGCAACCTCCATATCGTCATCATGCCTCCACGTGTGTGAAAGTATGGCATAAGGGGGTAGGTCGTCTGTGAGATCCCTGGTCAGGACCACTTTGCCATCTTGGACCTTAAGAAGGCGCATGATTGGTCGCGGATGGACGGCGGCGTCCACAGACGTTGTGAAATGTCCGATTGCCTAACTTCCGAGTCAAGAGGAAACGAGGTGCGTTGAGGAAGAGGAGACGAAAGGGCTGCTCACGCACCGCCAGTCCTCCAGATCCCCCGCTTTGCCTCGAGAGGACTCGCTTCCCATTGGCTTGATTCGGTTCCAGGTATACTCATTGGCTGGCCGGCTCTGATGTTGCCTTTCGTCCAAGCTTGTTCTAGAAGCGAGCAGAGCTGGGTGCGAGTTCCACCATATTCAATCCTGCAGATATACCTAGACCTTTTCCAAGAATGCGACCTCGGACCCCAATGCTCAGCCGCAGCAGCCTTCTGTCCACGCCGTGGTCCGACATGGTCCTCGACTCAATCAGGCTCTCGACGCCGCCGAGGCTGGTCGCGTGGTGAAAGAACCGCATCTCGCTCGAGAGCGCCACTTGGCCATCTCTCCGTCCTTCATCCAGACGGCGAGCACGGCCCCGTGGCCCCGTGGCCCCGAAGCCCCGTAGCCCCGCGGCATCTGCTTGGGCGGCCCAGCTGCCCTGCTGCGCCGCCTCGGGTTGGAGGCTGCCGTGCTGCGCGCGGTCGAGAGGTGGATATCCGATTGAAGCACCGACTTGTGTGACGGCTATAGCTTGGTGGTTGGTTGCTGAGACGTGAAGTGAAGTTGCAGTTGAGAAAAAGAAGAGCGCCGTATCTCTCATGTCACTCATTCCGTGTGTGTGGTGGCGAGGAACTACAGATAACCCGGGGTCCGACTACGGAGTACCATGACCATGGCTTTCCTCGACGACATGGCAAGAGCAACAAGCAACTGGCCAAGACGTAAAGCATAAACGTACAAGGTGAGACAGTTCGGCAGCTAACAAGATAAGACAAAGATGGATAGAGTCCGACTGGGGGAGCGCGTCTTGACGACATCACCCGCCGTCATCCTACGCCAGACGGCCCCCTTCATCATCTTCCGTTCAACCCTGACGCGAATCAGACAATAAGGACTATAAACTACACTAAAGAGCGCCTGACCCATGGACCCAGGGACCCAGGGACCAGCAGATCCCCGAGACAGTGTCGCGGGCCAGTCAGACCGGGAAGGAGAGTATGTGTGTGTGAGAGTGAGAGAGAGTAAGAAGAAGAAAAGAAGGCCTGCTTCTCGCGGTTTGCAACAAGGCGTCACTCCTTCAACCCCCCCAACGCCGCCGCATGGGCCAAGACGACAGCCCTTAGCGGTAGACTGAGTTCTGCACAGGCGCGTAGGCGTCGGTTTGCCCATTCGATGCCACTATGGCAGCGTCAATACCACGAGTCTGGGGGAGATTGCAGGCGTGTGTGCTTACCTGGACCGCTGAATCGGGCAACGGAGAACCAGCCGTTCGTCACAGTTCTCTTCACCACCGGAACTCCGGAAGAAGATTTCTCAATTATGTTAAGCGTCGTGCACAAGTAACTTGCGACGGCGAACTCGTTGAAGGAATCGCTGAGAATATTCTTGACGTGTCCAACACTGGTGGCCTTCTTCTTGCCTGCAGCCACGTTGCCTCTGGCCGTGGTTTGCACGACGTCGGGCTGGGCAGGGTTGAACCATGGCAATTCATCGTCATACCAGCTTTCAAAGCTGGCATTCAAAGCCGACAGCTCGTCCTTGAACGTGGCACCTTGCTCCTGCCAAGCGATGTTCTCGGCTACAGTGCCGGGGCTATCGAGCTTCATCTCGGCATGCGTATAATTGCATCCCTTGGCCCAGTCGAGAGCATCTTTATGTAGGTCATCGGTCCACGTCAAATCTTTCAACCCAGCCTTGACGGGGTTGTTCTTGCGCGCGGAGTTGTGCAAGTTCGACGCTGTATCTTGGTATCCCTTTCCCTTTGGTTCAGAACTCTGGGCGCTGTTCTTCTTTTTTTCATCTTTGGGCGCCGGCTTGGACTCCTTCTTGTTTTCTTTCTGCTCGGCTGCTGCTGCTGCCGCCGGCTCGGCAAACTCGGTCTCTGGGATGTTTGCGGGCTGGGCGACAGTCTTGGCTGGGACCGGCGCCAGGGGGGGGACCACCACCGTGTCGCCTGTCTTGTCGCTCAACTTCGAGTACATGTCTGAGGGTATGGTAGCTGAGTAGGTCGTCACTGGGTCCATCTTGACCGAATGCCTCAGTCGCCCAAGGACGCCGCCGACGGGCTGGCTATGGGGAAGCGCCGCCGCGAGCGGGATGGCGGCGAGCAAGAGAGTGGATCGCATGTTGACTGCTTCGTGGTGGCCAACGTTGGGCTTTGTATATCGAATGTATATGGGGGGATATATGTATATATCAAGGAGTGTCGTGACGAACGGAACGGAAACGGTTCGACGAGCCGAAAGGGGGCGAAATGGGAGAACAAAGACAACACAGTAAACAAAGGGGTAACTGGGGAGTATGCTCCCGAAGAGGAACAAGGGGGCGTGAGGAAAGGAACGGGTCCGACGAGAAGGAATGTTTAGTCGAGCTGTAGATATCGTACCGCCACGAGGCTTCAAAGGAGGGGCCGAGAGAGGGGAGAAGGAGGGTGAGAGCGAGCGTCGGGTTATATACTTACAGTGGAACATGCTTCTACCCAGGCCCTCCTGACGGCCACGCCCACGAATGAAAGGGCTATAGCTTACCGAGCACTCGCGAGCTATAGATGCGGGTCGGCCTGCCCACCGAGGGCATTTGATATGGCGACCCCAGCCATCAGTCCAAGCAAAGCTCTGCGAGAGGCGAGCTTGGCTCAGGCCAGAACGGCCGGCTGCTTCTCCACAAGCCCAGGCACGCGCGCCGCACTCCAGCACTCCCCGCTCATGGCCCCAGCGGTGCCTGCCAAGAGGCCAGCGGACGGGGCGCGCAAGTCAGGGCGTAGGGGAGGGACAAGGTAATGCACCGTAGGAAGTAGCTTCATGCCGTGATGTGCAAAGTACCGGAGCCGCTGGATCATCCCTGAAGCAGAGAGAGAGAGGAGAGAGGGTCGGACACTTGCCGGGTGTCGTTGACAGGAGGGCGGGATGCAGTTACAAACAAACAAACATGTATACATATGCATAGGGCTGGAATCTCTCACTTCTGACAGAGTCAGACTGGGCGTTGACATGTCGCGGCAGCTGAGCGTTTGCCCGGCTGTCGATCCAGGGGTTCTGCCGTTATCCGAAGGTTGACCTCGCATCAACCGACTACCGGCTATATGAGTGCCGGGCGGTAGATAGACACACACATACACGAGCTCTAAGAGTCTTATTAAGCTCATGCCATCCTATATCAGATGGCCCTTGTCCGCAATATCAGGGCAAAGCCCAAGACTGTCTGGCAGAGGCGAGCAAATGAGCGCCACAATGCGGCGCCGGAAGGCAGGGGGCCCGAGCAAGACCCGCCGTCGTGTTTTATGCGTGACGACGCTAGTGAAAGTCTCTGCGGGAGTATATGAGCATTCGATAATGGAGAGGGCACAGTGACTGTTGGCTTCTTGCTTGCATGTACATGTAATTCCCTCTCGGCATAGATGCGCACGTATAGACGGACGACGCCGCAGTACAGAGCGGGTCTGTACATACCTGCACAGCTGCTAGGGGTGAGAGGACCTTGGCGGGCCAGGCGCGTCCGGCTCGCAGACTTTGCCCGTACAAAGAAAGACGACCACGGCCTTGCCAGATGCTCGACTGCGGCACTCCAGACGATGGGACGGACAGACAAGCGGCAGGCAGCCGTAATACGAAGGTGGACATGTACGGGAGACGGCGGCATTCGAGGGCCGTGCAGCGTGGGATGGCCGTTTTGGCGAAAACTGCATCCATGGCTGCAGACTCGTGGGCCATTTGCGCGAGCGGCTGGGCAAGCCGAGCGTCGGTGCAGACAGGTACAGTACCTCCTACAGTGGCAACAAGGGAGGAGAGGAAAAAAGTATAAAGCAGAAAATTTCGGCCCCAAGCCGATTCCAAAGAAAGGGGGTGGAGTCTTGGCAGTTGGTGGTGGGGATGGGAGAAAAAAGGGGGGCCCGATGACGACGAACTGGCATTGTTTCCACGTTGTTTTTGTAAATTAACAATCCAAGGGACTGGCTAATGGGCCTTGACTGCTCCCTGCAGCTTCATCGAGGCATGGACGGCGGCAAGGCATTGATGTGTGCGCAAGTTGCAGTAAAGCAACGATCCCGGGAGCTGAGCGATGATGAATGCCTCTTGGCTGGCGTGTCCGGGGATGCAAAGGAGCAAGGAACCGGCCGTTTATGCACGCCAGGCTGGGAGGGCCCAGCATGGAGAAAGAGAGTTAGTTGGAGAGAGACGGACTGAAAAGGGGGCGTGCTTCGGGCCATGTCCGGCGTCGCAGCAAAGTGGGGCCGACGGCGAGCCGGAGGGCATCCACGGATCCCGTACGTACTCCGCAGCTACACACACGGTCAACTCATATAACTAATAACTACCTAGTGTATCCGTAGTCTGCACACACATGTCTACGCTCTCGAAACGGCTTCATCCTTCAGAGGCTATTCTTCCTGGACGCAGGCAGCCTGCCTCCTCTCCGAAGCGAGACGGGCACCCGGGTGCTGTGCACGACAAAGCACACGGCCATTAGACTTCCATTTCCAGATGAAACAGCCATTTCCCTTGCCCGTTCTACAAGCTGTGTGTGCCCTGGCATGACTGGTGCGAAGACAGCGTTTCTTCAGTCGACACTCGCGGCTTGTGCGGCCGCGGCGGCCACAGGGCACGAGTGACTGGAACTAAGAGCCCTGCAGCAGCTCCCTGTCATCACTCGTCAAGGCCTGGAGGACGGTGGTGACGGACGGTGCAGCAGGAATACTTCCCCTCGCGCCGCCCCTGCTGAGGCTTGTCCTTCTTTTCTCTTTCGTGGATAAGAAGACGATTGACAGACGTGAGGGAGCAGCACAAAGAACCGTTGGTTGAAGCAGACGACGCCCAAAGAGGGAGGCTTCGTATATATGCATGCATGCAAAGTCATGTTGATATTTTTGCATGTGCCAGGTGCCGGATACCGCTTCGACGAATGAGCAATGATGAGGAATGAAGAGCGTCGTCTCCATGCAACCAATTGGCAGCTGATGCTGTGCAATGCTCATCCGACCGGGGGGGGAAGGGGGGATCCGCGTCTGGGGTTCCGTCCGCCTGACCCCGAAAAAGGGGGCATGCCCAGATAGCTAACTACTCTGACAGACACACGGGGTGGGTGGATGTGCCTGGAGCCTCGCTTTGAGAGAGATATATATATATATTGTATGTATATGTATATATTTATATTTATATGAAAAGGCCTTGATAAGGAGACGGCCCAGGCACATTGGCCGGCTCTCTCGACCTCGCCCTCGGTCCTCGTGCGCGTCTCTGCCACCATTTGTCACGTCGGATGCCCCGGGTTTTGCTTAGCACGGACGGCGGCGCCTAGTCATGGCCCTGCCGCATCGGGGTCATGCGTGGTCTGTCGGCCGGGGCGAGATTGCATCATCCATCATCTGTCCATCCATCATCGTCGCCCGGCATGTCCGTCCGCTTCTGCACGCACTGCAGCAGCAGCACACTCGTCGATTCGACGACTGAGACGGGCCCCAGACATCTAGCAGACATCTAGCAGACATCTAGCAGACATCTAGCCGCGCCCAGACACTACCCGAGTCTCGTCGAGCAAACAAAGCCCCTACAATCAAATATCTCCGCATCAAGATGCCTTAGCCTCCCTCGCTCGCGAGTCAGATGCCCCGATGCCCCGAGAAAACAAGGCCCATGTACCTCGCCGCCCGCGTTGCCCGTCGAGGTACTTTGCGCCTAGCCAGGCGCGACAACGACGCCGGTGCTCGGGTGATCGACTCAAAACACGCCTCTCCGCCTTTTGCCCGCTCGATTCTTCTCGACCCCAGAGCATTCCTTGCGTCTTGGACCCCGACGCCCTTGCCTGCTGCCATTGCCCCTCGAGTCTTCCTTCTCCGGCACCGTCGCGCCGCTTTCCCATCGCCCTCGTCCGCCTCTGCTCCGTCACCGTCGCCGTCGCAGTCGCCGTCACCGTCGCCGTCACAGTCGCTCCATCGCTCGCAACTGCTCGCCGACGCTCATCCAGACGAGGCGAGGCGCCCACGACGACAGGTCGACCGGGACTGGCCATCGAGAAGGGGCCACTGAGCAGACTCAAACGCACAAGACACCCCGACGGCTCGACCGCTCCGTCGTCCTTCCACCGCCATGCTCGCGCCTTCGTCTCACTCGCCACGCTTCTGAGACTTCTGCTTCGATACCGCCCGCCATCGCCATTCGCCGCCGGCCTGGGGCCCTCGCGCTGCATCTCTTACCGCCTCGACTCCTCCGTCCTAGAATTCCACCTGTCCTCTTCCGACGACGGCCCTATTGTCTTCTACTTCCCCGTTTTCTCCTCAGTTCTTTGGATATTTCACATTGTCTTTCATGTAGCCTCGCACGCCAGCCTCTCCTTGCCATAACCCTGCGCTCTTCCTCTCATCCGCAGACCTCACTTCGTCTCCGCTTCGCCCATCCCGCCCTCCGCAGCTTCAATGTCGTCCTCGGAAGACCTCAAGGACTCGCCCGCTCGCTGGAAGCTGCCCCGCCTCTTTGGTGGCCGCCAGGCAACCCGAAATGTCTCTCCGAGCAACATGCCCAAGTGGAGCATGGGAGTCTTGAACGACCAGGAGACGGTCGAGGTTCCCGGTAAGAGTCTCGCTGCTAGTCCAACTGCCCCCGATGCTGACGTGGGCAGGCTCCGTCTTGCTGCTTGCTTCGGATCGCAACGAGCCCCTGGGTCTGAGCAATGTCCGCGCAAGAACCTCGCACTCGTCCTTCCCCGTTGATGCCGCCCTGAGCCCAAGCGCCAGCCGCCCGGTCTCGGCCATCGCCTCGCCCCGTTCTCGTCGTCCGCCCCCGCCCGACGTGGTCGAGGACAAGAAGAAGACGAGCGACGGCGCCATCATCCTCGACCCCCAGCCCGAGGAGTCGGCCAACGACCCCCTCAACTGGCCCAGCTGGCGCCGCGACACGGCCCTGCTGTCCCTGGGTTTCTACTGCATGATTGGCGGCGGCATTACGCCCCTCATTGCCGCCGGCTTCACCGACGTGGCCCGCGACTACCATGTCGACGTCGAATCCGTCTCCCTCACCACGGGTCTCTACATGATGGGTCTTGGTTTGGGCTCGGTCCTCGCGTCCCCCACGGCCATTCTCTTTGGCAAACGTCCCGTGTACCTTGCTAGTGCCATTGTCTTCATCGGCACGTGCCTGTGGGCGGCATGGTCGCCAAGCTTCTCGTCTCTGCTGGCCGCCCGCGTCTTCCAGGGCGTCGCCATCAGCCCCGTCGAGTGCCTCCCGTCAGCCACAATTGCCGAGATCTTCTTCCTCCACGAGCGCGCCTACCGCATCGGCATCTACACCTTGCTGCTGCTCGGCGGCAAGAACCTGGTCCCCCTGGTCAGCGCCGCCATCATAGGTCGCTTTGGCTGGCGCTGGGTCTTTTGGTGCGTGTGCCGCCCCCGGCCGTCTCTCGCGCGAGGGGGTCCTGCGTGGCGAGAATCCGACGAGTACTGACTTGCTTCACCCAGGATCGTCGCCATGGTCGTTGGTCTCGGCTTCATCCTCCTCTTCCTCTTTGTGCCCGAGACCTTTTGGGACAGGACGCCGACGAGGCGCTCGTCGAGGCGCCCCAGCTTCCTGCGCCGCCTCTCGTCTCGCCGCAACGTGCTCCGGACCGACATTCCCTCGGCAGGCCCCGGCGGTAGAGGCTCCGAGAGGGCCCCGTCGCCCGGCGCGGCGGAGCGCCACCACAACGACCAGCACGTCGGCTTCGCGCCCGCGGCCGGGCCTCGCCCGAGCGAAGGGGGCGGCAACGGTGTCGAGTCTCCGGGCGCGCCAAACTCCCCGCCCCGCCTTGGAGGATGGGTCCCGAATCCCGATGGAGAGAAGCGGGCCTCGGGGAGGGCCTCTACGCCTCAGGGAGCCCGCTCTCCGGGAGACGCGGCTCGTCAACCTTCTCTTGCCGCGTTGGACCCCAATGCCCTCGAGGTGGAGGAGGCGCGCAGGAGCAACTCGTTGTATCCGCACGGCGCGGCCGGGAGCGACATGAATGTCGACTACATGGCCAGGGGGCCCAATCTAGACAACGAGAAGATCCCCGCTTCGATGCTCCGGGCGCCGCCCAAGATTCAGGCCTACACGCATAATCTGCGTCAGCAGCCAGCGCGGACGTTTGTTCAGCAGCTGCGGCCGTACCACGGCCGCCTCAAGCACGACAAGTGGCTCAAGGTCATGGTGCGGCCCTTCGTCCTGTTCGCCTACCCGGCCGTGCTCTGGTCGGCGGCCATTTACGCCTGCTCGATCGGCTGGCTAATTGTCATCTCGGAGACGATGGCTATCATCTATCGCGACCCGACCATCTACAACTTCGACGCGTTGCAGACGGGCCTCGTGTACATTTCGCCCTTTGTGGGCGGCATCCTGGGCACGGGCGTCGCGGGCAAAGTCAGCGACGTCATCGTCCGCGCCATGTCACGGCGCAACGGCGGCCTGTACGAGCCCGAGTTCCGGCTCGTCATGATGGTGCCGGTGCTGGTGTCGACGTGCGTAGGACTCATGGGCTTCGGCTGGTCGGCGCAGGAGAGGGACCACTGGATCGTGCCCACCATCTTCTTTGGCGTCCTCTCGTTTGGCTGCGCGCTGGGCTCGACGACGTCCATCACCTTTTGCGTGGACAGCTACCGCCAGTACGCCGGCGAGGCCCTGGTGACGCTCAACTTTTCCAAGAACGTCTTGCACGGCCTGGTCTTTAGCCTGTTTGTGGCGCACTGGATGGCCGAGGACGGGCCCAAGCGCGTCTTCATCTGGCTCGGCATCATCCAGCTGATTCTCTGCCTGTTTACCATTCCCCTGTACATTTACGGCAAGCGGGCGCGCATGTGGACGGTCAGGATGAATCTCATGGAGAAGTTTTGAGCCGTCGGCCTGGCGCGCGACGACGCTGGGCGTTTGTTGTTTTCCGTGCCAGGGGTAATCCAGATGGCGTGCAAGGTCATGCTTCCTTTCTGGTGTTTGTCGCGTTTGACGGGCATTGTACGAGGCATGTTTATAGACGAGACGCCGGCCAAGGCCCCATGTATTGAATGGCCTCTGCGTAAGTAGATATAATGAGCACGAGCACCTGGTCGTGCTTGACTTGGAAATCGAGATTGATTCGTGTCGTGAGGTGGTCGACGAGGCTCGGATTCCAGCCCATCTAACAAGAACAAGTACTGCCGCCCCTCCCCCGCCACTGCTGCATGCATCTCACAGCTTTTTCCCACCCACCTCACTCACCGAGCCAGCTTCAACCTACAGCCACCGCCTTTCAACACACATAACGACACTCACCAAAGCGCACGCCCAAGAATCATTGAGAGGTTCGCTAGCAAGAAGCGGAAACACGACAAAAAGGAAAATTGGAGGCAAAAGAAGAGAGGCGAGGAGGCCATTGCATCAACCCTCGTCACCCGCTTCCTCTCGTCCGCCCATCCACACACACATCCCCAGACCCCTCCTCCCATGTCCAAGGTGCCGCCGCTGCTGGAGCCGCTGCTGGGCCGGCTGCCGCCCGAGGCGGCGCTGGTGGTGGTGACGAGCGTGCTGGGCGCGAGCGCCAACTGGCTCGTCCTGCGGTGGGTGTATGCGCTCCTGGGCGGCCGGCGGCGGGAGGACGAGGGTGAGGACGGGGACGGAGTTGCCGTCGTGTTGGTGAGCTTTATGCGGGACGAGGCGTTTTGGCGCGAGGGCGGTGCGAGGATGGTGAGTTTTTTCTTTCTTTTTCCCCCTTTATTCTCTTAAGGGTGCGGAGCGTACGTGGTCGGGCTAACGGGACGGAACGCGCAGGGCCTCGACCTCGACGCCCACGCCCGCGCCGGCCGCTTCGTCCTCGTCGACGGGCTCAGCGCGCTCTTTGCGCCGCGGTCGGCTGGCCCCGGTGGGGGCGGCGTGCTCGGCAGCGCCGGGCTCGACGACGTGCGGCGCGGCATCGAGGATGCGCTGGGCGGCGTGCGCGGCCGCGCGACGGTGCTGGTTGTTGACCAGGTCGATGCGCTGCTTGCGGCGGCGGGGCCGGGGGATGGGGTGACGAGTTTGGCGGTGCAGAACATGCTGCTTTCTCTGCGCGAGGTAACATACCCCCCCCCCTTTTCGCTTCTTCTTCCTCCCCTCGCGCTCTGCAGCCCCTATCCTTTCTCTCCCTGTTGAGCACATACCCCTGAAGAAAGCTCACCGACTCACTCACCCCGGCAGCGCGTGCACGCCACCATCCTCACCCTCGCCGCCGACGACGCGCTGCTCCATGGGCGGCGCGGCGCCACGCGGCTGGAGCGCGAGCACGCCGCGCTGGTGCTCTCGCAGGCGCACGCGGCGCGCGCCGTCGTGGGGCTGCGGATGCTCGACACGGGCGCCGCGCGGGACGTCAGCGGCGTGGTGCGCGTGGCGGTGCGCGCCGACGACGACGATGATGCGCGTCGTGGTGGTTGGGCGGCGGCGGATGCGATGGCGGATGTTGAGTATTTGTACCATGTGGCGGGTGACGGGGCTGTCAGGGTCTTTGAGAGGGGGGCGTGATGGGGGGGGGATGGAGCATTTGGTGGTATCGAGGATTAGAGATTCTTCAGAGCAGTCGAATACATTGGAGGGCACGAGCCGTGGAAGGCTGGTCTTCTCGACATCACCAAATGTTGATGTGGTCAAGGCATCACGCAGTGGCAGCAACCCCTCTCTGCCAGGACAAGACATCACAGCATACTCCTGACTGAGTCCCAGGCTCTACTAGACACGGCAGACACGGCAGACACGGAATGGTAGACACTCGCGAGACATTGTGAGTCGCCAAGTCAAGAGACATCAGTCGACTTCCCAATCTCTCAAAGACCCAGGAGAAAAAAAGGGTGAGTCATGTCCATCTTGGTGTTCTTGCTTTTAAACATGTCAGAAAAAACACCGTGTCCCATGCTCCGGCCGCCGACGTCCACAACCACTCGCAGCCTCCCACGCCCGGCCGGCTGCCACCACGAGCTTCCGACGCCGCGTGCTTGCTCGTGTCAACCGCCCCCTCCTTCGCCAAACCAAAAAGGGTCATCGCATCGTCCCGTCACGGTTCGGATGTTGTTTCTCCGCTGAGAGTGTTGTGTGGGGGAAGAAGGGTGCGTCTAGGACTCCTGCTTGGTCGGGCCGCGGGCGCCCTTGGGCTGGCCGGTCTGGAAGCCGTTCTTGAATCGCCGCGACACGTCCTTGAGGTAGCGCATGCGGCCGGTGCCGACCGTCTTTCTCCGCTTGGCCTTTTCGCTCCAGTTGTCTGTGTCCGTGTCCGCCACCGGTCAGCGTCTCTGCCTTGAGGCGGGGATTCGTCCATCAATCGGCGGCTCAAGGGGCTGGAAAGGACGTACACTTCCGGATCTTAGCAGCGGGGTAGCCGCAAGAGGAGCACTCATGCTTCTGGATGTGCAGCGAGCGGCGGCCTGCGGATTCCGTCGTTAGTACCTCGACCCCTTCGAACGGTTCCCTCCACGTCACGGCGTCTCGTCTCGGGCTGCTGGGTCGCCGGTGTGTATCTCCCCATCGCCCTTCCCTCCCTCTGTCCACGCTGCCTCGGCGACGGGGCTCGGGGGCACTAACCGCATCGTCGGCACAGGGTGTGCGACTTGTTGTGACGTTTACCGAAGCTGGAGGTACCCTTCGCTGCGGACGACGGTCAGCGTACTGTCCCCATCAATCGACTCTCTGGTTCCTTCGGCAGGGCACGGCGAACGTACTCATCTTGGCGGTTGTGGTTGGGCGTGTGGTTGAATGACGATGGAGCGAGTTCTCAGCAGGCGAGAGGGCTTTTTTCCGGTGGAGTGTCGAATTGCAGTCGCCTAGCCCTAATCTCGCCGTGGGGTGGCGGATTCGGTGGGCGCGGCGCGCCGGGTCATGTGATAATACCCTCGAACGCTCGATCACGTGATGCATTCTGTGGCACCGAGTACTTTGTACATATCAATGGAGCAGCGGCCAGCCGACGGCCTTGCAACACAATGCTTCTCTTCAAGCTCGCTACCCCAAAGGAGATTGGACTCTAACTACTTTATATTTTGAGTCAAACTTTCAAGCACCGGTAGAGGCTCCGTGCCTCGTAGACATGGCTAGATGGTATGGGATAGCAATTCCCTCTGTCTTGGCCAAAGTCCAAGTCCAAGTATCTGCACACAAAGGTGCCAACTCCTCTCGGCCGCCTGACGAGATTCAGTTCAACGATTAGGCGGGTTCAGAACATCTAAATTCGGACGTCACGTATATAGCCAATAGCACCTCCCAGTTTGACGCCATGAGTGAACATGATTCGTGATTCAGGTATCTTTTGGCACGCAACTCCTTGTCTCTCCCCTGCCTAGAAAGACATATACACAAGCAAAAAAAGGCCCATCCATCCGTCCAAATCCCATACTCCGCACCTTGCCCATCATGCAGAACCTGTACATTCAAAGTTCCTGTGCAAATGGTTCCGAGCCGACGTGGCCGCCTCCCTGACGCCCTTCGAAAAATCCTCCGCCCAGTCAGGGGAATACCGATGGCCCAAATGTTTCCCCGGGCTTGAGATGCGTCGTGACGGCTCCGTTGGTAAAGTCGAGCGTCTCAAAGACTCCCGCGTTGCCCCACCAGCTTGGCGGGCTCGTGCTCGTCAGGTAGAGGGTGAAGAAGATGACGATTGTCGAGACAATCAGGCCGCAATCCAGAGCGGCCGACGTGATGTAGTTGTACTGCAGCCACCACCCCATGTAGCGGCGCTTGATGAAGTAGTTGAAGATGATGCCCACGACTCCCCAGCAGAGGAAGATGTACACGGTCGCTGGAGGCAGCAGGCCCGTGCCGCCGTAGATGACGGGCGTGCAGACATAGCGCCAGATAGACTTGGGCCACCGCCGCGCGAGAAGCCAGCTGATGATGGGCGTGGCAGCCCCGACGAGCCAGAACCACTGCAGCGAGGCATAGACGGCTCCGTGGCTGAAGATGCGGGCCGGGCCGATGGCTCCCCAGACGACCGACGCCGTGTAAAAGACACGCCCGTTGGGGCAAGTGTAGTTGTTTGGCTGCTGAGGATTGCACACGTCGGGGATGTGGTGGACTGCCCAGTTCAGGACGCCGATCTGAACAATGGCCGACCAAATCGAGGCGACGAGTTGCGAGGCGAACATGACGCGAGGAGGCACCTTCATGTAGTGGCCGAGCTTGAGATCTTGAGCGAAATAGAGGGCTTGCGACATGGAGATGTATCCGTAATTCTTGAACATCATCATGGCGAGGGGCCGTCCAGGGACCATGTAGCCGATGATGAACTCGGTCAAGACATTGAGGCCCAGCTGGATGTTGGTGATGGCCTGGATGAGACCGATTGGGATGAGCCAGATGATGGGGATCAAGAGGCAAACCACAAACGCCCACGCGGGGAAGCCGGTGGGCCAGCCTGCCACGACACCAAAAGAAATGGCAGTCATGACTACAAACAGAGCTGTGATTGCTGTTAGCACGGCGGAAGAGACGGTCGAGGGCACGGTAGGACGGGAGGGGTCGAGGCCGAGGCCGACCAAGATGCGAGACAAGAGGCAAACGTACCTCCATACCACCAGTCCTCGGCGTCACGGTACTTCTTCATCAGGCGCATGTGAACGTCGTCTTCCTGGTGCCGAGCCATCTTGAACTGCCTCCAAATCTCTTTACCGTGATAGAGAGCGACATGGATGAGGACGGCGGCCATTGCCGCGAAGGACATGGCGTAGGCCATGGCGAACTGGGTCGACAGATACAGGGGCGAGTACTCCTTGTAGGCAGTCTCGTTGAACTGATAGTTGGCGTCGAGAATGCGGCTGACGTTGTACGGCTTGCCCGTGTTGTCAAACGACTCGCTAGACTGGACAGGGACGTACTCGGAGTACAGCACGCCGCTAAAGTGGATGCCCATGGAGACGAAGACGAAGAAGAAGAGGATGCCTCCGAGGACGTTGGCGATTGCGTGAAAGGGGGGGATGAGAGGCGAGCCGATGAACCCGCTTATGACGGTCCAGTCAAAGCTAATGGGCATCAGGCCGTATCCATGCTGAGGGCCAAAGACCTTGTTGACGACGACGCTGTTGGGCGCGAGCCAGCAGACCCAGGAGAAGATGGACAAGCCCTTGAAGATCCAGCCCGGAAACCAATAGTAGCAGAAGGCGCCGCAGCTGATGACGAGGAACAGCTTGTAGCGCCCAATGGACCATCCGTTGGTTTTCGAAGGATCCGATCTGGAGTGGTCGTGCAGAGTGTAGAACAGGGCGCAGTTGACGAGATCGGCGGGCCAGATCATGGCGGCGGGCCAGACCAAGAAGCGCCGGGCAAGACCGGCGAGCCCATAGCCGGTGCACAGGGTGGTGATGCTGAAGAGAATCTGAAAGGCAGGTCCAAAGTCCTGGCCGTAGAAGATCTTTTGCGCAATCAGGACGTCCGAGGCGTAGACGACTCCTCCGCCATATGCAGCCTATGAGCGTGTTAGCGAGCCGCGACAGGCCTAGTCAGGGGCAAAGCGCTCACATTGGACATGGCGACAATGACGACGTGTTCCTTGTGGTTGAACTGGCCGGGCCTGAGGTTGAACTTGAGCCCACACAGGTTCCAGACCCGGTCAGGCATGACGAGATCCCAGCCGCGGCCGATGGGATAGGCGATGAGCTGGATGACGTAGGTGGTGATGGCCACGCTGGGGTTGCGGAGCGAGAAGAGCATGTTGATGCCGGAGCCGAGAGTGCAGAGAACCATGCCGATGACCCAGGCGCGGACCGTATTGGCGGGAACATCGACGTCGTAGTTGCGCACGACTGCGCGGACCTGGAGCAGGAGTGTCAGGCAAAATTCAGCGCCGCGACGGGGACGAGGGTGTAAGCGAAAGGGCGAGGCATACCTCTGGATAGGGGCTGTTGTCCTCCATGAGGGCGTGCTCAATCTCAAGGCCCTTTTCGGCGTTGCCAGTGGCAATGGCGGCGTCGACATCGTTGAGCTCGTCGATGGGCAGGTTGGGGTCGAGCTTGTGAGCCTTTTCAAACTGCTGCAGGTGGTGCAAATGATCGACGCCCGACGAGTTGGAGTCGAGGGGCGCCGGGATGGGCGTGATCTCTTCGGCCTCATGGCGCTTGCGGAACATCGAGGACACCATGGTTGAGCGAAGCGGTGGTATCGCCCTCGACCAACTCTGGTGTCGACCGGGAGCAACAAGGAGATGTGGGAAAGCCCTGCTTCGCCTCACGACGCTTCCTGTCGTTCTCTTTTCTCCTGGACCTAGTTCGCCCTCGCCTCTGCTGCTTCAAGAGGCCGTTGGAGGGGCGAGGCAGAAGAGAGGAGACAAAGATGGCCAACCTCTGCGCCAAGACCGGGCTGGCCGTGAGCTCTGGATCCTGTGGGCATGGAGAAGGGATGGATGGATGGAAGGACGGATGGACGGGGGGGCTACCTTGCACAACCTCGTCTTCCCCGGGTGGGCGGTTGTACCTCCAAAGGTACGACATCCGATGAGCGATGGCGCCCCCTCCACGCTGCAGTCTGCAGCCCTCCACGCCCCCTACTGGGGGGGGACCCAGCCGCGGGAGCTCCAGCTGGGACTAGATTATCTAAAAAAACCGCCTGGGAGGGCTGCTGTCATCCATCCGTGGGCTGACGCTCCGCTCCCCCCCTGGTCCATGATGGATGATGGGGGGTTGAGCTACACTGTGCTCTATCCGTCTCGATCGCACTGTGACCGGGGAGGATCGCTTGGAACCCCCCCTTGCGGAAAATGCCGCTGGTTATACAGTCGGACAGACTACATGCCTTTGAAGACCATGAGTCAAGGTAAATAGTAATGGTACCTGTAATCAACAAAGTGCTGCCACGTCCATCGAACACGATAAAGGTCGAAAAGGATAAAAAGTGCCTGCGTCCATCTACGGCGCAGTCGATCCGGGCTGCACGCACTGTGTCGACCCTGCGCCGACCTGCCTATCCAGGCGTAGCTGTGGCTACGGTAGCCCTGCTCGAAAAAGCCGTTGCGCAGTTGCTGGACCTTTTGAGAGACACACAAGTGCTAGCAAGGAGCAACCAATACCTCCAATACCTCCAATACCTCTGGCCCGCACTCGCTCTCCTCCCACCAACGTCTTCGTCAGCCTGCTGTGGTACAAGCAGAGCAGAGCGCGCACTCTGCAGCAGCACCTTGTCCCGAAAAGTCTCAGCTGGCCGGGGCCAAACGGATAGCTCGCCCGCCCTCTTCCCGGTTGCGTGCGAGACAAAAGACGCGGCTATCCACCCCTCTCACTCGGCCAAGGAGAGCTACGTGCTACGCTATTACATAGTTGCCGGAGCTTATTATTGCCTTGGCCTTGGCCTTGCTGGGTGTGCAAAACTCACTCACTTGTATCAACAAGATCCATGAAGCCAGAGCTTGTCCACCGCAACAGACTTCGCCAGCGTCTCGTTTTGAGCGGCTGCCATTATTCGAGGAGACTATCAGAGTCAGCTTATATCTTTTTGTAATTCCTAACCCATTGAGCTTTTGACCGCGACATCCAAGTCGGATCGGGCGACTTGGTCAACACTCCCACCACTTCGATACCGCTTCGATACCACTTCGATACCACGTCGATACTTTTTGCGCATACTTTATACATGCATATACATGTGTAGGTGCATACTTTCAACATGCATTACCGTCAATTGCCCCGTATAAGTTACAATTCCGCGGCTCATGCAACACAGTGGAAAAGGCTCAGGCGACCTGCTCCATCGTTCGTGCCACCAACTGGAACTTTTGCGCCGTGACCAGCACAGCGTTGCCGGAGTGGGCGACAAGAGCAAGACATTTCTTCTTGTTCAGGGTCTTCTGATGTCTCTGCTCCCACCGCCCGTGTGCTTGGCATTGTCGACGGACAGCGACGCACTTTTGCACCACCCCAACGTCTCCGCCTGCTCCTCCTCCTCCTCCTCCTCCTCCTCCTCCTCCTTCTCCTCCTCCTCTCCTCTCCTCAGAGTGGCTTACGCATACGAGTCGACGCGAGCCCACGTTTGTTGAAATCAATAAAAGACTTCGCCGTCTGCGTCGCAGGGGTCCTCCTCAACGTTTCGCCGTCAACGCCGCGGCCATGCAAGGAATGGGCCATCTCACGTACTACACACTTCATCTGCCATCCCAGGCGGAGACATGACTTTGATGCGACCATCGACGCTGGATATGCATCTCTATCCTTGGAAAAGACTCATCTGGTCCCCATCCTCCGCCTGTTGAGACGCCATCATGTCACGATAGAGCTGTGCTTTACATGCAGCACAGACGCTATCCGCTGGACCAGCTCTGTGCTCTCCCTTCGGCCAGGCCTCATCATTTCATATCCATGGCTAGTGTTTCAACATCTCCATGGCCAGCTCCATGCTATGCCAATGCCCGGGTTGGTGACCTGCATGCCTCCTCTACGTTCGCTTCTCAGGCGGCTCTTGACCGGCACTGACCCAGATGGACGTGGCTGACCCTCGCCGTGGATATCGCCGGCCATCACGCCACACGGCAAGTCATGATGCTCATGGCTGAACTTGCCCGCTTCGCCTCGGGTGTAACACATACCCAGCGAGCCCCAACCCGCAGCAATGTCTATTACGGCCGGTGAAGCTCTCGAGGCAGCTGGTGAAACGTCATTCATTGCTTGGTATGCAGAGCATGCAGAGCTCGAGGCACCCTTCGTTGGTGACCAAGGCCAAGTTGCTTCGCCTACTTCATAAAGGATCCAAGTCCGCAGCATGGCCAATCGACGTGTCCCACAAGGTCGGCCGCCCATGCGTGACGGCTTTCCACTCCTCCGTTTCCAGGACCCTACGGGTGTAAAGTTGCACGGCCTCCGATAACACGTCGAGCCGCTTCGCATCAATCAGCCTGGCCGCCAGGGCGGTTGCGTGCGCGTCCAGGATGGTAGGCTTGTCGCCGAATATCCACGTCCTGTCCTCTCCACCGTACTCGCCGAGGACCTCTGACAGATCCCGCATGAAATCCTGGGCTTGCTCCTCGGCCCGTAGGATGCTGTCTGGTTCCAGGGTCCGGCTATGGCATCTGTCATGGCTATGCGCGAGAGCGTGGGCGAGCTCATGCCGGTGGTCAGTCGTTGCCAAGTCTCCAAGGTGAGGGCTCCAAGGGGAGCATGTTTGTCCTCGGGCTAGCCCGCACTTACAAGATGCTCTTCATCTCAAGAGCCCGGCGATGTTTCTCGGACAAGTCTGTGCTCTCGAGCATGGCGGCTGCTTGGTTCGGGAAACCATGGTTCCTGTCCTCTGGCGCCACCAGCAGCGCCTTGCAGTGAAAGGCATAGAGCTTGTCCATCAGACGCTCAATGGTCTCTCGGTGCTCTTCAGGCAGGAGCTCCGGCTGCCTCTCACACAGCCACTTGGCAATGTCACGACTGTCGTCAAGCATTGAATCGAGCGCTGCAGAGGTCAACGCGGGAACCTGGGCCCAGGTCAGCAGGGTGCGGTCAAGTCGGCACGCCGAGTCGAGTGCTGGGCGCTGCCTTGAGGGTCAAGGAGGACCGGCCGGGCAAGACTCACCTGGCCCTTGCAAGTGACTTGGGTAAGGTACGGTTCCGACAAGTGTTCATCCCGGTGCAGGTCGATGAGCCGAACCTCGAGTTTTGGGGCCGACTCTCGGTTCAGCGCTTGGCCCAGGACGAAGCCGAAGCGCGCCATGAGGGAGTACAGCGAGAAGGGGAAGTAATGCAGCGTGTACACGGGATGCGCTTCCTCCGACATGCTGGCGACGTGACCACAGACTCCCAATAGCGAGGCTCAGACAGACGACGACGCAGACGTCAGCAGCACCAGGGCGGCGGTGAGAAGAGGACAAGAGCCGAGGAGAGGGGGAGACAAAGGGGCTGAAGCTAATGCCAGGTCTAGCCCGGTTCGAGCCCGTCACACACACCTGACCAACCCCCAGATATGAGGACATGGCGGCCCTCCTGTCGCACGGCATATGGCGAAAGCTTACGCCGGACAGCATCTGCAGGCAGGCGGCCGCAATGGGTCACGGCGTAAGACCGTGCCGGGGTCTCAACCGGGCAGAAGTGGAGCTGCCGAGCCTCCGGGCCGCAGGTCCGTCGTGACCCGTGGAGTCGTCGACATGTCCGGCCTCCTGACATGTGAGCTGACCGTCGTAGTGTCATCCACAAGAAAAGCTTGTTTATCTGTTTCTGACGTCGCCCGGCCAAACTCGGATTGGCATGTGGGAGTCAGCTTTAGCGTGTTTGTGTCGTGCGTCCATCACCCGTCCTAGGCTACTCTGCGGTTCATGCCGGAGCCGAACAAGACAAGCTGAGGGAGGGGATTAAATCCTGGAAGTCTGGACCACTGCGGGTCGTTGGAGAGAAGCGAGAGAAATATTGCGCAGAAATGTCAAGCAATCTCGAGTGCCTCAAAGACCCTTGGTTCCTCCCTTTCCGGATTTCTCTGTCTTGACTTTTCAGACTCGCGATAACTTCTGGAGACAACAGCCCTCCTCCCTTGTTTTTGTGCCAAAACGAGCGGGCACTGCAAGTTGTCCCGTTGGCCAAGAGACCAAGTGCAAGAAACGGACGACGCTTCGTTGACAGCAAGTGTGGGGGGATCCGGACCCGCGGGGTTGTGCTAAACATTCTGTGGGACATTTTGGTCCTCGTTCAACTGAATCCGGGGATATTGCAGCGTTTGGGCTCGCAATTGCCCTTCCGTCTTACTTACCCTAGAGGAGTCGCAGAGCTAGACAGGGCTGCCAGTCGGCAACTCTCCCCTGTAAAAATTCTTCCCCCGTCAGAGCTGTTAGCGGCTCGCTAGCAGGGGGCCGGATTTGCAGGCCACCCGACCGCGCTTTTGCTGCCCGGGTCCATCGTGGCCCTAACAGCACAGAGGAAGACATTAGGAGAGTTCATATTCCTCTGCAAAGCCGGTCTCGACAACACGTCCACACGGACCTCACAGCTTCCTTCGGAACCAGGAGCTGTGGGTATTGGAAGGCCCGCCCTTCTAAACAACGGTGGCTGGTTGCGCAGGTTTTCTCCCTGAAGGCAAGCTGCACGACAGCCTCTGATTCCTTCGAGGGTTTTCCTGCCGCCGCTCCTGCGCTATTTCCATCGCCTGGTTACCGAAGCATGGACTGCGACAGCAGCGTTAGCGAGAGAGCGAGAGAATTCTGACCGGACAAAACCAAGGGTTGACCATTGTGGCAATCGCCACGCGCCTGGACGACCCGCTGACGGGCACCAGGCTCCGACACTGAGCGCCTTAGAGCCGATGAAATGCTGGATGGACTTCGGGAAGGCTGGCTGCAGAGGATAGCCACGGACACTTGTATTGACGGGCTTAGCGACAACCTACCGGTGGAGGGTAGGAAAGCCGTCTCCGGGGATTGAGCCCGACAGCTCGCCCTTGCGAGGCCTTGCAAGAAGCGCTGGGTGAGGCCTACTGTGGCAGGATTTTCTCGATAGCCTAGCTCAGCACGTCCTGTGCCCCACCGGGACCTGAGCGGCCTTACGGCCGCTGGACGGAAAATACACACACACACACACACACAGGGCTGCCAGTCGGCGGCCCCAAGCCATCTTCGCGGGCTCATCCGTACTGATGACTCGGCTATTTTCTCCATTCAATTCGATGAAACCGGGCTCTGGTTTCGACAACGAGGATGTGTGGATGGACGTGGTCGAAGTAGACTTTGTTGACAACTCACTCGGAGCTCATCGTGGGGACAGTTTCACCAAGACACCGGATAAGGGCGAGCCGGACAACGGCAGGTCCTTGTGATCGTTCGGTGCTCCCCAGCGGCGGTTCTGTTTTCCATTCCGCCAAAGTTGGGCAAGGTCTGCGTGCAATTGCTTTACGTATCCAGGAGGTTGAGCAGAGTTACAATGCATCCGCCGTTTATGCCGATGTAAACCCAAGTGTTGGTATCAATATCCGGACGGACATCTATCACCGTCCTGTGTTGGCACCTTTCTCGACTTTACTCCGTGACGTGTTTACTCTACAATCAAAGGTATGGATGGATACACAGTGGTCGGCAAAGCATGGCGTTGGGAATCACCACCAGGACTGTTAGCTGGAGGAACAGATTTGGTTGATAAGCGGCCCGCGCCGTCTTCGCACAGTCTCGCTGGGGGGCCAGGGTTGCGTGTGTCCGCGACATTCAGCCTTGGTTCGGGTCGCCGCAGCCCAACGATACCAGCGGACCGGCTCGTCCGACCAGATGCCGGACTGCGGCTGCCCGCCTCCACTGGCAAGGTCTCACCTGCTTATTTTCTTTTGCAACTGCATCGTCAAGACAATATGATTGATTATCAATCCTGTTCCCGGACCTGTTTGCCCGCTGAACCACTGGACAAGCTACAGCCTGGGGAGGCCCATGATGCATGCGTACCACAGCGGGATCGTCTCGGTGCAGTTCAACGGCTGGCCAGCTGCTGAAGGGCTTGGACTCGGTAGCCCAGAAAAGTCGAGACGCGGGCCGTCGACGGCATCTCGCGGCCGGGGCACCAAATACGAGAGATTGCAGCGCCGGGGGTGGTCGATATATCTATCGATGAGTGAGGACGACGGCGTGCGCCGTCACACAGGCCAGCCGTATCGTACAGATTTGCTGAATGGGCCCCAATTGGATCAAGGTTGAATGAAATTGCAACTCTCCCGCTCCCAGGACGCGATACAGACAGATGGCCTGGCTGACCGCCTCTGAAGACGAGCGCCGATCCGCAACGCAGAGATATCGCCTCAAACACGTGTCCGGGAAGGCGAAGAAGAAGGAAAAAGAAAGGACATGCGAGGATGAAAACTTGGACGGGCACCGGGGCCGGGGCCGGCACCGGCGCTCCGTGTCGTTAGCGTGGCGGGAGCTGAGATGCACAGGCGGGCCAATTGGCCAAGACTTGGGTAGAGTCGAGCAAGAATTCAGGCACATGTATCCGTACAAGCGCTTATTGCTTCCGATGCCAGATTCCACCGTCGATCATTTGCCGCTTCTCTAGGTTCCTTGGCGTAGGTGGTGGGTGGATGGATGGAGACTTCACAAGACTTCAACCCCTTGCTCACCACCTCTTTGCTCGCCCCTTTTTCGCCCCCCTTTCGTTCGGAGCTGCTGCAAGCTGTCACAGGTAGCTGCTGCTTCTTTCAAGTGCGCGCGCGGCTGGTGTCTTGCTCAGCCATGCGGCTCGGAGACGAGTCGAAGGGGGGGCGTGGGGGTGAAGTCAAGCCAAGCCGGTGCTCACCAGTGGGCCAGAGTTGACCATGTTGGGCCTTTGCGCCGGTGCCTTGACGGCAGATATCTGGCCGCCGGGCTCGTGTCGAGACGCGGTGCGTCCAGAGAGCATCATGTGCAATATAGAAGATGGACAGATTGCCTAGGCATCAAGTTGTGAGTCCACACGCGCATCACACTGTGCCCCCAGCACAGCACTGCAGTGAGTGATTCGGCCGTTTGCCCTTGGGCAGCAAGGCCTTTGGGGGGGAAGCCTGTTCGCTGCATCGACAAGGGCGTCTGCAGGTGGTTTTGCTCGTGTTGAGGGCACATGGCGGCGCCACATGCTAGACATGGGGGGGGAAACCCTCCTCAGATTGGTTTTTGGGAAATCTACAGCTGCTCAACAAGGGCTCGGCATGTGCGCGCGTGCATGTGCCTATCAGCGTGCACAAGTCGTCGGCGTTGGCCCCTTTGTCGAGGTGTTTGACGGCGGCGAGGCACACATGCATCTATTGCTGTCGTACTGTAGCTGCTGTAGCTGCATGACCGAGGGGGATGGGGATGGGGATGGGGTTCAGGTCGTTGGATATTACCGAGTACTACCTATACTTGTTAGTGTACTGTACTGTACTGTAGGTACGGATATAGTACTTGGTAGCTGGAGACGAAAAGAAAAGAAAAGGGGAAGAAAAAAACGCCCCAAATCCTACCTACCCCGGAGTGTGTCACCGTGAGGCGTCACCGCGAGGCCGAAGAGACGCAGGCAAACGGAGATGAGAACGGGACGCCGAGGCAGACCTGGCTGGCAGGGGCCGTCGAGCACGCAAGCCGAGGCTGCCCGATGGAGATGGGAGATGGTCGACTCGCCTCCTCGGTTCGGCCTTGTTCCCGGTGTCGCCGACGGGACCCTCGGCCCCGCCTCATCTTCCCCCCTCTCGGTTCATTTCTTCTTCGAGAAACGCTCGCACGCGAGGGGAACCGGGGGAGAGAGTGAGAGAGGAAAGAGGAGCAAGGAGAGAGAAAGTCGTCGGCTTTCCTCCTCCCACCACCCCCACCCACCCCCCTTTGTGCTTTGTGGGCACTAAGGCTCCTTTGGGCCTCTCGCCGGGTGGAAGCGACGACGGATCCAGCCGCCCGCCACCCCGCCGTGGCGCTCCCCTGGTAAGCAAGACAGGACCAGGTATACCGTGTGAATCGAGACACGCGGCACTATGCGAGCGGGCACAGGGCAGTTGAGCACCAAGTCCTGCGGCACTGCAGTCGCCTTCAATGTACGAGAACGAGCAGAGAGAACTTCTCGAGAACACCGCGTTCCTCGATTTGCATTTCCATTTTTCTCAAGGCCCAAATGTGGTAAGATAGATACCTTGACTCTCGTCCTGGATGCCCCCAAGGTCCATGTCGGCCATCTTCCCCTTTCTGTCTAGACTCGGCGGAAGGGGGTGCAGTAAGTAGCGGCTGCACAGTGCCGGAGTGTACACACGCCTCGCCTAGGTAAAGAGCATGCAGCGCTACTTGACCAGAGCCCCAGTATTCCATGCGCTTCCTGTTGGTCGAGAGTGCGGGGCCTCGTATGAGAAAAAAAAAGAGAGAGAGAGAGAGAGAGAGAGAAGGCGCACAGGATGCCGAGGGACAGACACTGCAACAACCACAGCCGAGCACGAAAAAGAACACCCAAAATGTACTGTACAGTACAGTACTGTACCATAGAAAAGAAGAAAGCCCGGCATCAGCAAGAAGGGAGGAGAAAACTGCCAATCAAACCTGAAGCTGGACCAAAATCAATCGAGGTGAGGGGCGCAGCCGAGGGGATACGTCATCCATCTTTTTTTTTGCCCGCCCCATCGAGATTGCGCAAGGCCCCTTGTTTGCCATTGACTTTTGCCCCGATTTTGCCATGTTGAGGCCGAAAGATGTGTTGGTCCGGACAGCTTACAGTACGGCACTATCTGTGCCTGCGATAGATGAAAGGGGGGGAAAAGGAAAAAAAATGGCCGTGCCTTGATCATCGTCTTGGGCGTGCAGGAGCAAACAAGCAAACAGATGAATCATGGACGCTGTCGATCCATGGATCAGCATGTACTGACTGTGCTTGGTATCCGTACAGTAACCCGTTTTATCGCGGCCGTCGGCACGTGTACCAACCAGCCAGCACCTGCCCGTCTTCGATAGATACCCAACACTTTTCCGGACTGCATCACTTTCGAGGTTGCCCTGGCGGGCCACCAATCTCTCGTGCCCTGTAGGCATTGCATGTTGACCTGACGTCTTTATTTTTAGCTGTGCAACGACGTGGTGCCACCGGCCATGAGTGGATCGGACGGGAAAGCTTGGGGACACAGACAAGGCAGGAAGCGCCCTGTGTTTGCAGAGCACCAGCCAACGGCAATCTGGACAATTTAGGTACTGTGCCAGCCCGCAACTCTTTTGAGGCTCAACTAGCACGAGGTACGTACTGAAAAGCCCCACGGCCCCCTCCCTCCTCCTCCCCCCCCACATGGTCACCTATTGGCTTCAAACGGCTTGGCAGCTACTCCGTATTCCGTATATAAACGACGGCTTCGACATTGGCCGATGGTGAGGGGACACGGCACGTACATACATGTACATACAGCATGTCCTGAACATGTTCCACCCGTCCGCCTGGCGAATGGCATCCTCAGCGGGCCTGCCTTATCTACTCCATCTATCAACGGCAGGCCGAGCGATGGCGGCCTGCTGCCAATTTTTATCATCATGCCGGCCGACAAGGGGACGCACAGGCCCCCCGGGCGGAAGCACCCTTGGAGCCTTGTTCCGCCGTCGTGCCCAGGCTATATCACGGCCGTGATATATATTTGACATGCAGAACGGTACATGTATATGTCGTGGACTGTTGGGCCACCGACGGCCATCTCTGCTTTTGGAGGGCCGGGGGCTTTGTCCGTTGTCATCACGAGCTTTCGTGCATCATATCAGGCTGTCGCTGCGCGACACTCTACCGTGCCTGGTCGTTGCTCGGCTTGTCGGCGTCGACACTCTGCCAAGGCTGGGGCCGATGAGTGCCGCCACGAGGAATTATGTGCATGTATTCACCATAGACACATCTCGCACACCGAGACACGTCGTCAAGTACCCGTCACTTGGACGCCAGTGCCCTCCTTTTCTCGAGATAGGGCAATTTCAACCTCAACGTCAGTCAAGTGGACTTGGCGCAACAAACAACATCTTGTCCGTGAATGTTATATAGCAGCCATCCATCGTCATCGTCATCATCATCGTCATCATCATCGTCGTCGCCATCGTCGCCCTCTTCCTCCTCCCCTGCCGTCCACCCACCCCATCGCACATTAATAAATCTGCCGGTCCAGACCAAGAGATAGGTGCCGCGCGCGACGACTGGGCCTCAACCCGCCGATCCCGTCCCGTCAAACAATCGACGACGCTCAGCTGCTCCATCCCATCCATCCACGCCGCTGCGCACCCACATGCCATCCATACCTTAGCGACGCGCGCCCCACGCCCTCCCTCCCGTCCAGACTCGCCCTCCGATAGCCAGCAACGGCCCGACCGTCTCGTTACTCGCCCGTGCGTTTAGTTCCTCGGAGAGAAACACGCACACCTCCGCTTCTCAGGCAGACGCCAGTGCAAGACGCCGTATCTATACCTACTCCCGCGCCGCCCACGCCCACGTCTCTCCCGCCCCTGGCTGACGGACGACACCAGGCTCATTGGAGGACGAGGACACACGGCCGCAGATGCAGAAGCCGGTCCAACGAGGCAGCAGGCAAACACACACGCAAGTCAACGAGGCCAGGGCACAGAGCATCTTAGCGGGCGCTAGGGGCCAAACAGGTAGCCAAACAGGTAGCCAAATAGGTACTCGAAGCCCCATACACAACAGCATTCCTCAGCACGATCGTCGTCTGTCAGCGCTGGCATCGCCGGCTAAGCCAGTAGCAGCTGTCTCGCTGCTCCACTGGTCCCTTGAGCCGTTTCCCTTGTTGACTCGCTGCATTTCCATTACCGCCCGTTCCTGTTGGACGAGATAAACACCCGTGCCACATCATTGGTGGGGAGTAGGAATATTCCGTAGGCCCCATCAAATAGCGATGCACGACGACTGACTCTTATTATTACGACATGTAGGTGCCCCCGATCGTCTAGCCGGTGCTGTGTTTGGATCCATAGAGGCTCAAGGCCCGCCGAACCACAAGTACCCGCTGGCGCGCACGGGAGAAGGTGGGAGGGGATCCGGGAGTGTGCCTGTTTTTGTTGTTGTTGTTCCAGCTTTTTTGCTTGGAGCGCCCTGCCTCGGCGGCACCCCTTTCCCCTCCCTCACCCGCAATCCCTCTCTGTTCTCTGCTGTCAAAGGGGCGAGCAAGGCGTCTTTCTCTCTCTGACCATTATTGCAGACAAACGTGTCGTGTCGTCTGTGTCGTGTCGTCTGTGTCGTGTCGTCTGTGTCGTGTCGTCTGTGTGGGGGAGCATCGCCGCGCAGTCGGTACGTTTACGTGTCCTGTGGGCGCGCTGTTGTGCCCGAGGGACTGCTGTACTGGCACCCCAGGCACCTGTCGTGCTGTGCTGCGCTGTACCGTGCCGCACGTACAGTGCACTCCAGGTGCCAACCACCCGACACACAGGGCACGCAGCCACCCGTAGCCCAGCACAGTAGGTACTACCAGTAGTGGTTCGGGCTGTTTGCGTTGCCTGCCCCGTACCTAGCATACCTCTTTTGACCCCCAGCCGGACATTTCGCTTTTCCGGCTTGAGTCTTGGGCCGTCGACCTCTTCTCCCTGCTGCTGCCTTTCCCCTCTCCCCCCTTTGCTCTTGTTGTGCCTTTCCCTCGTTTCTCCCCTCTGCCCTCCCGCCCGTTTCCTTTCTCACGGCTCTCACCTCATACCCTCGTTCGCTCTCTTCGTGGATGGCGAGAGAGCGTGTGTGTGAAAAGGGGAAGAAGAAAGCTGCAGCGGACAGGTAGCGCGCGTCCCTGTATGTCCGTCCAGCTGAGCTTGCGCGCTTGTCCGTCAACATTTCCTCATCCCGCTTCCACGTCCCACGACCCCAGATAATCTCCCACCCGTCCGACCAGCCCACCCGGGCCTCTTCTGCTGCCTGGTACCGCTACTCACCCGGCGCGCCCTCGTCCCACCGGCCTTGTTTCGACCTACTTTTTGCACAAGCGAATCCGACGACGACAACGATTGACGACAGCCTGTTCGTCTGCGCCGCTGAAGCACCCCCCTCCCCCTTGCCGGGCCAACCAACCAACTACCGCTAGCGACTCTTTTTTTTTTCCTTCCTGCCGTCCCTTCTCGCAGGGGTTTTACAGGTCCTCGTTCGCTCTAATCACCCCCCCCCCCCCCCCCCGCCCTCCCCTTTGGAACCCCCCTGGACGACTCCGCCTGTCGGGCTGCCTCCTAGCCGTCCGGCCTTGCCTACGATAACGCGGACTCTGTCGACCATACACGCACGCGCGCGCGCCCACACAAACACTCACCACTCACGCACACACCTCACCTTGCTGCTGCACCCCTCCTCTTCGCTCGCTCAACGCACGTTCGGCCGCTCGCCTTCCGCCCCTCTAGTCGAACTCGACTCCCGACTCGTCTCGACGACTCTGGCAGCTCCAAAGTGACACTATCGCGCTCCCGCCCGTCTACAGCTGGCCGTCCCGCCCCTCATCCACGCACGCTTCGTACCTGCGACACGGCTCGCCGTCAGCCTCGCGACCGACTGTCAGCAGCATCCCTGAGCCACACAGGGAGCCTCTCCCGCTTCTCGCGTCGTGGGACAGGTCCTCGTCAGACGCCGCACCAAAGAAGCGCTCCCCATCTTGACCGGCTCCAGAACCATGGCACCGAAAACGCCCCGTCTCAAGGTCCTTTCAGGTATGTCGTGACTCGCCTACATCCTCGACTCCCCCCCCCTTCCCCACGCCTGGTCCCCTGGCCTTCAGCCCGTTCTCGTCGCTGCCGTTGGTCGGCGCCTGAAAATGCTGCCCCGGCGCGCCGGTTTCATCTTTTAGTGTTGCGCATCGCCACCGAGAGCTCTCCTTGGCCCTCTGTCCCTGGCCCGGTCATAGCTTATCCTCTCCACACCACCGCTCGTCTTTTTCCTTGCTTCCTCTTCCCTCTGCAGCAGGTGGACCGGCTGTCGATGCAGCGTTCCCGTCGTCTTCGGTCATGGACGACAGTCAGCTAATGCACGTTTGCTCAGTCGGTGGGAATCCCGTCTCGGCCTTCTTATCATGGAGACTCCAGGCCACCAACGCCTGCGACGTTACGCTCGTCTGGAAGTCGGGCTTCGAACATGTCGCCCAGTACGGCATTTCCTTCAAGTATGTCGCCCCCGCCGATTTGGCGAATACTCAAGCCGTCACGAACCGATTTGCTTACCTCTATGTTCCCAACAGGTCCCCGATCTTCGGCAATGAGAGATTCAAACCCCGACATGGTAAGTCCTCCTCGATCCGGGCGGTTCCACAACGCCTTGCTGACTTTGCAACCAGTTGTTCGGAATCCTGAAGACGCTTCCAACTCTCGAGACGGTCCGTTCGATTACGTCGTGCTCTGCGTAAAAGCCCTCCCTGATGTGTACGATCTCGCCGCGGTAATCGACGCCGTCGTCACTCCCCAGCATACCTGCATTCTTATCAATACCACACACACCCTCGGGGTCGAGGCCGCCATCGAGGAGCGATTTCCTACCAATGTCGTGCTATCGCTCGTCTCCGGCGCCGAACTGACACAACTGGGCCAGAGCGAATTCGAACACAAGGGCTCCACCGAGATCTGGGTCGGCCCTGCCAACAAAAACAGCAACATTCCACAGTCTATCCAGGAAGACATGGCCCAGGCGCTGGCCATGACCCTGAGCACCGGCCAGGTCGAGTGCAAGGTCTCGTCAAACATTCGCCAGCAGCAGTACGAGAGAGTGATTGGGTGAGTCGGCGAGCCGTTTCCTCGCGCAACTACAGCCCTGCTGACCATCGCCGCCTAGGCCCATTGCCTTTCATCCCATAAGTGTGCTCTTCGAGACGCCGAACCACGCCGCCCTCTTTGAAAAGGTTGGAGTAAAGGACATGATCTCGGACGTTATTGACGAATTGTTACGCCTAGCCGAGGCAAACGGCTGCAAGCTCTCCCCCGACTTCAAGCAGCGGACCATGGACGACATGACGAAGCCCAACTTGCCGGAAAGCATCATGTGGCAGGACTTCGTGGCGAGACGGCCAATGGAAATTGAGACGTATCTCGGATCCCCCATCAAGCTGGCGCGAGACTCGCATGTCTCTGTGCCCAGGATCGAGACCCTTTACGCCATCCTCCACAACATTAACACTGTCAATCGAACCAGGCCAAAGCTCGGAGACGCCCCGTCGCAGCAGATGCCGCCCGGTGGCATGCCGCCCGGCACGCCCACGTTGGCCGCTCCGCCCCCGCGAATGCCTTCACAGCAGGGCCACCGCCCCATGATGGGCGGAATGCCCAACGGCAACGGCATGCCTCCCCGCCAGCCCCGGCCGCGGAACTCAGCAAATTTTGCTCCGGCGGGAATGCGCCGACCGCCCCCCACGAACGGCCACCCGCCCAATGGCTATCCTCGGCCGCCACCGTCGATGAACGGAGGGTCGAGAGCCCCCTCGCGAAGAAATTCGATGGATGGAAACGACCTCGAAGAGTTTTCGCACTTGGTGCTGTACGATGATATCCCCGAGGGTCAAGAGCCCTCGGTCGGCGGCGAAGACATAGCTCTTCGGGAGAGAGAACTGCAGATTCGTCAGCGCGAGCTCTCCCTTCGGGAGCAGGAGATGAGGATGAGGCGCGGACCCCCGCCGGGAGCGCGTCGCGGCCCACCTCCTTCCATTCGCAACCAACCCCAAAACTATGACGATGACGACGACGATGACGAGTACTTCGATCCAAACGCCGTGACGGGCGGCCCCACCATCGACCCTGACAACTTCGACATGATGAGCGTCACCTCGAGGAAGACCCGCAAGGCAACAGCCCCGTCGGCTGCACAGTTTCGTCGAAACCCCGAGTTCGACGCGCCCGCTCCGCCAAGAGGAGGCAGATTCCGGCCCTTCGGCCGCAGTCGCCCCAGCCATGCCAACAACGTGTCCATGCTTACGGACAACATGCTCGATGATCCTCTCATGTCGCTCACCTCGAACCGCTACGCCGCAGTCGACCGCGGTGCCATGGCCGCAGGCTCTCGGGCAAACTCGTTGACGGCCTCGAGGCTAGACGAGCTGCAGTATAGCCATGCTCCTGGCGCCCCGCCCAGCATGAACGGCGCTCTTCCCCGGCGAGCCAGCCAGTCTCCGGGCAACCCTTACAGCCCATCGCTGCGCGGCGGCGGCAGGCCCTCTCCTCCAAACGGCTTCGGTCCCCAGATGAATGGGCGTCCCTCACCCCCAGATGGCGTCCGTCAGCCTGTACCGCGGTATCCGTCGGGGCAGGCCAACTCCCTGGCTCCGCAACAGGTTGAGCAACATGTCGGGGTGAGCGCCCTTCGTCCACCCAAGCCGAGAAACGTTCGTAGTCTGACGGGCAGTGCGAGCGCTAGCGCGGGCAGTGGTGAACTCGACTCGGAACAATCGGCGCACAGCAGCCAGAGCAGCCTGCAGAATGGGCCGACAATTGGCGTCCACTAGGTCGACTCTCAAGTCTCTCGCGCGGGGATCCTGGCCCTGGTTTCCGCGCTTGCTATGCAGGTTGGCGGGCGGTGTGCTTTGGGCAGTGAAGGAGTCGGCACGTGGGCCGTCGAGGCATGGTCCGGACTGGAATATCAACCTCATCTTACGGACGAAGCGGGAGGGTCGTCCCTCATCACCCCCTCCATTCATACACTCTTGGAACAACCAACAGCCGGGACGAAGCACTTGTGGCAACCGGCTTCTGTGCCTCGCGATGCGACTGAACCCCTGGGGGCTGAGGCTTTTCCGCACGCCTTGCTGCTCAACGTGGACGATAGTAACGACTTGCAACTAGCGCTTCACTCTGGACCTTTTCTCGAAAGGCCCTCTGATCATTCGGAACGGACTTGGTCAAGTCCCGTACATACGCATGGAAATGGCAAAGGAGAGGGGCTCATCTCCTGATAATGTTGCATTGGGATGCGAACTCTCCATACTTGTTTCTTCTGGCACATAATCGACCCTCGCCATAGCGAATGCAAACTGGCGTCACTACATTGTTATTGAGCCCCCAGCGTGTGGCGTTGGGGGCAGCACCCGTGGACGAGGACATGACAGCGAGTCACAAGTCGCGCCGCGACACCGTTTGGACGACTCGGGAAATGCTACTTGGGACCCGGCCTAACGACACGGCCGGTGCAGCGCAGAGTACCGGATCGGCGTGGCACTTGGTCCGGCCCTCGTTTCCCAAGCTGATGAAGCTCCTTTACGGCACAACGGCCCATCTGCAGCAGCAACGGGGAGGGAGAGGCGCGACTGGGTTGTCGCGATGCCAAGGGGCGGCATACACAACATAGACTACTGGAGGTCTCTTCCTCTTTTTCTTTATCTCACTTCTACGTCAGACTATTCCCTGTCTTCATATAATTTATTTCTCTCCTTGCGATGCGGAAATGGGACCAACCCAGACGGCATATATACTGTACTGAGGCTGTTGCGGGAGAATGAGAAGCGAGCTCGGAGTGCCTGGCCGTGGCAAGAGGCTGGCTGGTGGCGAGTTGGGAGAGGAGGGGATTCGTCGAGCTCGGGACGAAGGCTTGAATAATAAGTAGGTGAAACCGATACAGGCATAGAAGTGGGTGAAAAGCAGTGCTACAGAGGTGTGTGAGGGGGCTTTGATGAGGAGAGCTCTCTGGGCTGCCGAGTAGGAGATAATACGTAGCCACGGTTGTGGTGTCGAGCAGCGATGATGAAATGATTGCACTAGAACAAGTGTGCTCCATGCGGGCCCACGTGATGGGCATGTGACGGGCATCAAGCACAAACAACGACGGAGCGCCAAAGGAAAGCTACGCGACTCGCGCCTCGCCGACGCTCTGCGACAAGACGCCCTCGCTCAGCAGGAAGCGACGACGAATCCAGGGCGTGCTCGAGGACGCCACATCACCGCATCACCGCCACTGCTGCGGGCCTCAGCCCATCTCGCCTGGGTTCTCTCTGTTGCGGCCGGCCCCATCCATCTCTCTTGATTGTCCTGTCAATGCATGTGTTTTTGGCCCTCTTTCTCCCGTTACAGGGTTTTTACTGACGACGCTCAGTCGAAAACAGCCGTCCTCTTGCAGCCACGATGGCGACGCGAAACATAAACACGACGCAGAACCTGAACCGGCAGAGCATGGCGACGACGAGCGGCAGCGTCGTCAAAACGCGACAGCTGGTAAGGGCCCAGGACCAGTCTGCTTTGTACCTTGGCATTTCTCTTGCTGTGTTTTGTTTGCTTGTCTTTATTTTTATTTTATTTTTGGGCTGACGGACGGCCCCCCTCCAAAGACGCATCTGCACTCGCAGCTCGCGCAGCTGTCGGCCAATCTGGCGGACACGGAGAACCTGCTGCGCATGACGAGCGTCCAGGCCGAGTCGATGAGGGGTCTGGGGAGCTGGCATGCTGGGCTGTGAGTACTGATATGCCCCCCTCTGATCCTCGGCGAGAACTGACTGGTGGTTGGTTGGCTAGGCTCATGGCGGCGAGCAAGGTGCTTGGGGAGGAGAGCGTCAAGGAGGTGGCGAAGTGAGATGATGATAATGGGCTTGCGTACTGGACAACTGGGGGGCTGGAGGGGAGCCTACGGGAAGCCTGCATGGCGTGTCGTGGATTGCTGTTTATTTTACCGCTTATGGAAGTAGGCTATGCTATCTGAGCCTGCTTCACTCACTGTTCTTTGATATCTTGAATGCAGGCAAAGAGCCAATGTCTAAATGGCTTTCTCGTCCATCCCTTTGAGCCCTTCGCCTTCGAAGCTGCTGTTCTCGTCAAGCCGTGGCAGACATCTCCGTCTTTGGATGGCTTGTCTTGGCTTTTCATGAACCCTTTTCCGCAAGCCAAGTCTCTCGCCTTGGGTGCCAGCCTGTAGACTGACCCCAGGTCATGCTCAAGGCAGGCTGGCGAAATGCCTCGTCCCCGATACCTTGTTCTCGATCCCCGAGGAACTTTGTCGAGGCCCGAGCAATGCTTGATGCCATCTCTGGCAGAGTCCTCAACCATTCTGTCCCGATTGGTCAACATTGCTTGACTCGCCCCTGTCCCCCGCCTGTGCGTGCTTCGGGGAACGCAGCGTCATGCGCTTCTGCCGCGGTGCGGAGACGGGGAACCGCTTCGCGTTACCGCACGTCCTGCATCGCATGACCAGGACATCCGCCCACGGCTTGAGGCCGCCCCTGCTCGGGTTCTCGATGGTGGAGCGGCACGTGTGGGCCTCGACCTGCAGGGTGTCGCAGAACTTGCAGACGGTGCGCTTGAGAGCCTGGCTTTGCCGGATCTGCGTCTTGAGCGTCACGGCCCTCATTTCAGAGATAGCACGGCGAGACATGTTGCGCAGCTGTTTGCGTTGCTTGTCGCTTGAAACCTGGGCATTGTTCGCGCCTTGGGATCCTTTCTCTAGGGACGGCTTATCCTTTGATCCTCCATCCGAGGGTGGCCTGCCCGCATCAGCTTCATTGGCGCGGCAGGCGAGGTAGCTGGCCGCTTGGTAGAGATAGGAGGCTCTGGAGTATATGGCTCTGTTCTGGACGCCCGAATTGCTCTTTGACTTTGCCATGGGGGACAGGCTCGGCGGAACAAAGAGTTGAGAAAGCTTGGGCAGGCTTCAAAGGCCGGTAACTTGAACCTGGCTTCCAGCACGGCCCGCTCCAGGGTTTATTCTTGTGGGTTGGTGGGAGCTTGCAACTTGAGTTATCGTGAGAAAGAGTACGTACGTACAGTGCTAGCGTGTACGAATTATATGTTCACACTGTACGGACAAAGCCAGGCTTTGGTCATGTGACTGGCAGCTGCGCACGGGCCAATCCCGTCTGGCGGGCGCGGCTACAGCTGCCTACACTCCCTTGCAGCAAATCAGCCTTGCAAAAACGTCGCTCCCTCAACCTCTCTCCGCAAGAAACTGCTCACGACTGGGGCCTTTTCAACCTCGACAACCACCTCCTCAGTCTTTGCGGCTCACAAATCATTCAGCTTTCCCTCGCGCCAGATTTTTTGGCGCGTGTTGGAAGCCTCTTTTTCTTTCTCCCCCGCCCCTCAACGTCGCGCATCGACATTGGCGGGCGTTTTCAGGACCTCGACCCGACAGCTCGCGTTTGGAAAGCCAAAACACCAGCGATTCTCGACAAAATGTCGCACGAGGAAGACCTCATCGACTACTCCGATGAGGAGATTGGCGCCAACGTCCCGGTGCCTGCAGCCGGCGCTGCTGCAGGCTCCAACGGCAAGAAGGCCGACCTGTCTGCCGGCACCGACGTCGATAAGAAGGGCAGCTACGTCGGCATCCACTCGACTGGCTTCCGCGACTTTCTTCTGAAGCCCGAGCTTCTCCGCGCTATCGGCGACTGTGGTTTCGAACATCCATCGGAGGGTCAGTCCTGAATGCATTCTTATATCCCTTCCAGCCGTCAAACCCCCTTCCCGCAACTGTCCGTCCATCTCGCACGCGAATCAGCGCACGGCCGAGATGCATCGGACCACTCGAGCTCTTGGTCGCCTCACATGGTCATCTGGGCTGCTGCCGAAGGGTATATATTCCCGGCAGCGGGTACTTCGAAAGAGCTCTAGGTCTCGCCCGCCCCGATGATGTTTTCCCCATGAATGGAGCGGGACCGGCACATGGAGCGAAGTAATGCTTTTTTTCATAGCCTTTGTACGGGATGCCGAGGCTCAATGCAGCTCTTGGTGACAGAGGCCCTTTGGGGCCCTGTCCATTCTCCCGACGGTCGCGACCTGGGAGTCTTGCGGCTCGCAGAAACCAGCCGGCCAGTCTTGGATCGACACTTGTGCACCCGCCTGGCCGCCATTGCCTCGCTGCGATGATGGACGGACGGGCCCCTACCGCACTGCACAAACGCCCGTTACTACTGTGGAACGTATATCTAACATCGCCTCCCACGACAGTCCAGCAAACCTGCATCCCTCAGGCGCTCCTCGGTGGTGACATCATCTGCCAGGCCAAGTCGGGTTTGGGAAAGACGGCCGTCTTTGTCCTCGCGACGCTTCAGCAGGTGGAGCCCGTCAACGGAGAGGTTTCCGTTGTCGTCATGTGCCACACCCGCGAGCTGGCCTACCAGATTCGCGACGAGTATAACCGTTTCAGCAAGTACATGCCCGACATCAAGACTGGTGTCTTCTACGGCGGTACTCCCATCAAGACGGACGTTGAGACACTTAGGAACAAGGACTCGTGCCCTCACATCATTGTCGGCACTCCTGGCCGTCTCAAGGCTCTCGTCCGTGATAAGGCGCTCCGCCTCGGGAGCGTCCGCATCTTCGTCCTGGACGAGTGCGACAAGATGCTCGACCAGCCCGGTAAGTCCCTCACGCCTCCGTTTGTCTGGCAAATCTAACTCTCGAGATAGACATGCGCACCGACGTCCAGGACGTGTTCCGCGCCACGCCTCAGCAGAAGCAGGTGATGATGTTCTCCGCCACTCTCTCGGAGACCATCAAGCCTATTTGCAGAAAGTTTATGCAGAATCCCACCGAGCACTACGTGGACGAAGATACCAAGCTCACGCTCCACGGCCTTTTGCAGTACTATCTCAAGCTCGAGGAAAAGGAAAAGAATCGCAAGCTCAACGAGCTCCTCGACGACCTTCAGTTCAACCAGGTCATCATCTTCGTCAAGAGCACCATCCGCGCCACGGAGCTCGACAAGCTCCTTCGCGAGTGCAACTTTCCCTCGATCGCTGTCCACTCTGGCGTGAGCCAGGAGGAGCGGTGAGTCGAAGGCACTTGAGCCAACCCGTGGTACTCTGCTAATTCTCTCGGACAGAATCAAACGGTACAAGGAGTTCAAGGAGTTCAAGAAGCGCATCTGCGTCGCCACTGACGTGTTTGGCCGAGGCATCGACATCGAGCGTATCAACCTCGCGATCAACTACGATCTTCCGGGCGATGCCAACTCGTACCTCCACCGCGTGGGTCGTGCCGGTCGCTTCGGCACCAAGGGCCTTGCCATCTCGTTTGTCAGCTCCGACCAGGACTCGGAGGTGCTCAAGGAGATTGAGAAGCGCTTTGAGGTGGCACTTCCGTAAGTTGCCCAAATATGAGTCCCGCTTGATGCAGCACTAACAGGTTCTTGTTCGCAGCGAGTTTCCTCCGGAGGGTGTCGACCCCAGCACCTACATGGCGTCTTAGGATGAGAATAACTGCACCGAAGGTTTGACTTGTGCTGTCGGGGAGTGCAGTTTGTGTATCGAGACTAAAACATGAGACTAGGTTCTCGTCTTGGGAGAGAAAATAAACAAGCTTGCGGCAATTCTCGCCACCGCCCGCCTTGGGCGCTACGACTCATCTTGACCTCGTTGACGGCGCAAGAGAGTAGGCAGAGACGCCAGCAGTGACGATGCGGGTGGCGGGATGTAGCGTGCCGTTCCATGTGCGACAAAAGGGCGGAGTTTTGCTTGGGATTTGCGAGTGATGGGGGATCTCAGTTGACAAGGACCATCTAAAACACACCAAATCACTTGCCACCATGTATTTTGTTTGGGTCCTTGACAGTGGCGATAGACGGTGGCCGACATGGCAGGATCCGGGGTTTATGGGAATCGGCTGTCCTAGGCCTGAAGCGCCCTCTGTGCTCTTGCGTGCTACCTAGATTGGCCTGCGGCGGCCACGATGATGCCGGGCTGCTTTGGCGTCCTGCCGGCCAGATGATTTCGTAGACGATGGACCGTAGAGCACCCGCGTGGCCCGTCATGGCTCGTTTGAAGCCAGGCAAGCTCTGGGTTCACGATTGACGCTGTTCTACGGCCGTGCCCGTGCAGGGCAAACGAGCTTTGTCGTGTCCCCTTGCGTGTTGGTTGGGTGTTGGTTCAGGGGCAATGACGGTTCGCCTACGCTGTGTCTCCCTCGGTACTCGGCCGGGCCGATGCTGATTCGAGGGGAGAAGCGGCGAATGGCTTCTGGAGTAAATTCCAGGCTGGACCGGGAAGGGCTGTCAAGCCAAGCCAAGCCCCCTTTTTCCGTGGTCAGGGCTGGTGATGGGCGGGTTTACAGTATATTGGGCAGACGTGGTTGTACGAGGCAGAAACGCGGGATTGTCCGCGTGGGAGCAAGTGATTGATTGGACGTTTGTCTCGTTTCGTCTACTGTACTTGCTGTGCTTTGTGGGTGTGTGACGACGACACATGAATGTATCCTGCTCTGCTCTGGATCGTGGCTTGTCAGTTGGACACGACCAAGGTGCAAAAAAGGCTTCTTCTGCCGTGCGACGTGACATGTCCGTCCAGGCTCCTTGCATTCTACAGCGCACAACATGCGTTTTCATGCACACTGGCAAAGGTAGCTACCCGGTGAGTGGGCGTTTTGGCGACGGCGGCGGCGGCGGCTGGTGGGCAAAGGCACGGGTCCGTGGAGATGCGTGTGCGTGGTCATGTTTTACTGGCGCCATATGGCCTCGGGCACTGACTGGCGGTGGTGGCCAGGGGCTATGTGTGTTTGCCTTTGTACGTGGGATACGCATGCGATTCACAACATGTTTGGTTTCAAAGACGGCGACAACGACTCGTGGCAGCGTCGAGCTCTGGAACGATTCCGATTTGAGGCTCCCTCCGAGGGCAGGGGGGGGGGACAGCAGAGCAGCAGAGCCTTGGGTTGCTCTCTCGTATTCGACGACGACGTTGCTCGGAGCAAATGGCATCGGATCGACAGGGAGGGCGTCTTTCTCGGCGGGGCGGAGGCGTGCCGTTACCGGCCGAGGCTCTTTCTTTTGGCCCCAGGAGCTCCGAGGCATTCGCGGGGGATTCGAGGACTAATCATGGTGGGATTTTTGCGGTTGGTTGGGTGCGAGAGGATCCATTGTCCATGAGCCCTGGACCTTGGAACGGGACAGGTGACTGGCGCGGTGAGTCAGCGTGCCTCTCTGCCTGACTCGCGGCTGGTGGTGTACAGTAGGTACGGTGAGGCCTCAAGGGGTGCGATAGAGGCCCCATCGTGCCCCTTGATTGATAATTTGGCCTCGGGCCCCCTTGAAGGGACAATGAATGGTTGGGTCTGGTGGGTGGTGGGTGGTGGGTGGTGGGTGAGTGTGTGGGCGCGTGCGGGCATGTTGGGCGATGAGGATGATGCGCGACGGAAGCCTGGTCTCTCGCCTCCTCCATGGCCTCCATGGCCATGAGACGGGGATAAGGCAGGCAGGCAGTTGGCCTCTCGAGCCTTGGACGCGGGCCACGGGACCGGGCACGGGACCTGCGCGTGAGGAGGGAGCTGAGGCTTGGGCTGCGCAGGGCCGGGCTGGGCTGAGTTTGGTTACAGCCGGCGGGCTGGGCTGAGCTGAGCCAAGCTGTGGCAACCAGACGACGGGCTCTGAGTCATGGGCGCCGCTGCTGGTGTGGCGCAGGCATCACGGCAAACGAGGAGCTGGATGAGTGTGTGACTGAGTGTGTGACTGACTGTGCGTGCCCGTCCATTCATCGTCAGCAGCCCAGCCGATTTTTTTTTCTCCACGCGCACGCCGTGACTCGTTTTTTCCCGTCTTTGACCCCGGGCGCAGGCAGACATTGATGACGGCGATACAGATTCCAGAACCGAAACTGTCTCGCGCAGAAACACCAGGTACGGAGTACAGAGGCCAGCGGCACCTTGTGCGCGATGAGCTCTCGGCGCACAGGACATATCCATCGGCAGACGGCACGTGTCGCCTGTTGGAGAAACATGCACGCGCGCGTGCGTCTCACCCGGTCGTTTACATATTATTCATCACTTCGATGCTCAGCCAGCCTCTCTCCAATCGCCGTCGGCGGGCGCGCCCGGGATGTGGGCGACAGAGAGATGGCGATGCCGGGGACCAATGGCCGGCTCGCGACAGGGACTCTTGCTTCCTTTGCTGACTGGAGGAGTCGGTTCCATGTCCCCCTTTCTCCTCACGCGAGTCTTGGCGGGCTTCGACGTCGGACTCGGCCTGGTCTGGACAAAGGGCCCTCGGTCCACGGGCATTCGTTCTCTGCCGTGTGTCACACCGGGCGTCACATACCGCGTCCCAACGCCTCGGCGACGACGACTCACCTCAGTGTCGATGCGACCTTGACTTGCCTGCCTGCTCAAGCACTCTGCTCTGGGATCCGTCTGGGCATCTCATCGAAATTCACGCGTGATAATCCTCCGTGAGTCGTCGTGGTCTGCCATATGTAACTCCGTGGACCCGGGTGGGCCGTCAGACCTAGCGCATCCGAACCTTGTTAATCGCAGTCAGCTGCAGGGCTCGTATCGACGAGATCGTGGGGGGACCACAACACGTCGACGCGCCGAGGCAGCCCTGGCTAGCAGCAAAGCCGCCGTCGCCGTGGGTCCGCCGACGCCGGTGGGACAGCCAGCGATGACGAGCAAGCTCCGTTTCAAGGCGTACACATGGCATCTTATGTATCCGTGCACTCTGCTGCCTTGAGCAACCCTCCTCCACTTGCCCCTTTGTTTGGCCGGCCCGAGGCGCGACCGGTTGTGGGAGGCAAGGCAAGGAATTTCCATGCAACGGTCGCCTAACTATAGGGTAGTCTGAGGGTGCCAATGGTGCCGGCCAGCGAGACAAGTGCAGCGGGATATGGCGAGAAAGCAACGAATGGAAAGAAGGCCAAACATCTCGGGCGTGGGCAAAGATAAAGTGCATGTCTGCATGTATAACATGTGTGTGTGTGCCCGCGTGTGTGAGGAAAAAGAGTGTGTGGCGTGCTGATGGGCAGACACATGGATGGATAGTGGTGTCATGGCCCGTTCTGCGCTGCATCTCCTTGGCCACTCCAGTGTCGAGGAATGGTTGTTTGTTCCCTGGATGCCTTGTTAGGGTGGAGATGGCTTGGGGGAGACAATATTGCCTTGCTGCCGGATGTAACTATTCCAAGGCTGTTTCCGTCGTCGGGGTCAGGAGAGGAGGTCTGAGAGCCGCGCCGACCAAGAGAGTAGACGTCCGGAAATAACGAGGACTACAGTAGATTTGCCAGTCGTCGGGCCGACGGAGCATGGAGCGGAGAGGCATCATGAGAGTTTGCACCCGCATCGCCCCGCGTCGACGGGCTCTGGCGATGCCTCACTGCACAGTAAGCATGCCAAATGCCCGCTAGGCATCACCGCCCTGGCGATGTGGTACTGACTAATGCCTGAGAGTTGCCGTTGCGGCGACATGACGTTGCCGCTCTCGGCCGTGGGTGGCGGAGGAGAGCCGACTCTGGAGAGGCATTACCAATACAGACGACGCCGGTGGGGCGTCTATGATGCAGCATTCAAACAGTGATTGTAGGTATCTGAGCTTCCCGGACTAGAATTTGCGCATCACGTATCCAAGTAGCCGTGTGTGCTGGCAGAGAGAGAGAGAGAGAGCGAGGCGTAAACCAGCGAGGCGTAAACCAGCGAGGCGTAAACCTTGTCTGTCGTCCCAGGACAAGAAGCAGGAGACGAAGAAGAAAAAGCCTTGTGCTCTCTCTTCCTAGGAGACGGAGCATGCCTCGCAGCGCAAACCGGGCGTGCCGGAGAGGCAGAGGCTGGCTGCCTGCCCTATGCACACACAGCATGCACGCACGCACTGCCTGGAGCTGGCACCCGCAGGCAAAGAACAGGGAAAGGGGACACGAAGCCCGTCTGTCTCTCGGTCAAACATGGCACAGGCAGCGCCGCGCCACCGCCTTGCCTTGTCTGCCTGAACGGATCAAGCCGTCGACTGTGATGGATGGCCTTGTCTCGTCCGGGGGGGCCTCGCGCACCGCATGAAAATCCAGCGCCGACGAGGGCCAGACTCTGACTCCTCGTCTGTATCATGCTCGAGTTTTTTTTCGTCCACCACCCAGAGCCGTCGGCTGGGCCAGGCCAGGCCGATGGTTGGTGGCAGGCCGGCGGCGCTATGCCCGTAGCGGGGAGTTGCAGGCCGGCTGGCCACTGAGAGAGGGCACCGGGGGGGGGGAAGGGGGGAGAGGGCTGGAGAGGGGGCCAATGGTGTGCCTGGGGCGTCCCCCCCTCCATTTTGGAAGCGCAAACAACACCTAGCCCAGCGGTGGGTGACCTTGGCCGGCGGTGGGTGGTGACCTTGGCCGGCGGTGGTGGTTTGTCACCTTTTGTCACTCGCCCACCCACCCCAGCGGGCATGCCCACGCGCTCCGGTCGCTGTAACCGTGGGTTTGCTGGACATGTACTGTACAGTACCTCCCTCCCACGCCGTGGTGGTGCCCGCCTCGAGCAAGCTACAGATGTGCTGTCTCCCTTGAGGTACTACTGTATGTACTGTATGTGCTGTATGTAAGGTACCTAGTTTGTACAATATTTTATTTAGTACCAGTGGTATAGCGTGGCCCGTGTTGCGCGTGTGCGTGTTTGCACGGCACAGTCCGTTGTACCTACTGGACCAGACGAGCACGACGTGGCGACAGGCGCTTGGCACTACTGTACTGTAGAGGGCGAAACCGACGCTCTGTCGTCGCCCGCCCAGGTGGCGTTTGGCCCGCCGCCCATGGACCAGCGCCTGACTAACAGGTACTGACTGCCATGCCGCATCTCTCGCGCCGTCCCCCCCCCCTGCTGGCCTGGCACTCAAGCACTCTCTCTGCTACCGGCCCCCTCTCCTTTCCCCTGCGCCCCCCCCCTTCTCCACCCGCTGCGCGCTCCGGCCACTGATGGCGCTCTAAATCCCCTCCTGCCACCCCCACTTTCCCCTGCCTCCCCCCCCCCGGGCGGCCAACCAGCGAGAGACGACCTGGCGAGCAGCGCTCAGCGCATTCAAAACCACCAGGCCGCTCGCCCTCGCTAGCCGTCGATGCTTCTCTTTCCCCCCCCTTCCTCTTCCCTCCCCCATCGAGCTCCAGCGTCGCCACGATGAAGTTCGATATCGGCCTGTAAACCAACCCCAGCGACTCGCCGAAGTCTGCTCTGGTGTTTCTGCCCCCCCATCTCCACTCCACGGCGCCGGGTTCCTCTTGTTCATGTTCCATCATCACTGCCTGTTCCAGTACCAAGCACACGTCTTTGTTTCCCCCATCGTCTCTTCTGCGCGCAGCGGCATTCACTTGTACCTTGCGACAGACGACGACGGACCCAACGGCGACGGACGCTCTCCTCTCCGCCCTTTCCTGTGGTGGCATCGTCGATAAGCAGCCGTCAACCATCCGTCATCTGCTGTTGCTCGCAATCCGCCGCCCTTTCATTTTTTTCTGGCCCCAGCCCGGGCACGCACCCGATTCCCCTTTTATTACCATTTCATTGGGTATATTTTTACCGTCTGTCCATAATCGTCTCCCTCTCCTGGCTCGAGCAAAGGCGCAGCAGCAGCCTGTCTCGACCCGTCCATTTTTAGGCGCCAAGCTCGACAGGGCCCCAGTCTAAAAAGTCATTCACTGCCTCCGAAGTCGCCTGCTGGCAACCAGCCCACGCAACCAGCCCAGCCCACTCAGCCGGCAACACTCGGTCGCCACCGAGCGCAAAACGAGTCACATCCGTACCCACTCTTTGCCTCGAACCACGCCACGCAACCCGGCCTGGTCGCCATCTCACCTCACCTTACCTCACCTCGCCTCGCCTCGCCTCACCTCACCTCACCTCACGCGCCTCTTGTTGCGTGCGACTCACCTCCGCCTGGCAGTCGACTCCTCCCAAAGACTCACCCGGTCCACGCACCCCCTTCTTGCCCAGATAAATACTCGCTCTGCTCGCTCGCACCATCTCTGGTATCCTCGGGTATCGCAACGCCAGCAACCTCACATCGGACCACCACCGCCGTCTCGTCCGCCGTCTCGTCACCACCGACACCTTACCTCCCCCCCCTCAAGATTTCTCTTCACTAGCCTTTCCCAAGAGCACGCACACGTCTCCGATGGTAGCCTGACCAAGCTACCGTCCCCCACTCTCCAGCTTGTCTGTCGAAGCATTTGTCGCAATGCCTCGTGCAAGCTACGTTCTTACCATTCCAGTCGCCGTCGTCCCAGTCTCGTCCTCCGGTCCGCTCCTTTGCGTCTACTCGGCTGTCCACAAGACACCCGCCTAGATCGCATCCACGCCCGCAAACCGGACCCTGTCTCTCCGTGCCTGCGGCAACTCGTTGCTGCCTGCCGGACGTGCACGGCCCTCTCCTCGACCCTCTTACTCCTCGGTTGGATGACCTGGGAACCTGACGGCGACTGGAATCATCAAGAAATACTACACGCGCAATAACAACCTGGCTTGAAACACCACCTCAAGCCAGGCCCCCTACTCACATACCCGTCTCATCTTACCAAGATGAAGTGCGACGCCCATCATCCGCTCGCCTTCGTCGCCACCTCCGCCCGATATGCACCCTCCAACTCTTCCTTTAGCTCTTCAGCTTCCGTCTCCGCTTGGTCTGACGCCACCTCGCACTCGCCCGACGACGCCTCCTCCGCGAACACCTCCGACTCCGACTCGTGCGACGGCCGCGCCCCCATCGACAACGCCGCCGCCCTTCGCCGCCCTCTTCCTCAGCGCGAGGTCGAACCCGTCGCGCCTGAGCTGCGGCTGAATCCCCGCCGCAACGCTGCCGGTTACCATGGACGCCTGGCGGCGCCCCCGGTGCTGGTCCGGCAGTCGGATCGCCGGATCAACTTTGTCGACAACCTGGTTGGTAGGTTGCCGCTCGTCTCTCTGCATCCCGATCCCTTACTTATCCCTTCCCGCCGCCGCAGACTCGTCCACCCAGATCGTCGAGGCGGTCTGGCCGCTCTCCTCGGTCGTCTGCCGCAATGAACCCGGCAGCAAGACCGTCCTCCCACTGCGCACCTTTATCCAGGAGACCCTCCGGCGCTCGCGCACCAGCTACTCCACCCTGCAGGTGGCACTGTACTATCTCATCCTCATCAAGCCCCACGTACCCAAGCACAACTTCACCACGGAGCAGCCTGATGACCGCGTCGCCGACCGCGCGCTCCAGTGCGGCCGCCGCATGTTCCTATCCGCCCTCATCCTTGCCTCCAAGTACCTACAGGACCGCAACTACTCGGCGCGCGCCTGGAGCAAGATCTCGGGTCTCAACACCCACGAGATCAACCAAAATGAGATGGCCTTTCTCCTTGCCGTCAACTGGAAGCTGCACATTGCCGACGATGTGTTCCATCGCTGGACCGACATTGTCCTCAAGTGCACGCCGCCACCGTTTCCGCCGTCACCCGGCGGCACATCCCAGTTCCTCGCCCACCAGACTGCCGACTGGAAGCACATCATTCTCCGACTGGATCCCGAGCTGACCAATGTCGAATGCCTCATCGCGGCCCCTCAGCCCAGCCCCGGCAGGCCGAGCGACCTGTCCGTTCTGTCGCCGCGGAGCATCCTCAACCTGCCTCAGGAGCCACCTCTGGCCGCTCCCGCCCCCAAGCCCGTCAACGTGCCGGCCTTCATGGAACCTACTCCGACCTCGGCGTTCACGACGGGTCGCTCGGCCCCGACGCTCGGCCTCTTGCCGACTCCGCGCCTGACCCCGCAGACGAACGGAATCTGCACTCCTGCAGTGAGTGCGGCTTCGCAAATCTTGGGCAAGGGTGGCGCCATGGGCATGGCCATGGCGCATGCGAGCTGCATCAGCACCGTGCAGAGCCTCGACCGCTTCCCCTGCTCCGTCACATCGTCGCCACAGGTCTACTGCCCTGTCCGCCGATCCTCGCTCGCCAACTCCGTCTCCACGGCGTCCTCCCCGGAGTCGATGGTGTCGGACTCGTCGCGCTCGTCGCGCTCCTCGTCCACCTCCTCTGTCTCGTCCCTCGCTAGCGCGACCCACTACAATAGCTCTGGCAGATGTAGCGTGCCGTCGCGATTCCGAGTGGCCAGGCTTTGGAACGACAGAGCATGCGCCAAGCCGACTGTCCCCTCGGTTCCCGAGGACCATGACGAGTGGTGCCTGTCGGCTTCTCCCGAGACGTACAACGGCCCGGTGGCGAAGCTCGGCGACCTGTCCCTGGACACCCCGCTGGCGAGACGCGAGCGTGAGCTGGATGACGTGGCCCGGGACGCCGTGTCGGACGCCGCCAGAGTTCTCCAAGACCTTCACAATCACGGATGCTCTGCGAATTCCACGCCGACGGCCAGAACCGGCCGCAAGCGAAGCCGGGCTGCGTCGACCAGCGACAACCCCCTGCAGGACAATGTCCGCGACATTCTTTCCGGCCGCCGCGGATCGTCTGCGTCGGCTTGGCCCGATGTTCTCGTGCGCCCCGGAGACGTGAGGGCCGAGGCGGGCATGCAGTTTCCCGTCCGTCCCACCTTGGGAGGGACGGGCAAGCGAGTCTGCTGCTCCGCCGAGGCTGCTTCCGTGTACCCTGCGCTCAGCCTTCGGGGGCCAGGCATGTGGGACGGCATTCTGAATTGATGGCGCACCCAGGGCTGCCTGCTGTGCTACTGCTTACATGATCTGGCCAATCGCATCCGTGGTCACCGAATCCGCATACCGGGCACCCGTCTCGTGTGTGTGACAAGGTTGACCTCTTGAAAAGCCACTGATTTACATTCTCTTTCGTTGACGCGTACGTGATGGGAAATGCTGGCACGCAGTGGGGGCAGAAGGGGCGTCTCTACCACGGGGTGACGGTGGTTTCTTTGTTCTAGCGATACCACACCCAGACGTGATTTGTTCCATCTCTTGAGCCCATAGAGAGCGTGTTGATGGCGTCGAGGGTATTGGGCTGAAAAGCACGGTAATCTGGTCGGTCGGTCACTCGTGATCGGGGGGCAAGGGCGTTGAAACAAAGGATGGGGTGAGGACGGGGAATGTGCCCCTGGCTGCTGTCGTGGTGGCTGCCGGGAGACGGTGGGAGCTGGTTTGTACGACTAGAAGACTTGGCCTTTTGGGGTCGCTTCCGGGAGGACATTACCGTGGGCGCCTCTGGCTCGAGTGCGTGCTCTAATGGTTGCATTCGGGAGTGGTGAATGGCACTTGCAGCTTGCAACGCGGACTTTGGCTCCTTGGTGGCGACGAGTGACGACGACCCTTGTGTTTGGCCTCGTGGATGACGGACGCTGGAACGTGACCCGACCCGAGAGTGTGTTGTCCGTCCTACGTATGGTGCTGGGCGGGAGAGCTATGGTGTCACGTGTGGTTTCTGACAGAGTCACGGCCCCTTTACCCTCGGCGGACATTGGTGCGCGAAGAAGAGTTACGGCGTGGCACAGCATGCAATTTCCACCATTTTTGACATCTCCTTGCCTCCATCCCCTTGTCTATCTGCTATCCCATTACCCTTGACTAACGACAGCCACCAAAGGGGTTGGAGGGATGCCAAGCGGTTCACGGGCTGGCCTGGCCTGCTGGTCGTTCTGGGGAGGGACAGGGGGCCAGCATGATTCCACAGGGCAAAGAAACCAGGAGGGGGAGAGGAAAGGGGAGGGAGGCGTGGAAGCGTTGACAGAAACTTGGCATCTCGGGCGACGACGACGACGGGTTATCGGCCTGGCGAAGTGAGTCATGCGCAACCCGTCGAGGCCGGCGGGATTTTTCCCTTGTGCCCCCCCTTCCCCCCCCCCACCACCGACGCCTGGCGACGTGGGACGAATGGGATTGCGTGATGTGAAGGGGAGGAACGCTGATGGTGCCACGATGGTGGCAGAGTGTCTTGTCCTTGGCTCACTGCGTCGGGCGCTTTTGATGATAAGGGGCGAGGGTGGTGGAACGGTGAGAAAGGGGGGGAGGGGGGGGGCGTCCTTGGCTTCACGAGGCGGGTCCCCGAGCGTGGCAGCTGCTGCCTGGCTGTTTCGCTGGGCAGCTCGACTCTCGGCATGGGAGTCGTGGGATGTTCACGGACGGCGGGATGTGCGTGCACCCCGGGGGCACCGCGAGACTAACACGCTGTCTGCCCGGGCGGATTGCGACCTGGGCTCCACTACCCGGCTCGTACCAAGCAGCCACAGCCAGGGTCGAGACACGAAGGAAGGGGTTACCTCGTGCTGCAGAGTATGCGCCGTGCTCACTGCGCGCGGCGGCGGAAGAGTCACGACCGGGGCGCTGCTCGGCGCGTCCGGCAAGCGAGGGCTGCGAAGCGGAAAGCGACGCAGAGGAGATGGGGACGCGGGGGCCTGGGTCATGCGGGCTGGCAGCAACCGGCTGGGCAGGCTGAGCTGGGTCTGCAGCCCTCCGGCTCCCTGGCCGCGGTGACTCATGTCGGCGTGCGCCGGGGGAGGAGGCGGGAGGAGGGCGTTGGCTTGCATGCCCACGTGCCCGTCACGACGCGGCTCCAACGGGGGAGTTTGGAACGACAAGGCAGCACGGCCTGGGGCTGGGCATCAAGGGCACAGAGGCTCAGGCACGACCGCCGGCGGGCCCGGCGTGATGCTGCACGGAGGCGGTGGCTGCAAAGCACCGGCGTGGAGCGAGCGAGCGAGTTCTCAAGAGCAAAGGGCTGTTTTGAGTGCACAATTTGGGCTTCGTTTACCCCTGCTTATCAAGGTAGGTGCTCCGAGGCAGCGGGCTAATCTGTGGATAGACGGCGTGTCGTCCGTTGGCAGCAAGCACTTTCCCGTGTGTGCTGTGCGGCTCCCCAAGTATGCTGCCCGGCCGGCCGAGCGCAACGTGTCCCGATCTCCCACCCGTATTGATCGATTCGCGCCCCGGGACGAACCCTCCCATCCCGTGTAAACGAGGGCGTCGCCGCCGTAGCGGATCCTGCTCCACGGAGAGGCATCCTGCCTCACCCGATTCTTGCCGTAGCCATGGCTCCTCACGCTTTCCCCCCTAATGCGCGGCCCAACGTCCGATCGGCCCCGGGTAATCGCTCAAGCCCAGGCTGAGGGACAGCGAGCTCCGAGCCCAGCGCAAGACGACCCTGCTCTCGCGCGAGTCCCCCCCCCACTCCAGCCGCTTGTCGAGGTTGGCGAGCGCCTTGGTGACGGCGTCGCGCGGCAGGTTGACAAAGGTCCAGGTGCCCATCATGCAGTTGACGACGAGCGCGCTGGGCTCCGGGGCCGAGATGACGGCGTTGTCGAGGCACTGCAGCCTCATCTCCCAGGGCGGCAGCGACCGCAGATCCTCGTCCATGCGGATGCCGCCGCGGGTGAGCCAGAAGAGGCGACGCAGCTTCTCCTCGTCCCACGGGCCGACGATGAGCTGCGCCGGCATGCGCGTGTGCGGGTGGACGTCGCGTGCGCGCCACTGGCGCGACTCTTCGAACCGGAGGTGCGTCCGCAGGGCCTGCTGGTAGTCGGCCTCGAAGCAGGTGCGGGCGTCAAAGTGGCCGAAGCCGCCTCGGTGGTCGTGGGGAAGCTCGCGGCTGTCGCCGCGCCACGGCACGCTGTGCTGGTACCAGCGGCCCCGGGCGTAGCGGTCTGCCCATGCCTGCTGTGCCTGCAGGATGAAGTCGATGTTGACCCACGGGAGCTCTAGCATGGCGCTCTGGGGGGTGTCGAGTCAGCCGACATGGTGGATGACGGTGCTCTCAGTCGCGGGGCCAGCATGTGTTTCTGCATACCTGGAGAACGGGGTCTCCCTGACACGGAACTTCATACTCGCGGGCTGACCGCGGGACGTGATGGAAGGATTGACTCTGGGGGATACCGAACCACTGCTCCCAGGTGTCGTGAAAGGCCCAGATGAAGAGGCGCAGCAGGGTGACCCGGTCCGAGAGCTTGACGCCGAGCAGGGGGCTGGCGCGAGGCAGGGCGATGTTGCAGCTGTAGAGCAGCACCGTCTCGAGGACCTCGCCGGGCAGAGACTCGAGGGTCGGGCGGCGGCGAGTCGAACGGCTGGCGAGGACCGAGGCCAAGGGCCGCTTCATCTTCTTGGGCGCTGGCGGGGCGGGCGACGGCCGCTTTGCGGTGGACGAGGAAGGTTTGCGCTTGCCCCTGATGCGGACTGGGGTTGAGTTCATGACCTGCAGGGCGTTGCTGGTGAATCTGCCGTATGCTCACGGCCGTGTCGACGCTCTCGACTTGGCAGGTATGGGTGTTGAGATTCACGATGCCGCAGCTCCAGCGTAGGCCCCATGAATGGGAACGTGGTCGGGGGGGGGAAGAAATAGTTGTCGACGGCAGTGAAAAAGACGGCAAACCAACGTCGCCGTTCGAGCAGAGAGCCGAGTGGGATGCAAACGAGCCTTGCGTGACGGCCAAGTGACTTGATAAGCGGGAGCGAGGTTGTCGCAGGATTCACATGCCCGGTGCGACAATGTTCCGCAAATGACGGCTTTCAGCAACGGAGCAAGTCGGGAGCCAAGGTGACGTGTAGTTTTTCCTTTTCTCTTGATGGCCTGGAGAAGATGACGGAGGGGGGGGCCGGCTGGGGCCTCGAATGCCGGAGCCCCTTGTTCGGTCGTGCGATGCTGTCGCTGAGGAGGACGAAGCTCTCTCCGGGTGTGCTTTTCGGCAGTCGCTGCCTCATTGAGAGACGGGTGCATGTTGCAGCTCTCTTGTCGCCTGCATTGTGCGCGGCAAATCCGGTAAAAGATCGCATCCGAGCAAAGAATTGTATCGATACTTTGCAGAGTCCAATGATGGAGCTGATGACGCCGTGAGGAGGACAGGCCAGACTGGCGAATAGGCCCTGGAGCCCGACATGGCCCGTGCACGACAGCGATGTCAGGAAAAAAAAAGTGCCTCTCGACAGGGCAAGCGGCAGTTCCATCCATCCCGGCTTCTCGACAAGCAACAACGCTGCCTCGACAAGGTCCCGCACCGCAGCCCGAGGGCAGACTTGCACGCCCAACGCCGCTCCGTCGTCGGCATGTCCGTCGTCGGCATGCAGCCCGCAGTGCGACCGACGGCCCCGTCCCGCAGCCTGCTCCGATTCCTGCGATGCCAGACCGAGGCCGTGCTGCACGCGCCCGCCGCCGGTGCGCAGCTCTGTCGGCGCGCGCGGGAGCCGGGCTCGCCCGCCCGAGGGGGCAGCGCCAGAGGGGGCAGCGCCCGCCTCCTGTCGACGGCCTGCTGGCGAGCCCAGGCGCAGCCGAGCCCCGGCTTCTTCTACTCGACGGCCTATGCCACGCGCAAGCCTGGCGAGCCCGCAGCCCCCAAGCGGGAGCGCGCGGCGACATGGCAGGAGAGGCTCTGGGGCAGCACCGCGCGCAAGGGTGCCAAGCCGCTCAAGCCCGATGACCTCCCCTCGCACGAAGACCTCGCGCCCTCGTCCACCATGTTCAACAGCCGCCGCGTCCAGACGGCAAAGGCGGCGCTCGAGCCCAGGCTGCGGTGCACCGAGGTGGACGAGCACGGCAAGGTCATCTTGGTCGACGGCGAGTTCAAGAAGACGGAGCTCATTGCCAAGGTGCGGATGCGTCGCCGGCTCCGTGTCCGCTCTTCGGATGACTGACGTCGTGTCTAGTTTGGCCTGCTCCCCCGCGACTTGCGCAAGATCGATTCCTCCAACCTGCCTCACATCCTCGTCCGCCCCTCAGCCATCCTCCTCAACCTGCTCCACCTCAAGGTGCTCATCAAGCACGACCGCGTCCTCCTCTTCGACGTCTACGGCTCCAAGACGTCGTACCCGCAGTCGGCCTTCATGTACGACCTCCAGGGCAGGCTGCAGCAGAAGCCGTCGCAGGGCTCCAGCGGGCTGCCCTACGAGTTCCGCGCCCTCGAGGCGGTCCTGACGTCGGTCACGTCGGAGATGGAGGCCGACTTCGAGGCGGTCCGGGAGCCCGTCATGCACATCCTCAGCGAGCTCGAGGACGACATCGACCGCGACAAGCTGCGCGTCCTGCTCATCCTGTCCAAGCGGGTGAGCACGTTTGAGCAAAAGGCCAAGCTGGTGCGCGACGCCATCGAGGAGCTACTCGAGGCCGACGACGACCTGGCGGCCATGTACCTCACCGAGAAGACGCACGACCTGTACCGGGGCATGGACGAGCACACAGAGGTGGAGATGCTGCTCGAGTCGTACCACAAGCTCACCGACGAGATTGTGCAAGAGGCGGGCAACCTGGTATCCGGGATCCGCAACACGGAGGAACTGTAGGTCCTAATTGCCGTGTAATGTGGCGGGTTTTCGCTGACAGGCACGCGGCTAGCGTCCGGGCGATTCTCGACGCCAACCGCAACTCGCTGATGCTCATGGAGCTCAAGTTCAGCGTGGGCACGCTGGGGCTGGCCATGGGGACGTTCCTGGCGGGCCTCTACGGCATGAACCTCAACAACTTCATCGAAGAGACGGGGTGGGGGTTCGGGGTGGTGACGGGGACATCGATGGGCTTTTCGCTGCTCGTGTGCTGGTACGGCTTGGCCAAGCTGCGCAAGGTGCAGCGCATCAAGATGATGAGCCACGAGCACCCGCACCTGCCGCGCGGCCTGGCCTTTCGAGAGGACGGGGCGCTCGGGCTGCTCGACTCGCGCAACCGGGAGATGCTACGGCGCGCGCACATGCAGCGAGCCAGCTGGGCCACGGCGTCCAAGAAGAACTGGCTCAGAGCGTGGAGGTGAGTGCGAACATGACGATGAAGCGAGGCGAGGAGCACATGGAACTACATGTGCATGTATATATGGATATATGGTCTCGGGAGATGGCCTCGCGTGCATGTACGGACTTGTGCCGCCATTGGGAGTGCCGCATTTGTCGAGGATGAGATTCCCCCCGGCGTTGGACAGGATAGAGCTTCTCCCCCCCCCCCGCGTACCAATACATGGATATGCATGCAATCCCATGTTCTGAAGAGGCGACGAATGGCTGCGACGGCTGCGTGCTCGGCACATGCACACCGATGGCTGCTACGGCAGATGGCTTGACTTGTCGGCGGTGACGGGCAGGGCAGCTGACTTGCGAGAGGCGACGTCATGGCGGAGACGCATTTGGGGGCTGGCTGCAAGAACAGACATGGTCGCGGCGCCAAACTGCAGGCGGACCGAGGCGTATTCGTCAGGTAGACGATGGTGTCTCTGGAGCCCGAGAGAGCCCTAGGGAGCCCTGTGCCCAGGTTTGGAGGAGAGGCGTTAATTACCGCTTTCCGACGAGGCGGTAATTAAGGGCTGTGCGTTTACCTGTCTTGTAAGGTGGTGGCGGTGTGCGCACCAACACCACAGTTGCCATCACGGCCCTGTCTGACTGATCGGCAAGATAGAGAGAGACAACATGTCGAGAAAAATCAAGGCACGCACGACGAGCCGCATACGTCAAAGGCCCACGCCATGGTGACGTGACGCCACCCTCTCTCCCTCTCTCTCGGCTGTCTGGCTGCGGCAGGGGGGGGAGCCCTGTCCGCTCGTTGGAGGACGGACCGTTTTATGATGATGATTTATTCAGTTCGGGAGGTTCTTTCGGTCAAGTACATACTGTAATTAGTGCATGTGGGTTTGACCGGGGGGCGGAGGACATGCGCCGGGGATTTTGAAAGCGGGGCGGAGAGGCGGGAGGACATCGAGATGGCAGGAGCCTGGCGGCATCTGTAAATGCATACCGCGCTGTAATTGCATGCACGCACGGACATGCAGGCACCGGCTTCACACGCGGTGCGCACTCCTCTGTACCACTCGGCCGCTCTGCAGCCCGCAGGTACCTATGCATTCGTACCGACCACAGCTCCAATGCATCTATCCCCTTGCCAGCGCCCCGCCCCTCGTATCCATCGGCCGTCGCGTGTTGTCTGACTTCCCTCATTTTCTTTGGCCCGTCAGGCAGAGGAGGCCTTGACGTCACAGCCCGCCGCCCGTTTCAACACACAGAGCGTGTATGGATACTTGCCAGGGAACAGCCAAGAAGGCCGGATGTGACGAGGGTGGACCAATGGCGCTTGTGCTTGCCTTGCTTGGGCCGTCATGTAACCCCAAGCATCGTGTGTGGCGCGTGGGTGGTGAACCAGGTCTCTCGACTTGGGGATATAAATGTGCCTGAGTGTCCCTGCTCCCCCCCTGCGTGCAAACAGTTCGTTACTCTTCTCCCAATCTCTTCCTCCCATACACACCCTCCTCCCTCATCCTCCCGCACACACACAAAATCCCATCTCTTCCAGAGCTTGCAAACATAATCACCACCACAACCACCACCTCCACCAAACCTCGTCGCGCCACACCGCAACCATGGGCGCCGTCGTCTCCTGCGTACGTTTCCCCCCATCTGCGTTTCCTCATCCGCCGTCGAAGCTGGCTGACTGACCCTCTCGCCTGCAGATTCGATCTGCCCTGCAGACCATCGGCGGCTGCATCATGGCCGTCATCAGCGGCATCGGCGGCATCCTCCAGGCCATTATCAGCGGCATCGTCTCCTTCTGCGGCATCGTCGTCTCCTTCCTCACCTGCGGCTACTGCGGGAAGCGCCGGCGTACGACTAGGAGTCGCGTATAGCCGGCAACCACCCGCTCGTCCACGCACTCACGCTTCTTCCATCCACTCCATGAGTTGACCAATCGCTCAAGAGGAGACATGTGAAATGAAAGACGACAACAGAGTAAGAAGCTGGGCTGCCGGTGCTGGGGGGCAATTGAGACCGAGGCACGACGAGTCGAGAGAACTGCTTTCGACGAGATGCGTCATGATTTTTTCTTTTGGACCTATGGTCGTCTGCGTGCTGCATAGGGATACCCACGGACTCTTTGGAATGGGACCGTTTACTTTTAATACCCCATCCGCAATCGATTGTTAGTTGTTAGACAATACACAAAGTACAATCATCACGGACAACTTGCAACTGCTGCTAAAGTGAAAATCCGGGTATCGTTTGTCTCTCTTGAACGCTTGCTCCTCCTCCCTCCCGTGACTCTTCCTCTGCGCACGCGTATATCCAACACTGAATACACATCAATCCTCCTCTTCCATGACGTTGCGGTTAAAGAACCCATGAATCGCCTTGCCGGCCGCCTTGCCCACCATGGGCTCTAGCTCCGTGACTTCCATGTTGACCACCTCCCGCATGTTCTCCGTCGCCAGGACCAGGTTCTTGATGTTCTTGGGCGTCACGCCAGGCACCACGGCCAGCATTTCCTGCGGCTCCTGGTTAAATGCCTGGTCCTCGGCCTTCATGTCCTTGTCCAGCCCTGCCTGCACCGCCGCAATCGGATCCGGCTCCTCCTCCTGCGCCTTGAGGCTCTCGAAAATCTCCGCAGTCTGGAAGGGAGACGACGACCAGATGATGCGCAGCTTCGGAAACGCCAGTGTCAAGAGCACCAGCTTGGACTGCAGGTCCGACGACACGTTGGTCGGCGCCACGCTGCTCAGGCTGCCCGAGAGGTCCGCAAAGGGCTCCAGCGTAAACGACTTGTTCTGGTCAAACTCGATCAGGAGCATCGGGTTCCTGTAGTGCAGGAACATGGTTTCCGCCTGGCTGTACAGCCGCCCGTCCCTAAACGACGAGATGAGGTCGCTGACCGACTTGCGTTCGACGCAGATGCTCGGCGACAGGATGTAGTCGCCCACCGTGAGCATGCACGGCACAATCACCATGGACCGTCCATGCAGCAGCGACGGCAGCGACGACCTAAACTCTCGCACGTCCACCACGACGCGCGGCGGCTGCGCCGTCGCCGCCAGCCTGCCGCCGCCTGCGATCCTCGTGTTGACGGTTCGGAGGAAGGCCTCCTGCGGGTCCTCGATGCCGTGAGCATCGACCGTCATCACCACAGACATGCTCGCCCGTTCCTTGATGGCCTTGGTAAAGGCGTCCTTTTCCCGCCGCACCGACGACAGGTAGCGCTGCTCCTCGACGGAGCCACCGTAGTACATAAAGTAGACCCTCACGTTCCTGTCGTTGTGGGACGATCGGTAGACCTCGACCCGCCGGATGAAGGATGCCTCGGGCTCGTACATGATGATGTACCGCGGCTTGATCTCCTCCAGAACGTGCTCGTCCTGGTCTCCGTCGTAGGCGTGCACCACGACCAGGTCCTGCATGTCGTACAGTTGAAAGAAGTCTTCCATGTTTTCGAGCGGGTCGGCGGCCAGGTCCTCCTTTTGCAACGCTTCCTCCTCGGTGATCTGCACCTCCGCCATGAGGTCGGCAACCTCGGCGGGCTTCTCAAAGTACTGGGCAATGACGCCGTTCTCGGTCCGCCCTCCCGATACACCGGCATTCCCTCCGCCTCGGACTCTGCGCCTCTTGTTCGCCGAGGCTTTGCCGCCTCTCGTGCCCCCGTGACCCGGTCGGGAGTCGGCTGCGCCGTTGAGCGCCTTTTGGTTCTCCGCAAACAGCGTCGCGCTGACCTGGGCAAACTGCTTCTTCCACTTCAGGTAATTGCGCAGTCGTCTTCTCATCATAAAGGCTGCCGAGGCGGTGTGAGCATCGTCCGCGTCCTCCGCGTTCTTGTCCGTCTTCGGCTTGACGTGCATTGTTTGTAGGTAGTCGCGCAGTTGCCTGCACGTGTCGGTACTCGAGCACATGATCAGAATGGTCCCGTTCGAGTCGTCCCTGGCAGGGGGCTCAAAGTACAGATCGCGGTCAATCTCCTCGAGGACCTCGGCCAAAAGACTCCACTTGGGGAGCTCCTCCAACACCGGACGCAACGAGTCAATGTTTTCGCCTTGCGGGACAGCCTTGGGGCTGGCAGAGTAAACCCTCCTCCGCGCCGTGTCGAATATGGTCTGGGCGGCGTCGAGAAACAGCCACGGAGACTGGGACTGGCGCGTGGACCCTGGAGGCGGCGAGTGGGCGGCGTGGATGGTGTCGAGGTGCTGGAGAAAGGATACCGCATCGTAGGTGAGCACATTGTTGAGCAGGCCGCGAAGGACACTCAGGTCGTTGACAATCTGCCGCGTTTTCCAGCTGACTCGATGCCAGTTTGGGTCCAGTTGCCGGCGGACGATGACGTCAAAGTTCTTGAGTAGAGCGCTGTCCAGGTTCCAATCATCCATCTCCAGACCCGAGTTTCCTTTCTTGAGCTCGTGGATGCTGACCTCGACGCACTCCATGATGGCGTTCTGAACATCCCTCATCGAGTCCGTCATGGGGACTTCGAGCTCGATGACCTCGGCCTTCTTCTTGCCTTCGAGGGACTGCGCGACGGTGACGTGGAATCGCGGCCAGAGAGAGGCTTTCTTCAGAAACAGGTTCCTCATCATGGTGGCCAGGGGCGAGAAGCCCATGGCAAAGGCATCGGGATTGTCCGAAAAGGCCTTCAGAAAGCCGACCTTGTTCTTCTGCCGGTATACACGGAGGATGAAGGCCTCGAGGGAAGTGACGATGACGCGATCGGCATGGAGAACGACGAGGCCTGTGATGGTGACGGGATCCAGGAGGCCGGTGAGAAGATCGACGACGAGGATGCGCGACGTGATGCTGAAGATGCCGCCGCCGGCATACATCTTTTCCCTTGCGCCGACGCTCTGGAAGTCGGTGTTGACCACCGTCAAGCCCCGGGCCTTGGGAGAGGCGCTGATGGCGGCGTGCTCGGCCAATGCCTCGCCGATCCAGCCATTTTCTCGCTCGTCTGCGCCAACAACGACAATGAGGTTGTTGCCGGCAGCGTCGTACGAGTGCAGCAGATTCGTGACGAGGCGCATCAGCCCGAGACCACGGGCGAGGACCACGAGCTCATCCTCGGCGCGGAGCTCCTGAAAGAGATCCTGTTGGTATTCCTGGAGAATGGTCAGCGCCGGACAGCTGGACGGGGAGGGCGGTCTGACCAGGGGCAGCGAGAGCTTCACTGGTTGCGGCGCATTGCTCGTCGACATACGGGGCACCGTGAGTGCTGGGTGCTGCGAAGCCACCGACGGAGCCGAGTTTGTCGAGTTCGGAGCGCCGTCTCTCTGCTGAGGTCGGCTCGCCGTGGGAAGCTGAAGTCGAGTTGCGACGCCAATCAGGTGTCTCGGAATTGACGAGGGTTGAATGCGCACTGTGCCGATCACCCTCATCGGCCCGTGAGCCTTGACTCAGGCGGGGTGGTTTTAGTACTGTCGACTGTGCAACCACGAACCGAGAGCCGAAGCTGCCCGGCATCCCGTGGGAAACCACTGTGACATGGCGAGCTATCTGCTTACAGACAGACGGCCTGAAGAAAGATGGTGTGTTGACCTCAGGGAGCAGGGAACGCTTACGTGCCACGCACACGCGGACAAGAGTGCAGTGCTGTGAGACAGTGTATACAGTGTGAGTTAGAACTGTCAAATCGATCGCCTGTTGGCAAGTCAATCCCGACTCTGCAGCCACCCGGGTGAGCATGAATGGATCTGCCGCCGCAGCCCGCCCGCCCTGTTTCATTATGCTCTCTCTATACGTCATCCTCCGTTTTAGCGAGGGGCAGGTTCTACAAATACGCCCGAGGGGCCGTCTGAGCTCGCCCTGGCCGGTCAACTACTCGCGCTCTGAGTTCTTTCCTCCATCCTCGAGTCTCTCCTCCGTCATCGCAGATAACCGCCGTTTGATCATGGACTCCTCCAATACTCAGAAGAAGCAGGTATGCGCTGAACCGTTCATCCCCCGGCACTTAGCAGAGGCTGACGACTTGGCAAGGGTGGGGAGAAGGAGTTTAGCATCCAGCCCATCAAGGACAACGGCGATTGCAACAACACTTCGGCGGCCGCCGCCATTCACAGTGCCAACCCGGGTCCTGTCATTCCCAATGAGATGCCCGAGCAAGAGGGCACCGAGCAGGACCGCAAAGCCAAGATGGAGGCGCTGAACAAGTAGCAATAGCGTTGGAACACGGCACCCGTCCATGGACCGTCGTTGGAAGTTGTACGAACTTGAGTGCTATTCGTCAGACTTGTTTTATTACGTTTGTGGAGGGAAACGCCGTCGACTGCTTGCTTGTACGGTGGCTTGTGTATCTATGCTGGGCCGAATCATGACACCCAGCTGGGCTGGGGCATGGCCCGAGGCTGATGAGTTGTGCAGAAGACTTGGGGTCACACGGGTTTCGTTCAGCCTTGGGACAATCAAAGAACTTGAAAGCAAAATATTGCCGGTCGCAAGGCACACAAGTTGAAGAAAGAAGGCGAGCGAACAGCTTCAGTATTCGCCTGTCGACTCCACGATGACGCAGTCGTTTGATCCACCCACCCTGTCCGTGCTGTGGCTGTGCCTACTCCATCACTGTGGCTGAAGCCGCGCAGCGTGGGTGGGCTGCGGGTGGGCTACAGGCAGCGTGCTTCGTTGGAGACGGACCGACCAACAATCATCTCCTCTCCTCCGCAACGGCAGTCCCCTCGACGCCATTCGTGCTATTTGCCCCGGCTAGCGAGAACACCCGAAAATCGCTGCTCGGATCTCGGTGCAGCGGCGACACTCTCTTCTTTCGGCTGCTTTTCCGTGCTTTGGCCTTTGTCAATCCTCTCGGCTGCCTCCCAACCGCCCGCCGAAGCCACCGACAGCAATCTCCGGATGACAAGGGCGGCAGCGTCAGCTCGACCATCCACGCGTATCTAGCACGACGCATCCTTTCATGAAGCCATCTTTGCTTCCAACTCTTCCCCTACGATTTTGGAAGGCGTCTCCAGCATCACCCCAAGCGTCCTCGTATCGCCGCCGCCATGCCGTCCATCCTCAGTGACGAGGACAAAGACACTGTCAAGCGTTTCGTCCCCAAGCAGTCCAACAAAATCCAGGCCGTGGCCGTCGCGAGGCTCTACGTTGCCTACCCCAACCGATCGAAATGGACCTACACGGGCGTCCAGGGAGCTATCGTCATCGCAAACGATCTGGTGGGCAACACATTCTGGCTCAAAATGGTGGACATATCGGTGCGTGCGACGCTCAGTGTGTAGCCTACGAGTTTGACACTGACCATCACGCCGTAGCCCTCGGGACGAGGAGTCATTTGGGACCAGGAAATCTTCGATACCTGGAACTACAACCAGGACCGGACCTTCTTCCACACCTTTGAGTTGGAGGACTGCCTGGCGGGCCTCAGCTTTGTCGACGAAAAGGAGGCAAAACAGTTCAAGAAGAAAATGGATGAACGCGAGAAGAACGCCAGCCGCGCGACGAGATCGACTCCCTTTGGCGGTGGTTCCCAGCCCGCTCCAAAACACGGCTTGCTAGGTGGTTTTTTCCATCGTCACTCATCCGCTCCGGCGCCAGCTCAAGCTACCCAGCCCAACCACTCTGCGCATCCTGGCCATCACTCTTCAATGTTGGCCCCGAGCACCAATGGCAGTGACCACCCCTCGGAATTTGCCCTGCTTGACGCCTTTGACCCTCTGTGGCGGGAGCACTTTGGTCAGGATTTGAGTGACAAAGGGTTGACGGACGACTTCATCAAGGAAAACCAGGAATTCATTGTTGACTTTCTGAGGGACGAACAAGCCAAGGTAGCGAGCCAGGTGGCACCGCGCCCCCCGACCCTATCCGGACCTCCAGCACTGCCTCCTCCGCCCCCGACAAACGGCCACGATTCGAGGAGCGTAAGAGCGCCGCCGCCTCCACCTCCTCCATCCGCCGGCGCTGCGAACCCCTCTTCTCCGTCGTCGGCCAAGAGAGCAGTTCCGCCGCCGCCGCCGGCACCAAGGCGATCTGGCAAGGTTGACCCGTTGCCACGGGAGGAGAGCCCTCCCCGGGGGCCCTCCCCTCCTCGGCCAAGGTTCAATGCCCCCCCCCCTCTGCCAGAAGCGGGCAGATTCGTGAGCCAGGACAAGCCAAAAGCTGCCCCGCTGGCCAACCCTGGGCCGCCCCCTCCTCCAAGGCCTGCCAAGACGCCGATCGAGCCCGAGAGCCAGAGCCACAAATTCGGGGTTCCCTCACCCTTCGCAAGCCAGCGCATGCCGCCTCCTACGCCCAGCCGTGGCCCTGTGCCGCCGCCGCCTCCCTCGAGAAGCAACGACAGCCAGTCTGGGCATGCGCCGACCCCTCCGCCACTGCCGCCGAAAGTGCCGACCGGAAATGCCCCTCCTCCGCTGCCGCCATCAAGTTCACGGCCGGTTCCTCCTCCGCCGAACGGCGACGGGCCTCCCCTTCCGCCTCCTCCTCCTCTGCCATCGTCTAATGCTCCTCCACCGCCTCCCCTGCCGTCATCAGACGCGCCACCGCCGCCCCCCCTGCCGTCATCAGACGCGCCCCCGCCGCCTCCCTTACCGTCGTCAAGCGCTCCTCCACCACCTCCTCTACCGTCGTCCAGCGCTCCTCTGCCGCCTCCTCTACCATCGTCGACTGCTCCGCTCCCGCCCCCGCCCCCGCCGATGCCAGCCCCATCCGGCAGTGGCCCTCCTCCGCCTCCGCCGTTGCCCCCCAATCGGGACTCGGGTTACGCATCGGGGTTGTCGGCTCCAGCGTTGGCATCCCCCGACAAGGGACGATCAGCCATGCTGGGCGATATCCAGAAGGCGGGTGGCATTGGCGCACTCAAGAAGGTTGACAGGAGTCAGATCAGAGACCGAAGCGCCGCACACGTCGGAGGGGGTGGTGACGCGGGGGCTCCGCAGGCCGGGGCCGCGCCAGGTGGTGGCGGCGGCGGCATGGCCGATGCTCTGGCAGCAGCTCTGCAGAAGAGAAAGGAGAAAGTCAGCAAGAGTGGTGAGTATCCAGTCATGGATGAAAAGACGACACATTTGCTGACACAAATATCCAGACGACGAGGCCGATGACGATGATTGGTGAGAAGATGGACTGCGCAAGAGAAGGGACGTACGTGACGTGCTGGCCGAGCACGTTGTGGCGACTTATGTGTGATCGCGGTGAATGTGTATTGCAGAAAATCTGTTCCTTGCTCGCCGTGCTGCGGGCAGGGGCGGCAGTGCCGACAGCATTAAGGGGATTCTCAGCTAGTGGAGCTTCTGATTTACCCGTTGGCTCTCAGGCGAGCATGTCGATTGATTCAGATGCCTGACCCAAAGCGAACCTGAGGAACGGCGGGGACGAAGAAAAGGAACCGTATTCTCTCCATTGGGGAGACTTTGTGATCCAGGGGATACCGTCTGGGAGTAAAGAATGAGACAAAGCTAGCGAACGATTACGTTTACGGGAACAAGCATATATTTATTTATCGGGCCATGATGGTCGGCCCGTGCAAGTGATGACAAGCAAGTTCTCATATTCATAAGTACGGGATAGAAACAACGTCAAGTAAACAAGATGACGGACAGTGACGTCTCTCCCACCACAGCCGTCCAACCTCCGCCCCCACTCCTGTCGTGGGACCCGGTGAGCAGCAGGTGCTCGACGGGCCAGAGAGAGAAGACAGTGTGTGACCCCAGCAGCCCATTAGGGGAGATGACTGCCCTGACGAAGGGGAACTCGCCATTGGTGCTGCGCGGGAGTGAGAGCGCGCAAGAAAACACGCGTAGCCTTGTGTAGGCATGTCAGAGCGACAAGGCTTAGATGTCGTCGATATCGACCTCCTTCTTGACCCCCGGCTCGTCAGAGTCCTCTTCCGAATCAGCGTCGCCGAACTCGAAGTAAGCCTCGCCATCTTCGCCCTGTCCAAAGGAATCCGTCTCGTTGATCTTGGCGTGCTCGGGCAGTTCGCCGTACGACTTGAGAGATCGAGCCTCGTCGGCGGTATACTTGAGGATGACGTCGCCCTTGTTGTCCTGGAAATCGCGGAGCGAGAGGAGGATGATGTCGCCCTGGTTGATCCAGACCTTTTTGCGCATCTTGCCGCGGATCTATGGGATGTCACGTTAGAATAATTAATTTGCGGAGGATCACACCATGCAGTCAGTGAGCGAAGGAGAGCGAGTGATGTTGCCCCCTTTCTCACAGGGACATGGCGAAGACAGTCGAGCGGCTTCTATACGAAGCAGGAAAAAGAAAGAAAGATAAAGAAAAAAGGGTGAAGAGGGGGGAGGGGTCAAGGGATCAGCGCGGGGAAGAAATCGACGTACGTTGGCAAGGCGCTTGCTGCCGTCAAAGCACAAGGCCTCGAGGCGCCCGTTGCCGAGCATCTTGATGACCTGGGCGTACTCCTGGCCGTCCTCCTTGAAGGTCAACTCTCGGCGCTGGTCATCATTTTCCTTTGTTCCTCTTCTGCGGTTCTTGCCGCCCTGTGCATCATCAACCAGAACGTCAGCAGCGCGACATCAAAAACCGCCATGGCGGGGGCGGGGCACCACGGCATTGGGTTAGGGGGGGAGGGGCTTCCTTCGCACCTTTCCCTTGTTCTTGGGCATACTGCTTGCCTGTGGTCTGTTGGCCCTGAGTTGCGGTTGAGAGAAGGCGAGAGGACGGAATGCAGTAATCAGGCACTGAGGATGCAAGGTGGAGGAGGGGGTTGTCGGTCGCGAGTTTGGCGGTGCGGTTTTGCAGCTGTGTGGCGACGCATGCGCTGGGCGGTGGGTCGCTTTTTTTTGTGGTGGTCGGCTGGGCGCCTTTGCATGCGGGACCGAGCGCTGGTTGGGCTTGGGGCTAGAGGCTGGAGGGCTGGTTGCCTGATCTTGCCGGGACTTGTGCGTGGAGTCACTGCTGCTACCAGACTACTCAGCTGCAGCAGATGATCTCTGCATGAAGAGCTGTAAGTCGCTATCAATCTCACGACAAGCTGATCCATTGGCTCAAGTCCCTCTGATCAGCAACTTGGCAGGCGTCAAGCCACAGGGGAATTACCTAATCAGGTGCTTAATTTCCAGCCGCAGATGGTCCGCGGAGGGACTTGCTTGTTATCGTGAAGACCAGCTTAAGCTTCAGGACGAAGCCTGCCCACGACGCTGCATCTCATGAGGATCAGTTTCCAGTCTTGACGGCGCGGCAACAATGCTCGAGGCAGGGTCGACATTCCTGGCGACATGGCGGCAGCTCGAACTCTCCCTGGGCTGGGGCCAAAGCTCTCCTCCACATTGCCAACTTTATCGTTGCGCCTCCTCTACACCGCTGCGCCAGGACAGGGCGGCAGAACCCAATATCGAGACGAAGCTCAAAGGGACATTTCCGTGGACCGAAGGCAATCCGCCAAACCGCACGGTGCACGCGTCGCTACGCGCGACAACGTCCACGGCGACAGAGCTCAGTACCGGGGCCGAGTCCAAACCGACCGTCCAGAGGATGGACGCAGACTCGTCAAACCGTATACGCGCAACAATGTCCAGGGCGGCAGACCCCAACAGCGAGGCGGGGTCCAGAGGTACGTTGCCGAGGACGCACGTAAATTCGTCAAAACATCCGGCACGCTCCTTACGACGCGCGAGAACGTCCGGTTTCTACTCGAGAACGACATCGAACCCGACAATGCCAGGATGAGGCCCTTCACCTCCCAGCCCGAGATGCGCAAGATTTCTGCCGAATACCGTGCCAAGATTGCTTTCAGTTCTCGACACGTCCTGCACCCGTTCGACATGAAGTATTTCGACCCCAAGGGCCACCCTCTAGCCGCCATGACGAGGTCCCGGTACGCTCGCAGGAAGCTGGACGAGCCGCTGTGGATCATGTTCACGACACGCGCCGCCGGTGCGTCGGCCGTGGTTCGTGGTCTCACGCAGAGACGGTTGGCGGGTGCGCTCCATGGAGCTCTGGAGGAACTGGGCTATACACTTGCTCCCGGGCTGGGTGCTCGCAAGGAAATCCGAGGGACTTTATGGATCTCCCTTCTGGACCCCATCGCCACGGCAGCCAAACCTGCCCAGCGGTTCGGCAAGGAGGTTGCCGCGGCTCTGGACAGAGAGTGCAGCCGTCGGAAATGATTGTGCGAACCTCTTTGCTCGGGGTCTCTGGGCCATGGATGCCTCTCAGTGCTTACTCGGGCGCTCATTCAGTTGCTCCCTAGGTGGGCTCCTAATGGGCATCCTTAGTGTATATACATTAGCTGAGGGTTGGCCCCCCTGACCTAACGCCCATGTTACGGGGTAGGCAGAGGGATGTGCCGCTGGTGCCTTCCGTTATATTATGACAACAAGCTAAGTCAGCCCACCTAAAGTCCGGCACACCCCAACACCGGCACTCTCCATAACACCATCGCGTCGTTAAATACATTATATTGCAACCGCGTTTTCTCGTGCATCTCTTGCCTTATAATTATAAAATAAATACTATTTATATTAGCAATGCCTCGGCTTTCTAAGTATACCGAAAACCAGCTCTAAGAAGCACTTAAAGCTATTAAAAACGGGATACCTTAGCTTTATACTAGTTAAAAGTAGGGTATTCTAAGAGGGACCCTCTATATATATCTTAAAGGGGCTCTGCCTATTAAGGAGGCAAAAGAGGCATATTAGAGGCTTAGCCGAGAGTAGGAAAAACACCTTACTAACTAGGTTCTTGCCTAGGCCGCCCTTAGGCTACCTCTAATATATTATTAGGTTAAGGAATTTACTAGCTATATCGTTAAGGCCGGCGGCGATACCCGTCCGCTTAAGAAGTAGTAGATTTTAGGCCTTTTAGCCCGGAACCTAGAGATTAGTACTATTAAAGGTAGATCTCTCGATTTTACTCGCGTTAACGGCGCCTTTATAGTATTACGACCACGGTTAGCGGGCCGTAGGAGAGCCGGCCACGTTTAGGTAATAAGGCGGCTTAGAATAATAGTCGGGACGAGAAGTCACTTAGGCTTAGCTTACCTAGAGCATACGTAAGCTAAGTAAGCCTTATATAGATAGATTACTACTTAGGAATATAGCTTACGAGTAAGCTATAGTAAGCTATAAAGGGGATTATAGCCCTAGCCGTAATCTAAGGATAGTCTCTATAAGTATATATAGCTACCTACTTTTACTCTTTTAGATAGATAGCTCTCTAGCTTTTAATATAAATCTTTATTATAATTCTATCTTTAATTCTAATTACTTAGTTATAGTCTATAGTCTATAGCCTCTAACTTATTACTAACGTAATATATATATTATTGCTTAGACTACGCCCTATTATATCTATTAATATAAACCCCCTTAATAGGTTTATCCCTTAAGAATAATACTAGTTATTATATATTAAAAGCTCTTATTTAGTATAATACCGCGTTACTTTAAGTAATATTATAACTATTAATATACCTATATAGTAAACTAGATTAACTAACTCTAGAGCTACTATATCGCCTTAGGATATAATACGCGAGATTATTACCCTTTAATAAGAGGTATAGTTACTTAAGAATAAAGGAGGTAATAGATAAGTTAGGGACCTTAGAGAAGTAGTTAAACTAAAGTAGCTAGGACTATTTAATAGTACTTATAGTACTCTTTAAGACTTTCTTACTTAACTTAAGGCCTACTACTAGTTTTACTTAACGAAACTTTTAAACCTAGTTAAAAAGGTACTTTATATAGGAAATTATTTATCTAAAATAATACTCGCTTAGTTTAGACCTATTATAAGGGACTATCTTAATAAATAACTAGTATAATAAAATAGTAAAATAAATAAAGTCTTTATTAGTTTCTAAGGATTTAAAGAAGCTATTACTAAGGTATTTAAAATAACTAATAAAGAATAAGAAGCTAAATAAAGACTTTAAGAACTTTAATAAAGGACCTTAGTATTAGACTATACTATTAAATTCTATTAAGTTACCTTAAAACTTAATTAAGATAATAAACCCTTTATATTACGATTCTATAATAGACTTAGGAAAGAAGTTAAGGACGAACTTTATAAGGAAGATCGACTTAATAGCCTCTTAAACTATATCGCTGTAGTAGTATAAATCGACGATAGATAGTATACGTAACGCTAAGAAAAGAAATAAGGAAGAGGAAACTAAAACCCTTCTTATAAGAATAACTTTAACTAACGCGCTAACTATAAAAAGAAGTATAAAACTCCTATTACCTATGCTTATATAACTAACCTAGGTAAGATAGATCTAGATATAATATAGAAAAGTAAAAGAAAGTATTTTAACTATAGGAAACTTAGATATTACTTTAAAGAATATAAATAACCTTATAAGGAGAAGAAAACTAGCTAAATATTAGCTTTAAAAGGTAAGAAATACTTAAACGCTATTAATAGATAGGAACTAAAGTATAAACTCCTTAGTTAGACTATATACTACGATAATAAATATATAGTATACTTAAGCGATAAGAACGGTACTAAATAGTTCTTAAAGGTATTAAAGAAGACCCTTATAATAATATAATAAAGGGATCTTAAAATATAGAAATAAGTTAAATTTATAGAACTAGAATACCTATATCTTAAAGGAGTCTCCTAAGACTAAATTAAAAAGAATAGTAAACGATTCTAGGAAGATATATAAAATAAAAATTAATAATAATAATATATAGTCTATAAATAATATAATAAAGAAGATATAGATATAGCTCTTATACTTATAAAACTTAGATAATAACCTAAAAAGGAATAATAAAGTATTAATAATATAAGCTTTAAAGAATAAGAAATACTTAAAGAAATAAAAGATAAGAACGAACTTATACTACTACCCTTACTATTAATGGAAAATACTATAATTAAAGAATATGCTTTATACTTTAAAGAATTTAAAGAAATACTTAAAATTAGAACCTAATAAATACCTTAAATTCCTATAGAAAACTAATAAGCTATATTAATTTAATATTAATTAGTACTATATAAAGGAGACTATACTATAGCTATTATTATAGTTAATACTTTTATAGCTTTATAATAAGAATAGTAACTATAAGAAGAATTTAAAGATAATCTATAAATACTACTTACTTATAAGTACTATAAGTATATTTTATAGATATTATACGTCTACCTAGATTATATAATATACTTTTAGATAAAGGTATAATACGACGCTTTCTTAGTTAAGTTTAAGGGATAAGTACTTTTAAAACCTTACTTAAGTATAGAACTAGACTATTAGAAAATCGATTAACGCTACCTAAACGACTAAGTTATATTATTAGAACCTAATTATAATATACTACTTAAATATCGCGATAATTATAGTTTATTAATAAATATCTTTTAGAGATATATAAAATCTATAAATATACTAAAGTAAAGGAATAGTATAACGCTACTCGCTCTAAGATATTTTAATAGTAGCTGCGGTATATACCTAAAGATATATATATACTAACGGTAATAGTAGTAGCTAGATACCGAAGGACGAGGGGGTCTAAGGGGGATAAAGGAAACGAGAAAGCACTAAGTAAGGCAAGGTAAAGGTAAAGAGGGCTAAAAAGGTATATTAGCGGAGAAAAGATATAGAAGAAGATAATGCTAATGCTATCTACTAGCTAAGGAGGAAAAGAGACCTCTTTTATAGACCGAATTTTCCTCCTTCTTCCCTAGACAAACAGGGGCCAAGGGATCATCTAATTAAGAAGAGGGCTAGCCAGAGACTCTGCCAAGGATCCTGCCAAGGACCCTGCTAAGGACCCTGCCAAGGACTCTACTGCGCGGGCTATGTGTTCCTTAGGGTATAGATGCCCCCGTTAAACTCCTCTATAACAAAGAACAGACGCCCTCGTCTGCTAGGTAAGTAAGCGGGTAGGTAACAGCCAAGGAATAAAGAAATAGACAAGCAGGCAAGCAGGCAAGCAGGCAAGCAGGCAAGCAGGCAAGCAGGCAAGCAGGCAAGCAGGCAAGCAGGCAAGCAGGCAAGCAGGCAAGCAGCTAAGCAGCTAAGCAGGCAAGAAACAGCGCAACGGGAGACCAAGGAATAGACCAAGCAGCGGGCTAAGGAATAGGCTAACGAGAGACTAAGGGATAGACTAAGCAACGGGCTAATAGGCTAACTAGAGACTAACGGAAAGAAATAGTAATAGAGGGAAGGAAAAGAGATCCTTATAGGTAAAGGAAAGAAGAAGCTAACGAGGAAGGCAGAGGAAAGAAATCTTAGAGAAAAAGGGGGAAAAAGTCCCTAAAGAAATACCTAGAAAAATCATTTAAAATTCAAAAATTATACCCTCTTTTCCCCCAGCGACTTTTACGTCTAGCTAGCTTTACCTAGGCAAATACCTATACCTAGGAGGAGAATACCGGAGATTGCTATTCTTATATTATTTATTTTAGGTATTTTAAAAAGGGGATTTTTTATACTTTTATTAAGACTGCTTAAAGGTGCCTGCCGCGTCGGCTGCTGCGGACCGTGCTAGGAAGGGCGGAAGGAAGGATCTCTTACGTGCTATTATTGCTATCGGAAAGGTCGTCTATCGCGAAAGTCGTCTATTAAGGAAAAAGGTCTATCGAGGAAGAAGCTGTCTACTTAGGGAAAGGTCCGTCTACTATAAAGGAATTGTCTGCCGAGAGAAGACTATCTACTAGGACGTCTGCTAAAGAGGAAATCGCCTACTAAGACGGAAAAGGTTATCTGCCGGCATCGTCTATTAAGGAAGAAATCGTTTGCCGGGACGGAAAAGGTTATCTATCGACATCGTCTACTAGGAAATCTAGTAAAAAGGGGGGGGAAACAAGGCAAAAGAGAGGTGCCTACAGTCTCTAGGTGCGTAATCGGATAGTTAGAATAGGTGCTAAGGGGAGCCATTAGTCCGGGCCATTAGTGCCGAAGGAGCCGTTAGGACCATCTGATCGTGCGGGAAGGAATAAAATCAAAGGAAGCTGCCGTACTAAAGGCGCTGCCGAGGAAATTATCGAAGATTGCCGAAGAAAGAGACTGCCGAAAAAGAAGACTGCCAAAGAAGACTACTATAGAAAGAGCTTATAAAAGACCGTAGCCGAGGGGGCTATCGAGACCGTAGCTAGGGAAGCTATCGGGACTATAGCCGAAGGAGCTATCGAG